GTCTCAACCAACATGAGCTAACTGCATATCAACACCAGCAGTAGAAGGTCGATATGATGGGCGGAGTGTAGAATAGCCATGATACAATGGGAGTATCCAGCTTCATGTAACCAGCTCTCACTTCTCATATCTTGACGAGTGCTGTTTTTGCTCTGGTAGATCTCACTGCAAGTGTGACTGGGAATGTAAGGCAACTTGGCTCCCGCCAATCTGCCATCCTAGGCTAGTTGACTCTTCATGAAGTAAAGCAAAATTCATGTTTAGAACTGCCCTGAGAACTCAAAACTCCCGGAGAACCCCGTTTGAGAGAAATAGTACATGACACATAAAAAGAGAAGCGGAAAGGGAAACTTGGTTAAGCCGCCAGATGAAGACAAGACTGTGTACACGGTGAAGTTAATGCAATGTTGTCCAGATATGATCTGTTGCGTCGAAGAAAATTGGCTGGAAGGCTTAACTTCCTTGACCAGGAGGTGGCGGTTGGGTTGATCCGCCGGAAGATCCAGCTTGTGCCCTCCCATCATGAAGCCAGGAGGAAACATGTGCATCCCGGGAAACGAAAACCCGAACCCAGGCACTGCAGGGGGTACGCCGACGTTATTGACAGCCGAGGGGTCACGACCCTCATGAGGGCCAGGGCCACCAGGACCCATCCCGCCCGGTTGTCCGTCACGCTCTGGGCGACGGAATCGATCTGGCTGCGTGCGGGACGACACCGGTCCGCGTTTCCCTCCCGTGTCTGTGGCAATCCGTCTACTAATGGCTATAGGGCAGATAATTAGCTTGACTTCATCTCGTTAATACGAGGGACCAGGAAAGAAATCCTCTTACCCTTCGAAGAAACACCAGCACCGATTTCAATGTCAGGTTCCTCAACCACCATGCCAGACTCAATGGGTCGCCCTCCTGTTCCACCATATTCAGCGGTAAGCATCCACTTACGATCTGCTTCCGTAAGTCGCTCGATTGGAATGACACTGATGCCTGTCTGATAGTCACTACAGTCGCGTGGACCGAATCCGACACCCCATCGAGTCTAAGTTATGTCAGAGCACTTCCTAAACACAACAAACTTAGTAACAGAAACTTACTCTAAGCTGCATGTCACCGGACTTGTAAGATTCCATTCCCTCCCGGGCACTGACGGCGTCCTGACGACCAATCATTTTGATAAACGCGTGACGTTTGTCGACGTTCACGATGCAAGTTTGGACAATGCCAAATTTGCTGAACAAGGATCGAAGATGTGCCTCCGAAGATCTGCACAATTCGTCAGTATACACGACACTTATGGAATAATTGTAGACTTACGTGACACCACCAACAAAAAGAGTTCTGCTCAGAACTATACGAACAGGTGTTAGCTGAAGCTCCCGATGCAGATCCAGAAATTCGTGCTACGAACCTTTGATGTTTCCTTGTCCGATGGAATAATCCCACTCGATGAATTTAGGGCCTGGAGGAGGCAGTGTCGGGTCTTTTCGAGGGGGGAAGGAGAACGCCGTCTACGCCCGGGCGGGCTGCGCTGGCGATAATCATTGCCTCGTCGACCACGCATGTCACCCCGACGACCGGGAGAATCACCATGATACTCTCCATAAACGGGGCTATCACGGCGGCGAGGAGGCGACACATCACGACGTCGGTCCCATCCAGGCGACCGAGATCGGCGACGATATTGGCCTGGAGGAGAGCGCATGTAGTCGCGGTCTCTTTCACGATCCCCTCGATCAAAATCACGTGACTGTGAATCTGGACGGCTACCCCAGGCAGCGGCTGTTTGACCCGGTAAGTTGAAGCCAACTGCCTGCCCAGAATTCACATTGGCCATGTTTGTAGCATTAGACAAGCTGAGAATCTGCAGGGCGGTGGCCCACTGTTCCTGCGGAATTCCCTGTGCGGCTAAAAGCTGTAAGAGCTGGAGCTGCTGCTGCAGGGCATCCGGCGCTATACTAGGAGTCGGCTGAGCTGCGGCTGCGGTCGCCTGCGGCAGTAGCGCGGCCAGGGGATTGGCCGCGGCAGCGAGTGGGTTTGGAGGAGTTTGACTTTGGCTTTGCGGCGGGATTAATGCCGGATTCTGAGCGAGATTACTCAAAGCCGCGAACGGCGTCGCCATAGTGCCAGCGGCATAAGGATTTACACCTGCCTGTCCAGCTTGAACTTGTGAAGCCTGATCTACGGACGAGGTCACGGGCTGTGAAACTGTACCCTGCATGTTCAGTGCATTTAGTGGATTAGTCGTCACTGGAGCGGCTGGCGTTGTTGTGTTCTGCTTCGCCATATCTGCCAGAGCTTTCAAGATACTGGAAGTGTCAGGCGCTGCTTGAGCGGGAGTCGTCGAAGATGCGCCATTCGCCTGCTGCTGCTGCTGCGAACCTGCAAGTGGAATGTAATTAGGTGCAGGTGATCCTTCGGGAGTGGTAGATTCAACATCTAGGGAGAGACATTAGATGTATGATACCAAAGCGGTTGCAACTAGAAACTCGGAGTCTAGAATGATTGGATAGATTATACGTACGGCAGGACCAACTCCTGCTTCGTAGGGGGATCAGAAGGGATAGCTTACTCTGAGATGCAGGTGCATTCAACTTTTCCTTGAATGATGCGAGCATGGATGCAGGGAATGTATATCCACGTTCCCAGATATCGACCAGCTTCTTGATCTTTTCCTATATATTGAGAGAGTGGCATACGTAAGTTGAACTATTCGTCACAGGAGATAGCAGAAGCCTAAAGGAAAGATTGCCGCCTTAAGCGACGAGAAAGGGATACGATGATGTGGGAGCATCGGAAGCCATCACGGGATACAAAAATGATCACCGTTTCTTATCGCTCCTATGCTTTCCACAAATCCTGTAACGGCTTCAAGATTATTCGCGTATTGCATCTAAAGCGTACCTTTTGATCCTCAGGGGCGTTGTTTATGATATCATTCATCAAGACAGGCAGTAATTCGGTCACTCTGTTGACGCCAGCAGCGAATGTTCCATCGGGGGCAGCACTGCCAGATGGCTGGCCTGCCTTGCGCGCTGCTTCTACCCATTGTCGAGTTACAGAGTCTACGACATAGAGTACGCCCAACTTGTGTGTTCCCGGTGCCTTCTTGAAGTGTGTATAGATCTTCTGAATAAGGACGGATTCGTTCTATGAGAAGAGACAGGAGTTAGCTTGCAGTTCGGGTAACACAAGTTTGCCGTCATATCAAGATTTGTTCCTACCTGAACGTTGGCTGTACAAAGCGACGTGATGCTGTTGATCTTAGATCCAGAGACGCCTGGGGGCTTGAGAGCCAGCATAGACTGGAGATAATTCTCCAACTCTGCTACAGCAGAAGACATAGCTGATAATTGTCGTTCGGGGATCTCAGCGCAGTACGAAAGACATACAATTACCAAAATTCCCTTGAGTGAGACAGGCAGACTCTTGCGGCTTGAAATGAGAACGTATAAGACGCTGAGAGTATCAAGGCTCCAACACAAGGCGTTTCTACTGGAAAATCCAGTACAGTAGATATTTGGTGATGCCTAAATTGGCGATGGCTTGCTTCCTCTCAGAAGTGAGGAAAGTCTGTCTAGAGCGGATTTTTCACACTTGTAGTCGTGTCACTACAGACTCAACGAGCACGATGGCGACGAACGAGCCTTCCGCCTACAGCTGGAACACAGCTAGCAAGGTGCCCAGGGCTTCGCGACTCGCGAGCGAGTACAAGTACAGGGTACAACCTAAAGTGAGAGGATGCAGAGTGAAGAAGAATGTGAAGGTAAACCGGATGTAATTTACGTTGTTGGGACAGAGAGAAGATGGAAGGATGATGGAAGGGACAGAGGGATTGATGAAAGGAAAGAAAAAAGACAAGTCAGGTGAATGAGTCCAGTGACTTGAGCTAGTCTCAATCTGGGAGGACAAACTCTGGTGTCTGCCTGAGGCCACACTCTTTTTTAAGTTCTTCAAGTTCTTCTTCATCGTCACATGACACACGTACTCCAATCGCTTTGATTACCGCTCTTGTAAGGTATGTAACGGGCTAGCTTAGTTCGGTGAGTCGAATCAGGAAATTCATGAATGACTTGTGAAAATGTGTTGTATCTGCAAATAGCTCTCTACCTCTCTCTATATTGTCTCACGTTCAAGTAATCTTTTTATACCTATTTAAGGGAAACAATAGTGTGCCGTAGCCTCAATTAGGTTTGCTATCATTAATTTTTTGGATAAGTCTCTACAGGAATTTCACATTTCCTCTTCTACATCAGTTTACTCCATTGAGCCAGTCGCAAGGCTCGGTTGCCGGTCTACAGTTTTGATGGCGACTTACCGACGTCACCCAGCCATAGCCTCCGAGTTATCTATACAGTGCCACGAGCCACCTACGAAAGCATGTTTCCTACTCCTAGAAGGGCAATAATGAAATTCCATGATCGTATCTTAACTTCGGTAAATACAATAGTTGTACTCCGTACTCCGTAGAGAGTTGCATTTTGCCATATTGACTACATACTCCAGAGTATGCCTGGCGTGCCATACCTATCGGTCCTTTCACTACCCAAGCTTATTAAGGTAAGTACTCCGTGCTCCCGTCTGGCTTTTTCCGAGCGACGGAATTTGGCGGGTGGGAGTTTCAGAAGAAACCACAGCAACGTTGGTTAGTGCAAATACGGTAATATCCGTCATCGCAAGGAAGCTCGCCGAAAGGAAAAAGGTGGATTGGCACTCGGAAGTCCGGCTGTGTCTTCCCTTGGGTTGGGGGTTACCGTAATGTACGGAATACCCGCTGTTGCCATCATTGCCTGGCTTCCCTGCCGATCGTTAAACGGTCACAATGGTGTACCGGCTGTATCGATACGGTCAGATGGAAAAAAGGGCCGCAAAAGAGCTTCTCCCTCAACTTTTGAACACCTCCCTTCTTTTGACCTCTCCTTTCTACACCAAGATTCCCGATATACCCTCTTTTTCCCTTTGCATACCAAACATTCAACTTCAATAAGTTGTTTGATACAAGATGGCTTCCACAATGAGACTTGGAGCCTTCGCTCTCCGTTCCACCTCTATCACGGCTAAGCCTGCCGTGCAGTCCGCTGCTTTCAACGGCTTGCGTTGCTATTCTACTGGCAAGGCCAAGGTTCGTGACGCTTGTTCGGGTTCAATTGACACGTTTCGAGCTTTCTTTACTGATAACTTCTTCTTCTAGTCCCTCAAGGAGACGTTCGCCGATAAGCTTCCCGGTGAGATCGAGAAGGTTAAGAAGCTCAGAAAGTAGGCGCACAGCGTATAAATGCTACCTACCATACAGCGAGTGCTAATCAAGCGAGCGGTTGTTCACAGAGAGCATGGTAGCAAGGTCATCGGCGAGGTTACTCTTGACCAAGCCTACGGTGGTGCCCGTGGTGTGAAGTGCCTCGTTTGGGAGGTAGGTTCAGAGAGCCTTTTTTCTTCTCCCTCACTCTTAGCGACGATTTGAACGCCAGCTAACTATCTTCACCAGGGCTCTGTCCTTGACTCCGAGGAGGGTATTCGTTTCCGTGGCTACACGGTAGGCTCTCATTGGCGATGCTGTTCGTAATCAGCGCTTACTGACTTTTTGAAAGATCCCTGAGTGCCAGAAGCTTCTTCCCAAGGCACCCGGCGGCGAGGAGCCCCTACCTGAAGGTACAAGAATCCAGATAACGTCTCACAAAGCTTATGCTAAGAATACGCAGGTCTCTTCTGGTTGCTGCTGACTGGGGAGATCCCCACCGAGCAGCAGGTTCGCGACTTGTCTGCCGAGTGGGCTGCTCGCTCCGACCTTCCCAAGTTCATCGAAGAGCTCATCGACCGCTGCCCCAGCACTCTCCACCCCATGGCTCAGTTCTCCCTGGCCGTTACCGCTCTGGAGCACGAGTCTGCCTTTGCCAAGGCCTATGCTAAGGGTATCAGCAAGAAGGACTACTGGAACTACACCTACGAAGACTCCATGGACCTCATTGCCAAGCTCCCCACCATTGCGGCCAAGATCTACCGCAATGTCTTCAAGGATGGCAAGGTCGCTCCTATCCAGAAGGACAAGGACTACTCCTTCAACTTGGCTAACCAGCTCGGCTACGGTGACAACAATGACTTTGTTGAGCTTATGCGCCTGTACCTGACCATCCACTCCGATCACGAGGGTGGAAACGTCAGCGCCCACACTACCCACCTCGTTGGTAGTGCTCTGAGCTCGCCCATGCTCTCTCTTGCTGCTGGTCTCAATGGATTGGCTGGTCCTCTCCACGGATTGTAAGCGGCCCCTGGTGTGAACTCGATATCCTTGAAGAGATCTCGTTTTACTAATAATTGTGTTCTTTCTCCAACAGGGCCAACCAGGAAGTGCTCAACTGGCTCACTAAGATGAAGAAGAGCATTGGCAACGACCTCAGCGACCAGGCCATCAAGGATTACCTTTGGTCCACCCTGAACGCCGGCCAGGTCGTTCCTGGCTATGGCCACGCCGTCCTTCGTAAGACCGATCCTCGCTACGTCTCTCAGCGCGAGTTTGCTCTCCGCAAGCTTCCCGACGACCCCATGTTCAAGCTGGTCAGCCAGGTCTACAAGATTGCTCCTGGTGTCCTGACCGAGCATGGCAAGACCAAGAACCCCTACCCCAACGTTGACGCCGTAAGTTCCTTCCTTCTCAAGATTGATTCGATATTGCGAGCGATCACGGTAGACTGACCCATCTTTAGCACTCTGGTGTTCTCCTCCAGTACTACGGCCTGACCGAGGCCAACTACTACACCGTCCTGTTCGGTGTCTCCCGTGCCCTCGGTGTCCTGCCCCAGCTGATCATCGACCGTGCTCTCGGTGCTCCCATTGAGCGCCCCAAGAGTTTCAGCACTGAGGCATACGCCAAGCTCGTTGGAGCTAAGCTGTAAATTTTCTCTTGAGATGACATGACAAAAGCAGGCGAGGATCCATCTTCTTCGATTATGATTAAGTAGAGCAATCTGTATTATTTTTCACACATTTGGTTACACTAGACTGGACGTGCCGAGTATCGTGGGCTTTCTTTGATTGGTGTATGATAGGATTTAGGGTCGAGCAGAAAACGATTACAATTCACGTCCATCCGACATCTAGGTATCTATGAATTGTAAAGGTCCCCCTTTCTTCTGTCCTTTTTGGGGGCGGGAACCGAGTGGAATGGCAGATATGTCGCGAAAGAGGTGAACATGAGTATGCCAGTCGGCGATCAAGGCAATAATCACGAGCGATAATAATGATAAGGACGCAGATTTGATCTCTCAACCATACAGGAATAATGTTGATGATGTTGGGAGCGCCCCGGTTTGCTCCGTGGTTCCAGAATGCACAGCAGCCACTCAAATCCGATCCCTCCTCGGGCCAAATCACACCGCCGGCCCGCAATGGGTCTAGTGCACCAAATGGCCCGATAGTGGCTCAATATGGCTTAGTGTTTCCCCAATCCGCCGAAAATAGGCAGGAAATAGGAATGGCCATTTATCGTTGTTGTGGTAGCAGCTCCGCCCTGTGTGCCACTGCCTGTAGTTTGTGAGGGGGAAAGAAGGGGGAAAGCTCTGGGCCTGAGGCCAACAACAGTTCCTCCTCCGTCACGTACTACGAAGTACAGTGTAGGATTCATACTCAAAGCCAACAGGCGGACTTTGTTCCCCCTTCCCCTGCTGCTTTATAACTTCCCTCTTCTTCCCCCCGCTTCTTTTTTTCTACCATTCTTCTGTTGTCGTGTCAATTAAAGTTTTGTTCTGCCCGCCGGCTCAATTCATTACCACCCCCATCTCTATCCTCAACCTTATTCGACGGAGCTTCCTTGTTCTGCTCGCCTTTTGACACTGTTTCGCTCGCGAACAGCTCTTATATTCTCGTGATCCCTTAGGCGACGAAGCCCCCTACATCCCTTGGTCAGGGCCCCTTTCAGTGCTACCCCAAGGTCAGAGATGTCAGCCACTACTGCTGAGACGGCCTCTACCGGCCATACTCTCGAGAAGAAGCCTGTCAAGTTCAGCAATCTGCTACGTATGTCTCTTCCCCATCATGGATCACACACAACACCAGCAAAACTTGCAGTCTGTGACCTGGTTCTAATTTTATTGGAAATATAGTCGGTGCAGGATTGAACATGTTCGAGTAAGTTTTATCCCATCAGCTCCTCCGTTTAATTGGAAACTACGAGTCGAGGGACTAATGGGCAACGCAGGGTCACCACTCTGGGACAGGTATATTTCATTGATTTTCAGAGGTTCGATGTCTCTCGCTTACAATTTTCCAGCCACTGGAAGTGATCAAGACGACCATGGCTGCCAACCGAGGCGACAGCTTCGCCGGCGCTATGGCGCGGATATGGGGTCGTGGCGGGATCCTCGGTTGTAAGTGACCCTTCTGCCCGCGCTCCGATGCTGTGGGGTACAACAACTGATGCGGGATGATTTCACAGATTATCAAGGTCTCATTCCGTGGGCCTGGATTGAGGCCTCCACCAAAGGCGCTGTCCTCTTGTTCGTCGCGTCCGAGGCGGAATTCCGTGCCAAGGTCCTTGGTGCCCCCGACTTCCTGGCAGGTATTGCTGGAGGTATGACGGGTGGTGTTGCGCAAGCATATGCGACCATGGGTTTCTGTACCTGCATGAAGACGGTCGAGATCACCAAGCATAAGATGGCTGCTCAGGGTGTCAAGCCCCCGAGTACGTTTGCTACCTTCATGGATATCTACCGTAAGGAAGGTATTCGTGGTATCAACCGCGGTGTGAACGCCGTGGCTATCCGCCAAACCACGAACTGGGGTTCCCGCTTTGGTCTCTCCCGTCTGGCGGAGACCGCTATCCGTAAGATGACCAACAAGGACGAGAATCAAAAACTGAGCGCCATCGAAAAGGTCATTGCCTCTGGTCTGGGAGGTGGTCTCTCCGCATGGAACCAACCTATTGAAGTTATCCGGGTCGAGATGCAAAGCAAGAAGGAGGACCCCAACCGGCCCAAGAACCTGACTGTTGGCAAGACCTTCAAATATATCTACGAGACGAACGGTATTAAGGGTCTCTATCGGGGCGTTACTCCTCGTATTGGTCTTGGGATCTGGCAGACCGTCTGCATGGTTGCTCTTGGTGATATGTAAGTTGACCCCAGGTGTTTCTACTTTATATCCCTTCTGTTGCTCTCTTCCCTTTCTTGGATTCACGCTTTCATTGCGATCTTCATGTGATGCCGAGGAGCGATACCGGGCTAACTGCGGGTCTCCGTTGCACCGAAACAGGGCCAAGGAAGCAGTCGAAAAACTGACAGGCGAGGAAGTCACCGCTAAGCACTAGAGAAGGTTTGAAATACCCTTCTACTATGCAGTATGCACGGTCTGAATCAGATGGCGGAAGAATATATTGTCGGATCACATATTTTATTGGCTCTGCACGGAGTTGATCGGAGGAGCTAACAGCTATAGCTGTTTAGCCTCCGTGCGCACCCGGTCCACCGCTTGTTCTAGAGCTATGTTCAAGTCATTCATAATAACCGATGTAAATAGTAACTGCCCGGGCGCTATAGACCCAGGACGGTCCTCATTAGACTTATCAAGAAATCTATAATATTGGCCCCAATCTGCCGCCATTTTCGAAAGCCTTAATACCCAGACTCTAGATATGTTCGAGCTTATATCCCCTGCTCCCCTGGTCCTGGTTGAACTCCAGTTTGGAAGCTGTCTGTTCTTCCAAAAAATAGATAGTGAGAGTTTATCAAAAGCAAAAGATATATCAGTTCCGGGAGTTGTGCAGTTGCGGTAATCATGATCAAATGCTCTAATGAATATACCTTGGTATAGTGGCGTCTTTCAACAACCATGATAACCAGCCTAGAGCATGAATATCTCATGCAGATGGATCTGTACAAGGTTATCTTAAAAGGGACAACCTGACTGATAGATAGTGAGCAGTATCCTGTTTTCTTACCCTAATAGCACATACGAACTATGGGGTGCTCGTTTACCAGCAAGTTGTCTTGGGTTCTTTGTAGGGCATACTTCGGAGTGAAAGCCCAGGAAACAGTAACATCGCCCTGAAGGACTGTTTCGGATTATTCATTTCCTGATTCGGCAACGAGTCTTCCAAATCCTGTAGATATGACAACCTACGATGGGATGATATCTGCATAGCATCAACGAGAGCTAGGTTCTCGCAATGAAATGACGGCCATCTACCTGTAGGATATTGATGTATGACCGAATCGCCAAACGTCACGCCTGCAACAGATCCATGCTTTGTCAATCACACTGCGGCTGCTCGAAGAGTCACAAATCATGTCTAGAGATTTGAAAAAATACGACGCACTTTCTGCAGCCCCAACATAGAGCTTCAGAGGAGGAATATCGGGTGTAAGACGGTCTATAATACTCGGAAGGCACCGAATGGCATAAGATACAATTGTATTACAGTCACACAACTACAGCCACATCACAAAGGAGAATATCTGCGAAGATTGATCTAGACACATAAGAATGGGAAAGGACGCTTTTTCCAAGTCAGTCTAACATGTAATGTTTACACTTTAAACGGTCAGACCGAGGTCCTCGCCGTAAGGAAGCTGGAAGAGGTCTCCAACAGCGGCAACGGAAGCCTTGCCAGAGAGGAAAGACTTGGCGGCCTGGAGAAAGAGGTGAGTTAGCCAGGTGACTTTTATTCAAAGTATGCTGAGACTAGGAAAAAGAGAAAAGACTTACATCCTTGATCTGCGCCTCAGTGACGCCGTCGAAGCCCTGGGCAATCTCACCAATCTGGTAGGGTTTGCTGCCGTTGATCAGGGCAGCACCGGTGGCCTCAAGGCCGGTCTCGAGGGTCTGAGCGGACTCGAGAGCACGGAACTTGGCCAATGCAACGGCCTTCTTGATCTCGTCACCGGCAATCTCACCGGCAGCCGTCTTCTTGAGGACGTCAACCACGTTCTTGCTGGCAGCAGCAACCTGGTCGGCCTTTCCAGAGACTGTAATGGTGAAGAGACCGGCGTCGGAGTAGGCGTTGTTCTTGGTCGCGACACGGACTTGAGAGAAGCCCTGGGTGGCCTTGGCGAGGAGGGAGAAGCCAGGAGTCCACTTGATGGAAGACTCGCCGCCGAGGAGGGCTGCAAGAACGGAAGCTTCAGGCTTGTAGCCCGAAGTGCCAAAGGTGCTAGAGCCAGGGAAGGCAATCACAACGGCGTTGCCAGACTTGGAAGAGATACGCTGTTCGCCACCGTAGTATTTGGAGGCAGTGTTGGGCTGCACTTTGAACTGGCTAGAGCCGCCAGCGCTGGGGACCTCGGTGAAGAACTCACCAACCCACTTGGACACCTCAGCGGTGGTGGAGCCGCTGCCAACGATGGCGATGTTAGATTTAGCGTAGGCGTTCTTGGCAAACTCGGCGATAGCATCGGCAGAGAGGTACTTTTCGAAAGGACCACTGGCGGAGGGAGTAATGTTCTCACCCAGACCGCGGTGGAAGGCAAGAGCGTGGGCAGCGTCAACGGCGATGTTCTCAGCATCGGCAGCAAGGGCTTGCTGTCTGTACTTGATGAGGTTGAGGACGAGCTCGTTCAACTCGTGGCCTGAGGTTTCGAGTCAGCCAACGTCCCATTGGAGGTAATGACTGACGACTGTCGTCAACATACCTGCAAACTTTGTCTGGAAAGCAGCCTCCGCCAAAAGCTCAGCAAAGTAAGGAAGGTCTTTTGAGAGGAACTTGGCCTTGAGAACGACGTTCTCACGAGAATGTGTCGAGGAAACTTCACCGCCCAGCAGTTCAACCTCCCGAGTGATCCGCAACGCCGACCGTTTGAGTGTAGACTGTCCATTGAAAGCAGAAACCGTCAGAGATCACATCAATTCACACTAATAAGCTGCAAGGATCGTAAACGAGCTATAAAACCAACCTTGAAGGCGAAGAATTCCAGGGCGTCGGAGAAGCCAGGGAAGGGCTGGTAACGGGAGCCGGCCTTTGCAACCAACGCTAGGGTGCCGGTTGGGCCTGCGACCTCTCTGTTGGCGACCTTCACACCGGCAGACTCAGAGACATCGTACTGAAGGCCGGGAGTCGCAGCAGAGGCCATGCTGCGACGACTGCTGGCGCTGGCAGCAGAGAGCGCACGGGCGCATTTCGGCTGAGGGTAGACCGCGACAGCATTATCGCATGTGCGTATTATCGAACGAGGAGGAGAGGAGACGTAGGAAGCCGGAAGGCTTAACAGCAATTGGTGAGGTTGAGAGGAGGGAGAGCACAAGAAGGCTGGCTGTCTGTCGATGGACGGGTTGGAAACGATGTCTGAAAAGCTTCAAGATGCCGGCGTCTTGATTACTCGTTTGCTGATTGGCCGAAATGACGAGTGCGGGCGGAACCGGCTTTTCCATCACCCTCCGTGTCAGGTGAGATCAGGTGATATAAATACACGTGATTTTTTCAAGGCATGCGATAAGAGAAAAGTAGCAGAAGATGCAGATGATTCAATAAAGACCGATGAGCTTTTCAAGCAGGTTCTTATTTCAGATCCGAACTCTTTATTACTTCTTATAATTCTTTTATGCTGTTTATCCGGCCATGTCGATTTATTCCTCCTGAAAACTTGAAAGTTGCCAGCTTCACTGGGAAGCTTGAAAAATGACCTCACAAGTATGCGACAGGCAACTGCGCTCGACCAGTTAATTCATTGCGCGTCAGCTGCTAATTTGGACATTGTACAGTTTGCTGCGGAGCTATGCGAGCTTCTTGTAGAAGAGAACTTTGGGGAGTTGTTTGGGGTACGTTTGCGCCCCATGACATGTTGGCTTGAGATTATGAAGTACTTGAGCGGGGGTGGTTGGATATACCATTAAATGACCTGATGAGCTGATCTGTTTTCCGAAAATCAGCGAATCTTCGCAACACTTTTGCGCTATGATCGCCTAAACCTGCCTCGCCTGAAGGCTTACTCCGAACTTCCAAATCGCCAGCTTCTCCCGGCGCTCGCTGCTATGATTCAGCAGCATCTTGTCTACCATTACACATCCTACGATGATGGTGTTACGTATTATGAAGCCAACATGCAGTCTGCATACTATCTTGTTCGTTCTGGAAAAATCCTGGAGTTTGTGGAGGAACGTCTGGGCAAGTATGCGGCGACCGTCCTGTCGACTATCATGTATCTCGGACATGCCCAAGTGAGCTACCTGGAGACCTTGCCGGAATTGACATCCGAGGCGGTCAAGGCCAATGGCGTTTCTGAAGAGCATACCGGACATGAGGAAGACGAAGAACAGTCGAACGGACTCAATGGCGAACACTCCAATGAACAGCCTGAGCTTCTTCACCCGACATTGAAAGTCCTAGCGGCCCATGGTTATATCATCCGTGTTAGGGAGGCACAATTCCAGAGCCATGCAGACAACATCCTCGACGCAGAGCGAGTCATAAGATCTAAACCAGAGATCAAGGCATTGAAGGGCAAGAGGCTAGAGGAGGCAGTCATAGAAGGAACACTCGGATTGCTCAAGGAGAGAACGGACGGGGACCTGACCCGCGGTCTGATAGTCCACGGGATTCCCAGAGGCGCCAAGCGCAAATACAGTTCTCGGAGGGCTGACGAGCCCAATAAAAAATCCCGAACTGATTTTGCCAGCGTCGATGGAAATGATGACCAGGATGAGGAAGAGGAGAACGAATGGTCGGATGACGAAATGGGCTACGATACCACTCCAATGGAGGTGAGTGCACGAATGATATGCCACCGCATCTGAACGGGAGAGTTAACGAAGCTGTGACACTCAGTCTGGGTTGGTTGTCCGAGTCAATTATAACAAGCTGGATGTCGCTCTACGAAATCGCCGCTTTATAGAATTAGCCGAGCAGGGTGTGTCGCCAGCAACAGCCGAAGTATATGAATGCCTACTTCGACGCATTGAGTACCAAACGCATCAGTGCCGAGACACTGCCGAGATACCTCGCGAAGGAGAAGAGGGAGAGCAGTACTCTGTGCCGATAGCACTCAGTGCATTAGCTGAAGACGTCGATCCACGGCTTGACCTCTCTAGTTCTACGGGTCCGATGGATACCGCGCAGCCAGACGGCAGGCGTGGGAAACGGCCTCTGGAAAGTGATGTTGATGGAACAAATCACGAAGGGGCGAATGGACTGTCTTCTGGCGGCAATCGTACTTTTGAGATCGACCAACACCTTTCTCTTTTGGCGCAGCCACCCCACAACCTCACATCCAAACGCATGGTTTCGGGCCTCGTCACGTGGACAGTAGAGTTCCGTCATCTGGCACGAAAGCTCCGGCACCTTGAACTGGAGCGGATGATCGAGGCTCGGTACGGCGATGTTGCGTTGCGGGTGGTCCGAGTTCTCCATGCCAAGGGCAAGCTAGACGAGAAGCGACTCCAAGAGATCAGTCTGCTTCCCTTCAAGGACCTGCGGCAGGTCCTTGCGAGTATGCAAGCAGGCGGATTCGTGGACCTGCAAGAAGTGCCACGGGACGCTCAGCGCCAGCCATCGCGCACAATCTACCTCTGGTACTACGACCCTGACCACATCTGCAGCAGCGTGCTGCAGGACACGTACAAGGCCATGTCACGTTGTCTGCAGCGTCTGAGGTTCGAGCGTAGCAGGATAAAGGATTTCTTGGAGAAGACGGAGCGGAGTGATGTCAAGGGCAATGAGCAGCGGTTTCTATCTGAACCCGAATTGGTGCTTCTAGAGCAGTGGAGGGCCAAAGAGGCGTTGTTATTAGGCGAGGTGGCGCGCCTGGATGAGATGGTTGCTGTGATGCGTGACTATTAAGCTGGGTTAAATGATTCCCACGAGACATGAACGGAAAAAAAAAGTCATTTGCAGAGCATGTCAATTGCATAGCGAATAGAATCAATTCTACTTTCAAATCCATCGTAGAGTCGCTTGTCCCGCTGAAGGCACCTGAGGGATGGAGAGTGGAATCAGAACACCAACTACGTACGGAAAGCTGGTGTTACCACCACGGCGCATACATTCCCTTCAGATGTATATACTCCAATGGCTTGAACTGTTTGTTGGAGTACCAACCTCGATTGAAGTAGGAAATATAGAAGAGAACACGAGTCTAGATACATAAAAGGAAGCAAAGGGGACAAGCTAGATCTACAGTCGTAAAATGGTAGAATGGCATGGCTGACCGAAAGTCAGCGCAAAGAGATGTAGCACATATAAACGCGCCTATGAAGAAAAGCAAACAAAGCAAACAAACCACACCCGACAAACATACACAGACAAATGCCACACCAGATGACAAAAGATAACGCCCATCCGTGGTCGACGGATGTTGAACTCCAGGTAGTGTCACTATACAGGTGGTCGTACTGGTAAACCAGTTATTTCGTTCCCTCCTGGCATGTCTAAGTCCATTGTGTTGCTAACAGATTTGCTTCGTAACCCATACCGCGTGATCATGCTCCCAGCTGCTGGTAGGGAGAATGTAAAGGTTCTTTGGCGATCAAGTCCCATGCATGATTATGTCGAGCCAGTAGCTTCCGTGCTAGTACCAGCGGCTCCTGCCGTACTAGAGCCCTGTGTGCCATTCGGGCTCTTCGAGTTCCCGTTTTCCGGTGAAGATACCGTGGCCGCTTTGCAGCCTTCATCCTTCGCGGCTCCATTCTCTCCTATTCGAGCCTCAGCAGCGACCAGCTTTTCTTTCGTTTCGTCCAATTCCTGTTTCAAGGCCTTGATATAGTCAATAGCCAGTTCCACGGTACTGGCTTTGCTGATTGTTTGTGCCCCGGCTTTCTCTTTCTCCTTTTCTTTGTCGCCTTTGGCATGACTGGCCACATTCTCTTTGGCGTGCTTCATCTGAATGAACGCGGATGGGATCAGAGACTCGATTTCCTTGAGGGCGCTGTTGATTCGGTTTCTGCGGCCCTGCTCTGCGAGCTTGTGATTCGTTCTCTTTGAGCTGAGATTCTCAGCCAAGGTTTCGGGATATGAGACACCAGGCAGTAGCGTTCCGTCCAGAATATGTTGATAGTTAGATTTGGACGCCAAGTACAGAGCCGAGGTTTCGCTTGAAATGCCTGCAAGGGTACGTGATTCTGGTTAGTGCCGATCATCGGAACAATAGCAGGGCAGATGCCATTGCTTACCTTCGCCGCGCACCAAGGGCTGAATGCTAGGACTGATCTTGGGTCGCAAATTAGGACTGGCGTGTGTCGAGCTCAGGCTCTGCCGTTTCCTCCCCATCGGACCAAGCTTAGGTGTATCCGACTTCTTCGCGATCGGTCCGCTAGGTGAAGGCATGGCCATCGTGCGTGGGCTCGGCGCAATGGAGCCAGGATTCCGATCCATAACTGGTGCTGACTTGGGTTCTAACGACGGCGTGATACTCGCTGATGTAACTGGTGTAGCCGAGCCTGACTTCATGGTGGTATCAATGCGTGCGACCTGAGGTCGAGAGAGTTGTGATGACGGGTTGGCAGCTTCCGGGAGCATAACATCCTCCATGACGTCGTCATAAGATTCCGTGGATACGAGCCTTGCTTGGCCATTGAATTGACCCGTTGGATTCTCGGCGGGCTGCGGCCGTTGAAGACGCATCAACATTGCTGGGGTTGCCGGAGCGCTCGTTTGTGACTGGTCGGCTTGTGGCACTATGGCGGGGACTTTCGCGCAGGGGCAGGGCAGGCGGCGGCATCAATGGTTCCGAAAGGGGTTCCGGCGATACAGAATCTTGGTCGGAGCTCTCATTGCTGCTCTGGCGAAGCCCACTCACACCGTGAGGCAGTATTTTGGAGACTCCTTGATCTTGGCTGAGACCATTGAGAACTTCGTGGGAGTTGAGATTCAGCATTGACTTCTTTCGTGTCTGTGGGCGCACCGATGGCGATTGTTGTTTCTTGGCGCGTGAGGAAAACGATTTAGTGGTTGATGGCCGGCGACGATGGTTCCTCATCAGGCCAGGGGAGGAAGGAGCAGAAGAGCCGGGGATAGCGTCGGCAGGAGAGTGCAGAAAACCGACCTCGGATACCGACTGGAACGGATAGCCATTTCCGTTGGAGTTCTGGGCCTCAAGAGCTGGAGAGGTGAGGGGGGTAAAATACTCCCCGGGAATTGTGTACTCGGGCAGTCGAAATTGAGTTTCTAACGGTGTCATGGCGGGAGAGACGAGAGGGGTGTAGAGTGCCTGTGTCAATGCGGGTGCATGCATTAGCCTGTGCGCTCCCATCACAATGAGCGCAGGACGCCCCGGGAGGGTTTAGTCTCACCTGCTCTTCGTTCATGCGAGGGTATCGGTCGTACAATTCGTGGTTCTCATCCACCTGGGCCGGATATCGTGCCGCATTACCCTGAAGCTCAATACTGTTCGGAGTAGGGGAATGATCGCCTGCCCGTGGGAATGTAGGGTTGCGAGGTGGTAGGCAGTCCATGATGGGATTGTTGCTGCAGCTGCTTCTGCGGCGGTTGTTGAGGATGATGGTACATCTGAGGTTGTGCAAGTTCCTGGTTGTAGAAGGCTGGGGTTACAGGAGCGCTGGTGTAGGACGAAGGAATTTGATCTTGGGGCTGAGATTGCTGATTGTGGCTGGAAAGGTCAAACGAGAAATCCCCCATGATGCGATTGTTGTAGGATGAAGACGGGTGAGCGCTGGGAAGGGAGTCTGTGTCCATGCGGACCAGTTGTTCCTGCTCAGCAGTGGTCGTAGGCATCATCGACACCGAGGCGGGAAGAGAACGAGGAGGTTGTAGCTGTCGCTCGCCTGGTCCGTGCCCCTCCAGATCGGGGAAATGCATTCCAAACTCCAGAAAATTAGTGAATTCATCTTCGCCAGAGGCCGCCATGAGCGATTGTTCCTGAAGGGACCCCGGCCATGCCATCGAGTTGTCCTGGTCCATGATGGCTTGGTACGGGCGGGTGCAGAAGAAGCGATCGTGATCTAATCCGGTTGCTTTCGCTTCGAGTCTTTCCAACTCGATTTCTTTCCCTTCTATGTCGAAAACTGCAGAATATGGACGGTGAGGTCAAACAACGCTAAATGGGAACTTGTCCATTCACTGAGGGAAAAGAGTGAAGACAGCCTCGGATCGCAATGTAGTCGTAAGGAAAGCGGGACAAAATGCACAGTGGAGGAAGTACTCTGCTCCGAACGGCCGGTCGGAGATTGAAAGGCTGTCAAGTTTTCAACAGAACGAATTGGTGTGCATGACGGTAGAGTTGTAGACAGATCATGGGTAGAGTAGTGAAAGAGAGACTGATCAGGTCGACAAATTGCAAGAGGATGAGAGCGACGAGGAGATGCGGTGGTGGTGGTTGGGGGGGTGGGTGGTGTTGGAAAAAGAAGTCTGACTGCTATTAGGAACCAAGTACTACTAAAGTGTCCGCATCTCGGTAGGAAAAGAGTGGAAAAGCGACCAGGTACAAGCTACGAAAAAGAGATGGAGCCGAATTTACTATGGGTAGCGGTCTACTACTACTGCTCGGGATCTCTACAAAGTTAAATGATTCAATTAAGACGGACTTGGTAATATTTATCAAAGAAAAAGAAAAAATGGAAACAAGAGAAAAATAATACACAGAAATAATAGTAATATTATTTGCATCCTTACACGAGAGAGACAGAGTATATTAAAAGCCCAAGAGGATGAACAAGAGGACAAGCTAAGGCAAGTAGCTAACTAGGCCAACCAGTACAGGCTACTACTGTCTTATTTTTTGTCGGATATAAGCGAAACCAAAAGTACGAAGCAGTAAGAAGTACTCGGATAGGTTCTTACTAGGGGAGGTAACCTGCAAGGCAATTTACTACTATGTACCTGGTTTTGCGATTCTAGAACCGAACGCAAACACCCTTCTGCACGGTAAGTATCCACAGAGTAACATGAATATTGCCAATTTACTAGGGAGCAACTGAATAATCATCTGCGTCAAGGGCAAGAGAAATGACGAAGAGAAAAAGAAAAGAAAAGAAACTGGTCAACCATCAAGAAATCAGGATATTCTCCGCTAATTAAGCTCCAGCCACGAGGGCAGGAATTATCAGGCGAATCCAGAACTAGGATCAGGATGGGTTTATCATAATAAAAGGTGCCAATTTATCGAAGGCTGCTGGTAAGTGGGAAGGCAGCAAAGCAGATCCAGATGAAGATTCTACTTTGGCCTGACCCATGGGACACACATAATGGTATACCGAGTATACTTCCTGCTTTTGTCCGTAAACTTCCAGCCTTTCCTCATACCGAAAGGTTGGTTCATGTTTCCGTTTTAAGCGGCAGGTGCGCTTGTGGATTATTCTCTGGACTAACGTACCTAGGTAGTTCCCTCAAGGTGGCCTGTGCAAGTCAGACTACAACTTGACTACCAACTGCAATAATAAAAACATTTATAATAGGAATGACTGGCATAGAACATACCTGGAGGGTGACCATGCACCTGATCATTTAAAAAAAGTCCCATCTCCATGTCAACGTAAACCGGGGCAGGGCCACTTGAATCCTTTGTATCCCTATTCCTCGGAGCAACCAGGCTACCAGGGCCCATCACGACTCAACATAATCACATTAACGGGGAACTTTTCAGTTCTACTGCGCGACTACCTTGAGCTATTTCGTTAGACGAATGGAGCCTTCGAAGCTACCAATAAAATTGTAGTAGTTTTCACTGGGGGGTGACCGGGCTACCTACCAAATCTCTCCTAGGTTAGTATCTAGATCGCATCTGACTCTTGAAAATCAGATACCCAAAGCCTGATTGGTCTTCTGAGGCGTTTTGATGTGAAACGATCAATTTAGTTCTGTATTCAGAATTATGACATCGCTTATCCCACCCAATCCAGTCTAAATGCGCTTGTAGACTAATACCTAACTACTACAGGTATCCATCCAGGTAGGCGTACAGCTCACTCTCTCCAGTAGGCCAATAATCCTTCGCCTGAATTCTGTAAGAAAAAAAGCTGCTACTCCGTAGTCTTACTCTAGGACGGACTCAGACCCGCCAACTACAACGAAGTAGCTGATCATTATGCAAGATCCCAATGCTAAGAATATTACGAAGGCTTCACATTCCCATGTACCTCTCCGTAGCGCGAGGTAGCAGATATCGTTTTCCTTGGGCTACACGCTTCTATCTATCCGACGATGCTGAAGTACCGAGTAGTGAAGTACGGCATGCTTGGGCAGTGACTCAAGGACTGGTCACTTGATCAACCGATCACTGTTTCTATGATCCGTTGCTAAATAATAGGCAATACTTGAAAGTCACCCAACTTGACGCTGTCATTTCTGCTGCAGAGTATGGGAAAATTTAAGGTAACATTGCTGCCATTCTTACAATGGAGGAGTCACGTGGATTACATAACCATCTATTGGAGGTGGTTAACTTGTTATGGAGTAAAATGCTTACAAAGTTACTCCAGCCAAATTGCGGGGTAACTGTTGGGCTGAGGTGATAACATGACATGACATGACATGACATGGCACAATGGTCATCAACCTCGTCCGCGCCAGAGAAGGTATTCGGACAGCCAGACAGGTGCATACCTCCGTCCTTACCGCTTCCTTCCTTTAGGTATTACCCTATCTAAGGTACCTGTCTACGTACCTAAGAATTACAACTATCCATCACCTTGCGAATGAGCTCATCTCTTTGCAGCCTCCACCTCCCCCAGTAGCAGCCAAAGCCCCCCATACCATGTTCCATCATCCCCTTCAAGGGGACCGAGCATTTTTACCAGTATACTCACCAACTCTCCACTAATCATGAGACCACCTGTGCCTGAGGTCTCCATGCCTCGATCCCGCAAGTCTTCCATCGAACAGCCGTGGACCGATCCCCGCAGTACCGCCCCTGCGACCTTTTTCCTGGCCCGCAGTCCTACATCCCACTCGGATGAGCTCTCGCTCGAAGATTCCGATGTCCCGAAAGAGTATATGTATGGAGTCCAGAGTCTTGAGGACTCTGTTCAAGAGGCCAGCATATCCTCATCTCAGAACATATTCGATCGATCCACTAGCGATAGGCTCTCTTCCGGCTCAGCTGTAGCGGGTTTACGGCCTGGTATCAGTCTCGACGTCAATGAGAACGGTAGTGAGGATGAGAATGGCGTGGATGCGCCACCACTTGGCCGTCGTAGATCTACCATCAGGCAGTTCGACTCCCTTCGGACAGAGGTCTCTTTGCAGCCGCCGTCAGATCGTGCTTCATCCCGTCCACTAACCCCGCTCAACCCCGACGAGCCTTCCTCTCTTCCCAGCAGCCCGAAATCTGTCTCTAATCAATCCATGAAGCACCTCGACGACATTTCTATCGCAGACGATCTCAGCAGCCACGCGGTGGGCTCCGAGGATGAGGGCAATGATGCTCGTGAAGCGTCGAATTCGGCCGGATTCGACAGTACATCCCAGTTAATCATGCCTAGCATCAGGATGCCTAGTCGGAGACCGTTCACAGATCGAGGAAAGACTATGGGCCGCTTTAAAGTGCTCATAGCTGGCGCTTGCGGTAAGTGAAAGTCGCCCCCCGCCTCTGGAAAATTGAAATCCGGAGTATTGGCTGAGTTATATCTGACGTACGAGTAGGATCCGGGAAAACCTCCCTCATCAAATCTATAGTACAGGCTTGTGAAGATATCGTGCATGTCGACCCCTTCCCCTCATTATCTCCTTCAAACCTGTCAGCTCGCGCGCAGCCCCCAACTACAGCAGCGGTGATCTCGGAAATCTACGCTAGCACCAAACCCTACCCTCCGTGGTGGTCAGATCTGGAAGAGTCTCGCATTCTGCGGAGGAGAAAGAGCAGCGGCGATATTGTTCTTGAACGAAATCTATGCTTCGTCGATACTGCGGGCAACGGCTCGAGTAGAGTCGGACAAACTGATGCTATTATTCATCATATTCAGCAACAGCTCCTGCGGGCCACGACGGCCGTGAATTCCTCTAACACCGATTTCGAAAATCTACTCGCTGGCAACGGCGGAGCACAAGTAGACGCTGTTCTCTACCTGATCTCGGAGAGTAAGTGGTCTACATCAAGCTACTTCCATTGCTACGATCGTGCTGACCTTCCAGACACACTTGCCGCGGATATTGAGTGCATCAGGAAGCTCTGCGCCTGGACAAATGTTATTCCCCTTATATCCAAGTCAGATCTACTGACTCCGGACCAAATTGCGACTCTCAAATCGTCCTTTCACGCGAAAGCCCAGATGGCGTCCATAAAACCCTTCCATTTCGGTGATGCAACTTCCGCCGCGGCAGATGGATTCTCGAGTCACTCACCATTCGCCATCTCATCCGCGAAAGTAGATGATGAAGACGTCATGGACGCTAGCACATTGATGAGCCCAGACTATGTGCAGCCTCTGGCACCTTCCGAACTCTCTCTACTTGTACAAAAGTTGTTCGATCTCGACAACATGGCATGGATCCGACATTCTGCTGCTAAGAAGCTTGTTCAGAGACAACATGACCAGGGACAGCAATGGGAGGTCTCACGGCACAGCACCAACCCTTTTGACGGCCAGAGCACTGTATCCAGATCTACCTCCTCAGTCATCTCTGCTAGTTATCTCGAGGGTATTACGTCTCCGCCTAGCGGGCGCATCCCCAGCTATACCATGGCCCGAATATCGGATTATACGCAACGTGAGGAGAAGATGGCCCGTGTACAGTTGGCCAAATGGGCCTCGGACTTGCAGCGAAGCCTCCAAAATGAACGAGAAAGATATGCGGCCTTGGCCAGAGGAGAAAGGGCCGTCTGGCTCACCGAAAGGCTCGGGGAGTGTGTTGTGGATGGTTCGCTGGTGCCGATTACAAAAACCCCCGGATTTTGTGGACTTCGCCTTCCTACGGATAATGCAGGCGGTCGCCTGTTCGTCCGCACTCAAGACGGCAAAAAGATGGAATATCGAGTTACCAGTATAAGTCCGCATGATCCCTTGGGTATTGTCTGGTGGTCCGACGACCTCAAACAACGAGGGTGGGCGATTGTCCAGATCTTTGGTAGCCTCGGTGTAGTGGGAGGGCTTGCCTTCTGGCTTGCGAAAGCCTGGGGATTATCATCACGCAGCCTGTCTGAGTGGCGCTTTGACTGTTGCAGCACCTGCAATTAAAGCTGGCTGGAAAGGACATCCAGTAGACAACAACGATGCAAAGGACGATCGAACCAAACTAGTCCTTTTTTTCACTTGTCCATTTTTGTAATTCGGCGTCAGGTTCTGTTTTCGTGTCCTTTTTTGATGGTCGCTGGTCTTTGTCAACCAATTTCTTCTTCGTTGGCATCTCTCTGTTCAATATACATATACATGGACGTATGGGAAGCAAATCTCGGTGCTTCGAGGTGTCTGGGGGCGTTTCAGGTCATCGGTCCTTAACACATTTCACCCTGCCAGTCCAAACTTCATATCCATTGTATTCTGTACTGCTACATATCCTCTCATCTACTCCCAGAAGACGTATGTACCATCGTGACCCCCTCTTCTTATAGGCAACCCTACATGTATGCTATCCTTGATGCTGGCTGGTTGGTCGTAGAGCGTAGGAAAATACCCGGCCATTCAATTGATAGAGATCGAATCAAGAACTTCTACCAGCAAGACGGAGCAGCCCTGATCTACAGAATTGAATATGAATGCAAGTGAACGAGAATAAAGCTTTTTATTCCGATGAACTATTGGTCTACCTGACTGAAAACGCTCTCACGATCTTCATGAGAAGAACCATTAAGAACAAAATTCAAAGTCGAAGTACCTTGAGTAAAAAGAAAAACGCTCAAGAAACGCCATTCGTTGTGAATCACCATCATCATCCAGGATATACCATCTCCTGCCGTTCCCATCAATCGAAGAAAGCAATATCGTTCAGTGATTAATCCTGATGCAAATACCGCTGGAACAGGGTTGAAAAAGGTCGTAAAAAAATTACATTAGAGCGTAACCGTCTAGTCAACCTCCTCCATGGCGCTCTCGCCAGTGGCGGCCTCGGCAGGAGCAGCCTCCTCGGTGGCCTTCTCCTCGGTGGTCTCGGCCTCCTCATCAATGTTCAGACCAAGAGACACGAGCTTGTGAATGCGCTCAGCGAAGCTGGCAGGCTCCTCGATGGTGAAGCCGGAAACAAGGAGGGAGGTCTCGAAGAGCAGCTGGGTGATGGACTTGACAGTGCGGTCGTTCTCACCGTCGGCCTCAACCTTCTTCTTGAGCTCCTTGATGATAGAGGACTTGGGAGAGATCTCGAAAGTCTTCTTGGAGGACATGTAAGAGCTCATGGAGGTGTCACGCAGAGCCTGAGCCTTCATGATACGCTCCATGTTGGCGGACCAACCGAACTGGCCAGTGCGGATAGCGCAAGGAGAGCCGACGAGCTTGTGGGACACGACGACCTTCTCAACCTTGTCGCCAAGGATGTTCTTGAGGCTCTTAGCCAGGTTCTCGTACTCCTTCTCCTCCTTCTCGCGCTCAGCCTTCTCCTCCTCGGTCTCCTCGAGCTCGAAGTCCTTGGTGATGTCGACCAGCTTCTTGCCATCGAACTCCTTCAGCTGAGTGAAGGCGTACTCATCGATGGGGTCAACCAGGAACAGAACCTCGAAGTTCTTCTGCTTGAGGCTGTCAAGGAAGGGAGACTTGGCAACAGCCTTGATAGACTCGCCAGTGATGTAGTAGATCTGCTTCTGGTGCTCAGGCATGCGGGTGACGTAGTCGGCGAGGGAGGTGGCCTCGTCACCAGACTTGGTAGACTGGTAGCGGAGCAGCTTGGCAAGAGTCTGGCGGTTCTGAGCATCCTCGTGGATACCGAGCTTGATGTTCTTGCTGAAAGCAGAGTAGAACTTGTCGAACTGCTCACGGTCCTCGGCAATCTCGGTGAAGAGCTCAAGAGTCTTCTTGACAATGTTCTTCTTGATGACCTTCATGATCTTGTTCTGCTGGAGAGTCTCACGAGACAGGTTGAGAGGCAGATCCTCAGAGTCGACAACACCCTTGACGAAGCCCAGCCACTCGGGGATGAGGTCGGTGGCGTCATCGGTGATGAAGACACGACGGACGTAGAGCTTGATGTTGTTCTTGGTCTTCTTGGTCTCGAAGAGGTCGAAAGGAGCACGCTTGGGAACGTAGAGGATAGCACGGAACTCGAGCTGACCCTCGACGGAGAAGTGCTTGACAGCGAGATGGTCCTCCCAGTCGTTGGAGAGGGACTTGTAGAAGGCGGCATACTCCTCCTGGGTGATGTCGGCAGGGTTGCGAGTCCAGATGGGCTTGGTCTTGTTGAGCTCCTCCTCCTCGATCTTGCTCTCCTTGACAGTCTTAGTCTTCTTCTCCTTCTTCTTCTCCTCCTCCTCCTCGTCGACCTCCTCGATCTTGGCCTTCTTCTCTTCATCCTCTTCCTCCTTGGTCTCCTCAGCCTCCTCGTCAGGAACCTCCTTCTCAGTCTCCTTCAGGACGTGGAGGTAGATAGGGTAGGAGATGAACTCGGAGTGCTTGCGAACAACCTCCTTGATACGGCTCTCGTTCAAGTAGTCGGTCTGCTCATCCTTCAAGTGCAGAATGATCTTGGTACCACGGCCGAGCTGCTCGCCCTCGGTATCCTGGGTGAGAGTGAAGGTGCCACCAGCGGCAGACTCCCAGATGTACTGCTCATCATCATTGTTCTTGGAGACAACGGTGACGCGGTCGGCAACAAGGTAAGCAGAGTAGAAACCAACACCGAACTGACCAATCATGGAGATATCAGCACCGGCGGAAAGAGCCTCCATGAACTGCTTGGTGCCAGAACGGGCAATGGTACCGAGGTTGTTGATCAAATCCTATAAGCCATGGTCAGTCAATCTGATTACTGCAGTCGAGACTGCCGGAGTGAACTTACAGCCTTGGTCATACCAATACCGGTATCACGAATGGTGAGGGTCTTGTTCTCCTTGTCGGGGATGATGTCGATGCGGAGGTCCTTGCCCGAGTCGAGCTTGGTAGGATCCGACAAGGACTGGTAGCGGATCTTGTCGAGGGCATCGGAGGCGTTCGAGATAAGTTCTCGCAGGAAGATCTCCTTGTTGGAGTAGACAGTGTTGATGATCAGCGAGAGAAGCTGAGAGATCTCAGCCTGGAATTCAAAGGTTTCGGCAGACATGATGGCGGAGGGAGAGCGAGATATGAGGAAATATAGATTCTGATGTTCGACGGATTGTTAGCTAAGCCGCCCGGGGATCTCAAAACTTATATATCTGAAGCAGTTGGGGGGGAGAAATTGTCCAAACTGAGGGGCAACCGAGGAGACTTACATAAAGGGTAAGTAGGTGGATTCGTGAAAGAGCGGTAGGTGGAAAGGTAAGCAAACGTTCGCAGACAGATGGAGCGAAGGAGTCAAAGGGGAGCGAGGAAATAGGTTTGGAGAGTGAGACTTTTGAAGATGAGAACAAGATATGACTGAGGAGAGAAGAGAAATAACTGAAGGGGGACGGCCGACTTAATGTTTTCTAGGCTGAGGGAGACAAAATTTCGATGCGGTGTTTCTACGGCAATCCAGCAACTTCCATGCTCTCCGCTGTTCCACTGGTCGAGCTTCCAACAAGGTTCCAGCGCCTTCTGACGAGCTGGAGCTTCTCTTAGCCCCTGTCTATCAGGCTGCTGATTGTATCTGGGGATCTAGAAGCTTCATCCGGATCCTCTTTCACCTCAATCTTGGCTTTCTCTTGCTTCCGTTTTCGACTTTCCTCGTCCGCTGAGACCAGATCTCAGCGATTCTATATTTCTGACTTGCCTGACTGCCTCAGGCTACTAATCTAGAACGTTCCGCTCCACTGTCTAGACACTCGCGGAACCAATGACAAAGCTGCATTGTATACCGCTTCTCCAGGCCCTCAACATGCTTGTCCTCCACACATTATTCTTTGGTGAAACCAAGCTCTTACTAACAACGGAAACAAGACTGTCATCGCCACTATGTCCCCTGGAAAACAGAGCTTGACGCCTGAAGAACTTTCACAGATTTCTGCTCTGTTGCTTGGACTATCTGGGGGTTTACCCGAGCAAATTGCATTTTCATCTGACCTGTCAGATCAATCGAGAAAACAGATAACTGGGCATCTGAAGCAGTCTTCAACTGTACAGCCATCTGATATGTCAAGCATGGACCACAAGGAAAAGACATTTTATGATCATCTAAAACGAGGGATCGTCTTGTACCTGGTTAAGGTACTCTACCTTAAGCATCGGCTCAACAATGGTGAAATATCCATTATTATTATTACACACCCGGCCAATGCTGCTCGTAGTGAGAGCATACCTGGTCTGCTCTCGACTCGTAAGCTATGTAGTCCATGGCCATTCCTCACTGGTGAACTGGCTCGCCACCAAGTGCAACCCCCAATGAAAGGATAAGCATATCAAACGATGGAGACAGCCATAAATCATCCATTTACAATTCATCAACTCGAGAAGATATGACCAACAAAACACGCATCTGAAAAAAAGGACACTCGAACTAGTAGAAGGATAAATAAATAGAGAACAATCAGAACAGTGTTGGCCTTCGAGCTCGCTATGCTAGGAAAGGCAAAGAGAAAGAGGGAAAATAGGTCATGAGAGTACAATGATAGGAAATAGAAGTCATATATCAAATGACCAAAGAAACGGGGAAAAAAGGAGTTCCCAGTCAGGAAATCACATAAGAACTTTTCCAACCGCTAATATGCAGTGTGATAGAGGGGCCACATAACACATGGATGTCATTATGAGTAGATGTGAGTAATACATGCCCTGGAATCATCGTAGCACCTAAACCTGATATGCTGCGTTGGACCAGAAGGAAGGGTTAAGAATCGTGGAAGGTAAAAAGAGAATCTTCAACAGACCCCTTTAAGCAGCCTGAGGCTGGTTGCGGGGCTTGCCGTTCACGTTTCCTCCACGGCCACGGGGAGCAAAGCCGCCACGTCCGTCGCGCTGGAAGCCCCCACGGCCCTGGTTGCCAGCACGGTCACCGCGGCCACGACCTGCGCCACCACGGCCAGCACCGTAGTTAGCATTGCCGCCATAAGCGTTACCGCGGGGACGGCGTTCTTCAACGAAAATTTGTTCGGATCCGATTTGGTGAGGGTTTGCAGCGACGGCAGCTGCGTAACCGGCAGGCTCCGCAAACTCAACGAAGGCGCAGTTCTTTGCGAAAAACAGTCAGATCAGTTCGGATTCTCTTGAAAGTGTTGAAAGTCAATGGTCAACATACCTTCTGGCGGCTCACGTCAAAGTACTTGAGCTTTCCGAAACGAGAGAGAGTTTGCTTGAGCAAGCTTGCATCAACCTTCTCATTGACATTCTTGATGTATGCAAGGACGTTCTGCTCTTCGGCGGCACGAGATTGGGTCTTCTTATGATCGTGACCAGCAGTTTGCCAGCCAGCACCATCAGTAGAAGTCGGTTGCTCGGGAGTGCTTTCAGCGGCGGCAGCTGCAGGAGCAGAAGCGGCAGCAGGAGCAGGCTGAGACGGGACAGGAACAGGGGAAGGCTGAGATGCGGCAGGAGCAGGAGTAGGCTTAGGCGCGGCAACGGGAATAGCAGGGACAACAGGAGCTGAAGCCCCGGATTTGGATGCAATGGTGGCCCAGGTCTTGGGAACAGCCTTTGCTGGGGCAGCGGTCTCCTTTTCAGGCGCAGGAGCCTCCTTCTTCACAGGCTCAGCTGGGGTGGGTTGAGGAGTTGTGGGCTTTTCCGGCGCCGCAGCTTCAGGTTCGACCGGGGCAGGAGCTTCTTGTGGAGCCTCCGGCTCTTCCGCAGTAGCTCCGTTGACCTGTGCTGGTTCGCCATTCTCCTGGGCCTGCTCAAGTTTCTCGTCCACTTGAGCGACAGCAACTTCGTTAGTAACCTGGGCTTCGGTCACTTCAGGTGCAGCCTCAGCAGCGGCAGGTTCCTCAGCAGGCTCCGCGACCTGCTCCTCAGCAGGGGCTGCGGCAGCCGAGGGGGCTTCAGCCGGAGCGGCCTCCTCATTTACAATCTCCTCCTCCTCATCGACCAAGTACCGGAAGATATCATTGAGAACATAGTAGCCGTTGGGCTGCTCGGCGAGGACGAAAGTCTGCACAAACTTCCGGGACGGCTCGGATTTGTTGGAAATTTCACCAATGACGGAAATAAGGATGTTGTCAAACGATGCCTGAGAATCAACGTTCAAGACACGAACTTTACAGTCCTGGAAGTCAAGCTGCTTGAATTTCTCGTTGATTGCCTAAGCGAATGGGTAGTGAAGTCAGCAATGCTCTTAGGGCGCAACTAGTCCGAGGCGCATCGGACTCACCTTCTGGCCGACTGCGACAGGAACCGACTCTGCCTCGGTACCGAAGACGAGCTGCGACCGCCGGGAGTAGAAGAGGTGCAGCTTCTCTGGGCTACGGCTCATGTTGGTGTAGTACTGCTCAACGAAGTACCACCCAACCTCATCCTTGGATATTCCATTCTTCTGGTCGTTAGGAGGGGCATTGGTGGGGGTAGATGACTGCGCTGGCTGAAAGTTGGACACACTGGTCACGGCAGTATGGGCGTAGTTGTAGGAGTCAGGATACGCATGTTGCGCGGGGTAGTTGCCGTTCATAGGAGGCTGGGTCGTGTCGGACATTGTGTAAGATTCTGCAGTGGGAGACGAGTTGGAGAAAAGGTCTTGGGAGGCCAAAAGTATATGGACAATGGCAGAAAGCTTCTATGCGACGAAGGCGACAATAAGTGAAGAAAGAGGAAGAAATCTAAAATGAGATAACTTTTCCTCTTCGTGGCTCGTCTGTTAGTTGCGGAATTGCGGGTTAGTAACGAGCAGACTAAAATAATGATGTATTTCGTGGATGGGAATTTGACGAAAGGCCAGGAGTTGTGATGGATACCCACAATGCTAGACGCAAAGAAAATAAATGCAGCAGCTCAGATGCAAGTCAAAGAAGAAGGAAAAAGAGTACTGCGACGGGTTCTGTAGGTGGTCGTATGTGGTGGTCAAAATGAAGCGGAACGGAGAAGAATCTGTGCGATTTCCAATCAAGTTGGCGATTAGACGTCAATTGGGAAAAGCAACGAAGGATTTCGGAAGGTAAATAGATTGAAAGCTCAATGGAGGGAAGACGAAGAAGGGAATCAGGAGTCTGCTGAGGGAGGTTTCGAGAAGAAAGAAATTGAAGAAATTCTTGCAGAGAGAAGCTAAATAAGAATGAGTTGTGGGTGGATGGTGAGGATGATGATGCCCCAAGATGGAAGAAGTTGCTTTTTTGCTTGTCTGGTCCAGCTTAGTTGGGGGAGTGCAAATTCGCCTTCTTCACAGTCAAATAAAAAAGAGCGCCCCAGTCTGTTTCAGTGCTTGCTTCACCGCCTTCCCAATGTGCGCTCCGCTTCCATCAGCCTGATGATAGCATGTAGTACCACGGAGTCATGATAGTATTAAACGAGCCTCACAGACGCTTTAGGCTATATAGGCGCTTGTAATCGTATCTTATATATTAGCTCATTCACTCAGTGACAATTCAGTGTTATGATGCACAGCGGAAGGCCCATTGAAGAACAAACAAAGCGGACAGAATAATTACAGTGCCATTCACATCTGTTCTATTGACAGTCTCAACGATAGGCGCTCATCAACAACCATGACGTGGATATACAAGCACAGAAGACATAAAGTTATGAGAAAAAAAAAGCAGAAGACGACGGATCAGCAGAAATCTTAACAATGAATCAAGGATCGTAAACACCAGAGAACGCGTCAAACAACTGACTCGAAAAAGAAGGGGTATGATGGACATGATATGGTAGAGGACAGGTATCACACTCGTTTACAGATTCCGTCATGAAAAAGTGACAGACGGCCAAAGCGTACAGCGCAGGCATATCGAAAGCAAGCTTCGGATACAACCGATCTGAGGGGAGAAAATCAAAAGGGGAAAGCCAGGGCGGCTTTCGGGTGAAGAGCTTAAGCTGCTGTGGTCTCCGACGCAGCGACCTTCTCGTCTAGAACGGGCTTCCGCATGACAGCATCTTGACCAGTCATTCGTCGCCCCAGCGCGCGTTCCACCTTTGCACCAAGGGCCAGCTTGCTAAGGTTGTCACTCTTCTCTGGTGTAGGGACGAAACGTTGCTTCAAAAGGGGTTTGTTCTCTAAACGCTCGAGGCCATCGCGCAGGTGGTTGAACTCAGCCAGTCTGGGATCACCACTAGGTAGGCTTCCGATAGTCTGTTCCGATGGTGCAAGTGACGGGCTACCGCTGACGGTCGAAAATCTCTTGGACGTGCGATTCTGCGCCGGGTTAGACGACTCTTTCGAGGTGATACAACACGCAGAAGTGGAAAAGCGCAAACGACTTACAGATTTCGCCATGATAGGTCGCTCCGAGTCCAACGAGGGTTGTCTGGCCATTCTGATGGTATAGTTCTTGGTGGTTTGGATTGTGGATTGTTTGATTGAGGGAGTAGATACTAGTGTATTGCTCTCTCGGTTGAAAAGAGAAAGACTTCGCAGGATCGCGCTATTCTCTTTGAACGCCGCGCGAGTTAGTCAATGTAAACTGGAAATAAAGGAATAGATTTGACTTGTCGGGATAAGCGAGAGAGAGAACGAGAGAGAGGGACAGGGGGGAAAACAGGTATGACTGATTATCATTATTGATAGTAAAAACTCGTAAAGGGACGACGAGACTCCGGTACGGAGGGTTTAATTGACTGAACCAGAAAGTAGTGGTAAGGATCCCATACCTAGTAACCTAAGCAGTCAGGTAGCCGCGCGCTGCTCAGTGACAACGGATGTGAACGAGACGGAAGCCCTTGGTAGTGGATTATTGTTGGATGACGATGATCTCAGCGAAGTTGTATGAGGATGGGATACTCTAGCTGGTTATCGTTATATTAAACCAGGGGAGCAGAGAAACAACGATGAGAAAGCCACTTCGCAGAACATGCAGGCCAAAAGGACTCAGAAGTCAGAACTCAGGAGAGCCGGGGATGAGTAAAGTGGATGTGCCGAGTGGGTCAAAGGGGGGCACAGAGAGAAAGTCAACTTAGTCAAGCGTGAAACTACAGTACTAAGGCACTTCCACAGCTGTAAGATATCTATCTAAGGAGTTGCCCAGGTCGGCATTAGCTTTCTGCATATGATTGCCCAGAAGTTAGATGTAGATCAATGCGCTGCAAAATTTTTCTCTAGAAAGAAACTCAAAAATTGAAGCGCCTTGAGAATGGAGGCATCGCATCAAGCATGAGGTCAAGGCGCATCCCTGATGGAAGAATAGAATCAGCCCATACGCGGCAGCCTACAAATTTCAACGGAATTTTATCTGATTTTTTGCCCTCCTTTTCCCACTGTTGAGCGCAAGACACGATCACTTGTTCCAAAGCCTCGCATCTCTAGTCTGTAGGAGATTGTTTTGCCTGGCAAATCATCACACTCAGTGCATGGCTCTGGTTATGGTGAAGACAAGATATGCCAACACTGGGCTGATGATCGTGCTCTAGCAATTGTTGTAATGGTGACGGCATAAGAATTACCTTAACCCAGGATGAGGCCATCCAGTACTCCGTACTTCGGTACTTTTACTCCAAGGTTCTTCTCCACGTGCCACATCCAATTGAATAGTCCGATAGCCACGCGAGATGATCCGTTGAGGTTTCCAATCATCTACTCCGGAGTAGTGTATTTTCTTTTATCCATGATGTCGCACCAGACTTTAATAAGGAAGGTATGTCGTAAGAGGTTGAACCTATTATTTTATATAAACTCTACACTACAACCATGATATCATGGTAAGAGGCATCTCTACATTACTTCTTCCCACCCCGGATATCGCTCTTAAGCCAGTGCATCAGATATCCACATGTGGACATATTTCCATATGGTCTGTCCTTGCCACAGTCAATAATGATGCAAGATTGATAGAAGTGTATGATTTCAGTGACTCTGCATTGCAATTTGGCTGCCATCAGTGTCACAATGGCTACTGGCTATTCGATATGCTCTATTGAGTGTATCCAGTACAGTGAGACAACAAGGAGGGACATGCAACAATTGTAGAGCACATCATGGAACTGAAAAAGATCTCAAGCAAGAATCAGTGTCGTATTATCCATGGATAATTGTCGAGACATTTTGCATCAAAAGTGCCTGTAACCCAAGCGGTACTAAAGGCGGTCCATCATAATAACAGCAGTACCCGTAAATCTTGACCCCTCCGTTCAAATGGGACAAAAGCATAGGAAAACGTCAGTGCACATCTGACCCAGCAACCGAGCTCAAGAAAAACCTCGCTAATAAATTACACTGGATATTTACCAACGAAAAGTAGCGCATTCATTGTCGAACTTGCTTACATCGTCCCTGCATGATCCACCGGAATGCCGAAACCAAAGGCTTTTTTGAAGGAATGTAAATCCAAGAAGAAAGTGGCGCAGCGGGTAGTTATATCCATAACCATATGCATCACAACCATGCAACTGCTGATATCCAACAGGCGCCAGAGACTGCTGATGAGTTTCTAGCGGGTAGGTAATCTCCAGCCCGTCCACCGAGTACAGTCTAGTCCATTCATACTCCGAATGTAACCCTAATTCATCTGATCTTTTCCAGCCGGGGTCGAACAGGAAGAAGGCGGGGAAAAATGGCGTGCTGGCGATGCCACCAAATCCTTGCGCTTTTTCATGCGAGCAATCGCAATTTATGATGAAGGCTTGCAAAAACACCCTCAGGCGTTCGACCTGGCCTATAATAAGTATGTCTGAAACGAACAATCCTTCCGCTGAGCAGCTACACGGCTCTTCCATCGATATGCCCGACGCGAGAACATATGTTCTGTACTGACAGTGCGTAGAGCACGTCTCCAATATGAAATCACCCAGCATCCTAAATTAGCTGCCCAATTACCAGCTCCATTGCTGGATGCCTTGCAGATAGCGTTACGATCGCATAGAGAGGCACTCAATCTGGAACAAGACAACGCAGATGCACTCTTCAACACCGCGCAAGTGCTCACGAGTCTTGCAGAAGCAGCTACCGACACAAAACATCCATCCGACGAACAGCTCTCAGGAGCAATCAAACTTCTTCAAGAGGCGATAGAACTTTTCCAACGATGTCTCGTGCTGCAAGAGTTGCGGTACACCGAAATGCAAGAGCAATTGAAGCAGATCGAATCTGGGTATATGGGTCCACCTGAGGAGGAAATGAAGCAGGCTCAAGAGGCTATGGATACTGAAGGCCAATCGGACCCTTCAGAACCGCAAGAGCAATGGGCTGCAGTTATTGAGCCGGTGACCAAAAACACTCTCGTTGATACGGCCGTGGCGCAACTGGATACCCTCACTACACTCAGCAACCTGCTCACGTTTAGTCCCGGAGTGGGACTTGCTTGGGTTGAAGAGTACTCTTCCGATCTCCTGCAAAAGATTCCAGTGTATCTCGAGGCGTCAGAGAGACAATATGAGGCGTCTTTGGCTCGAGCTAGGTTTGTATGCGCCTTGAACGAGCTGGTCTATCGCAGCGGAAGGATCGAGGTGGAGACATATCACAGAGAGATCATGGGTGCCTTTGGACCAGATTTGGACATCTCTACCGATCCCGACGGACTTTGCAGTAAAGCCGATGCGCTTACCTCATTCAACACTGCACTCACTGACCTCCCGCCTTCCCATGACGCCGAGGCATTTGCGAAATCATTGGACTTGAGATGGCAATCGCTATCAACTGCACTGGACGCATTGACCAAAGCCTCAAAACTCCCTGACGCAAGCAACCTGCCGAAAATTCATTTGGCCAGGGGAGACGTAGAGATGCATAGGTGGAGGCTCGGATTGGCTCCATGGGAGTACGCCATGGCGGCACAATACGCCTCGACACTACTGCAAAACGCTCAAACGTATTATCGAGGCGCTGCAGCCCTAGCAAGAAGAGACGGAGCTATGGAGGAAACAAGAGATGGGACATGCAAAGAGGCGATCGCAGCCGCTCTGGGAGGCCAGAAGGATAAACTGGAACAGCTCAAGGCGGCCGCCCCTAAAGAGCTGACAGCTGTTGCTCAGGACGTGGTGGAGGACGGTCTGTTGGCTCCCGTGGATATGGAGGCTTTGTTGTGGTAACCAATCATACGCACGCATTCATGAATCAGAAAAGTAACCTTTGTCGCTTGTACAAGGTGTACAGTCACCCGGAGGCCTGTTCATATGTCTGACCTAGCCTTGACTTCTTCGTCCATCTTGAATGCCTCCTGGCGAAGGCCATTCTCCTTGCTGAAATGCGAGGCTGCAGCCGCAGCACCTTCTACGTCAGCAACAATAGACTCGAGACTCGACAGTAGCCTTTCGATCTCCGCTCTTTGGCCTTGTATATGCTGGGCTAGCTCCGCGTTCTCAGCTTCGGTTGCCTGGATTCTCGCGTTCAAAGATGATTGGGCTTCTTGCAGGTAAGGTGTCAGATGCGCGCGATATAGTTCGTCCGGGGTTAAGGTATGCGGACTATGTCCAGCATCAAAAAGTTAGCAAATCAGTAACCCAAGCACAACCCATAAATCAGCAACTAGAGACATACGCTACACGGCTTTCACCTTGACCATTGTCCCTCCTATGCCTTGCCTCCCCGACCAGCCGATCCAGCTCATTCAGATGCCTCACTGCGTCACGCTCATGTAGGATATCGTCAAACTCCGCCTTCGCGCTCTCCTCGAGCTTCGCGTTCAGTTGTCTCCATACCGACTCCAGACTAGCAGGCACATGTTTCGCAGGTGTCGGAAAGCACCCTGAAAAATTCGCGTATGAATTTGCGCGCAATGTTCGTGCGAGAGCCTGGCCGAAGACTTGCTGTAGACGCGACGCGCGTGGGCCTGGTGTGAGAGGGACAGGAGCCGGAGGAGGCGGGGAGGGTGAAGCTGCTTGTCGTGGGTGATTGGCATTGTTAGATTGAGTATCTTCTGCCATTTTCGTTTCAAGACGATCCTTCTTGTTGGGATCTTAGACAGCACTCCAGCGATGTTGGGTGTGGGGCGTGGGACTTTGAATCTACGAGGAAGGGGTACGTGATAAACACGTGACTTGTATATAGATATCCACGCGTCGGTCCGTCCGACATAGATTTCTCTGTTCGCAGATAGGACCAGATTTTATGGCATTAAAAAAAAGCAATATCATACTACAAAAGCTATTCTGGGAGCCATTACTATACAAAACAAATTAACCCGTCAACGCTCGAGTGCTGTCGTTCCCATGCGAATGGAGACTTCCAACAGCCCCATGTCCAGTGATGACGTGTTGCGATGGCCCCTTATGCACTGAATTTCGCCATTTGATCTTCGCATAAGACTCTTTGAAAGCAGGCCAAGAGATCGATATGTAAATAATACTATTCCAGAACCCCTGCAGCGGAAGGACGAAACTGGACGTATAGTTCATGCCGAAGTTGAAGTTGCGCGGATAGATCAGCGCGTACAACCTGTTGATTGTGGACGGTACCTATTCCAAGTACCAATATTAGTCATGTCTGTTACTCACACCATGGTTGATGATGCTGAACTGACCCATGTGACAAGCAGTGCGATGAAGAAAAGCATCGCATATTTGGTATAGGCCCAGGCGGCCGAGTTCACGTCTCTCGCCGTCGCGCGACGCTGAGCGTATGGATCGTGCTGGCTGCTTCTCAAAGTCCGCATTGGCACATGCTCGTCGTTGCCAGAGGCCCTGCCACCTTCAATGGTTACAGAGTAGGGCGAGTATGGGCTGAGGTATCGATGCGGTATATGGCTGGCACTCGTGATGGTCAATCGATTGGATTCACTTCCAGAATGTGTGATCTCGCTGGTGACGTGTATCTCTGTCATTTTGAAAAAAGCAGGCTCCATAGGACTGTCAATTTCGCCGCAAGACTCCGGACACTCAGCCTCCTCAAGTTGCCGTCGTTTCTCGAAAATCACTTTGCCAGCACGCAGATAAATGGCGAATGTCAAGAAAATGACGAACCAGACTGGACCATAGAAGACCGCAATGCGAAGAAAATCCCAGGGGAGCGACACCCAGCACCAGAGCTGTTAAGCGACAACGAGTTAGAGAGTGACTCTGCACAGGACTGATTCCGTACGACAAACGTTGCACTTACTATGGCTGAGCCGTAAACCTTTCCCCGAGCCTCGGTTTCTATGAAGAAATAAACGAATGCCGGAATGAAGGGGAGGCCATAGCAGAATAGCACGTATTTCCACTCGAGTTGTCGCAGCTGTTCTGAGTTATATTTGTGGAAGAATGTCAAGTAGACATTGCATGCCATGGCAAGAGTCCACAACGCATCAGCGGGCATGAACCTGCGACATGCGAACAGCAACCATCAGTATATGAGCTATGAGCACCAAGACACGGGCAATCTGACCGAGCTACTGACCATTGAATCAGAAACGCCTGGAACTGACAAAGGCAGCCGTTTGTCCCATAGGCGATGCCCGACTGAGAGATCATCGTGGCTACATTTGCCATGATATTTCCCCATGACGCATAAAATACGAGACGATTGATCGGCTTGCGAAAGGATCTAGATGAGAGGAAAGAGATGATTATGATACTTGTGCCAGCGAGAGAGATCGCAGAGCATATGCGTTCTGTCGTTGATATGGCGAACAATTCTCGCTGTGAGAGCGACATATCGCCAAGTACATGCTGATCAGACTGACCACTATCGAAGGATCTTCACAGATTTATGCAAGGAATGGAAAATAGGAAAATGGAATGAGAGGGGTAATCAAGGAAGAAAAGACGGAAGAGAGAGTGTAGTAATAGGTACGATCCAAGATCGGCACCAGAGTCTGTGGCACACTCGGGCGCTGGAGGCGAATTGACTCCTTGGGAAACCTACTCCATAAGTGTGGATGATATCAAGACTTTGTTTAGAGTTTGTCGAATCAATATTTGACAGGTCCCTTCAGGATTCAGGACTCGGCCCTTATGGCTAATATAGCCACTGCTCCGTAGGGGGCTTTAGCCTGCTCACATGCTTTCGTCGAAGGAAGACGAACCATGTTCGATACCTAATAATAATAATGAATTTCGAGGGCTACCAATAATAGCAGAGGGAATGCCTGTCAACGGAGCCGGAACAAAGCATGAAACGATTCGGTCTTCTAGATTCTTTCGAGTCGACCAATGCGAATTCAGAGATTCGGCTGCTAAGCTTATGCTGCTTTTCTCATTCTTCTTCCATGTGGTCCGGTGGAGCATGGGAAATTTGCGGGGATGTTGATCCCCGAGTCTGTTCTCTGTACCTTTCTCGTATTAGTTTTAGTAGTCTTGTTCTAATGCACAGGAAATACGAACTGGATGATTCATTATTCAAACTCTGGCAAACCTAAAACTCGTTCATCGGAAGCAACACAAGCAATTGATCCTCAATCCTCAGGAGTAACTAGCTCTGAATAAAGAGTGTTTTCATGGGGAGTAAAAAGGGGAAGCAGAGCGAGAGACAAAAGAAAAAGAAAAAAGAAAATGCGCCCAGATCTTATGCATATCAAGTCTCACCAAGCTTCTTTCAGCGAAGAAGGCTGTGCACATTCATCCACCATCTTAGAACAAAGATGAAAATTGGCGATCAGTGCCTGATACCTACTCCATAGTATCTATCTCTGGAGTGGATCAGTCAATGCTTTACGTTAAGGTCAATCGAGCCGACGCCACACCTTTCTATTCTACTTAATCGTGGCCCACCCAGCTGAACCTGTGGACAGGGATGGTTGACTGATCTAGTTTTCTATTCGAATGTGGATAGAATAACCAGATTCTCTTAATCATGCAAGGAGTTGGCGAAACTTCGAAGCTATCAAAAACCACCCAGCTGTCCGGTCATAGCGGCCTCTTTCTTCAGCTTGCGCTTTGCGACGTCTACGTATCAATAACGCCTCGGAGCAAAAATAAGCGTATCTGTTTACTGGCGCTTCAAAGACACCAGTTAGTACAGTACTTGAAAGTTGGTAAAGCTTTAAATAGAACACAAAACGCTATTCACAATGCCCTACAAGTCAACTACCTTTGTCTTTTGCAAAAGCCAAACATGCTATCAAAACGTCAAAAGCTGCCAATATTAGCACTGATGTCCTTCTTCGGGTATAACGCCACGCTCCCGCATGTGAACCTATAACCAGCATCTCATTGTGCCCACTTTGGAAACATGAATTCAGCAGGGGTAAAAAGAGGTAAGAGGAGACGATTTGATCGGGTGTTTCCCTGCCACATTTAGTATGCCTGCTGTGGTGGGACCATCCCTCCGTAACCTCCAGCTACTTGTTGCTGTTGTTGTTGTTGCTGCTGCAACTGAGCCTGTAATTGAGGTAGGTCATGGAACCAAGGATGCTGCAGTGCGTCCGCGGCACTAATGCGCATCTCTGGCCGTAATTGAAGCATTCGATTCAGCAGATCGAGCCCGAGGGGGTCAATCTGAGGCAGAATAAGTCCCAGATCTTGTGTCGCATAGACGTGGAAATTCGGTTTGTACTCCGGTAGCTGTGAGATGCCGGGCCACGAACGCTCCGAAGGTGTGCCCATCAGACGGAAGATCTTCTGCAGTTGATCCTCGTTGGTCGTCCCGGGGAACAGAGGCCGGCCGGTATACAATTCTGCCATGATGCATCCCGCCGACCAGATATCAATGCTCGTGTTATACGTTCTGCTGCCCAACAGCACGTCCGGAGCACGATACCACAGTGTCACCACTTCGTTGGAGAAGGTGTTGACAGGGATGCCAAAAGCACGGGCCAGGCCGAAGTCGCCCAACTTGAGCTGACCCTTCTTATTAATGAGGAGATTCTGAGGCTTGAGGTCTCGATGGAGAACCCGATTCTCATGACAAAAGGCGATGCCCTTGAGGAGCTGGTGCATGAATGACTTGATCGTGGCGTGGTCCAGCTGGCCTCGGTCGCCTCGCGTATCCATGTACTTCTTCAGATCCTTATCCATATACTCGAACACAAGCATGAGCTTGTTCTCCGTATGAATCACATCATAAAGTGAGACAATACTCTCATGCTTCAATTCCTTCATCAACGAGATCTCTCGAATGGCTGTCGATGGTGTTCCTTCCTCCGAATCAAGGTGAATCTCTTTCAACGCCACCAGCTCGCCGGTCTGGCGGTTTCGTCCTTTAAAAACCTGCAAATATTGAGATTAATATCGCTGCGAAGAATTGAATGAGATGCGCAGGCGGGGAAGCGGAAGGAGGATCGAACGTACGGTAGCATATGTACCCTCACCCAGCTAGAGACGAAGCAGAAGTTAGTACTGGCCTCCCTTTACAATATTTCATACGGTTATAGAAGCAGTCTCACGCACCTTTTCCAGCTGCTGGAAAGAGCTGGGTTGCTGCGCCTTATCCATCGTCTGAGAAGAGATTGTACCTCTGGTTGCGACGGAAGTCTGTTGGGTCGAGGCTTTTGGGCGTTGGTTACTGAAAAGAAAGGATTTGGGAGACACAAGGGTAGATATGATTTCAGAAAAAGAAGTAGGGTTGTTGTACTCTGAACGAGAATCCCTTGCGGTTCTGGATGGGGTCCGATAGTCCATGCTCGGAGGTGATTTGATCGCAACTTGTTTGAACCAGCCCCGCGCGGGCCTATCTTGGGATGGCAAATCGCGGGCGCCTGCTTATCCACCTGCGCGGCTCTATCAATAAGGTATCGAGCGCCAACCTAACCAATCTTCCATCTATGTAATCGAACCTGAGAGGTTCTCATTATTTTAAGTAAACATCTTTTATTTGTGATGATTTGAAGGTGTTCTAGATAGTTCTGGTTCGGATGTGTTATCCAACAAAAAGAATGTTTCTCGGATACACAGATGTTCCTAAATGCTAATTATCTATCAGTCTATGCATATATGGACTTATTCTGAATAGATACAGTGTACAGCGCATGCAGTCGTCGGCTCTATACGTTCATCCGTAATTAAAGTTGGGAAGCAGCGACACCACAGGAGGAAGAATCGCCTCAGACGGAAAGCTGCAACGGACATGTGAGGATGAGACATCGCTACTTGTCCCAAATAAGACCGACTCATTCCTGACCCCTCCCAGATTGATTATGGCTATAGGCATCCCTCTCCTGTGGGCTCTCTCAACTAATCGCCATGCTGAATATGTAGCAAGACTGCTTCCTAGAATCAGTAGCCTCCCTGCATCATCAATGGCCTCTTCAGCAGCCGTTTTCACTCCAGGGTCAATATTTTCACCAAACATGACGACCGCAGGTTTCAGAATGCCAGCTGTAGACGAAGGGAGCCATGCTCCATCCTTTTCCACTTCTACCCTGGCGTGTGTGCCCTCCTTCAGTCTTGGAGGGTTCTCCAAACAGGTAGGACAAGATGGGTACCTAAACGTGGAGTATGGAGCCTCAGCCAAGTCCACGTCACCATCTGGATTTAGCTTAAACCCCTTCCGTCTCTGTTCTTCGGGATTGTTCGTGTCGAGAGCTCCTGCCTCGACCATGCGGGCAAGAAACTCCGCCCAGGCAGGGTTGAGCCTCTCGAGGGACTTCTGAAACTCAGCGCGAGAGAATTGGTTTCGACAGCTAGTACAGACGACAGACTTCAAGTGGCCATGAAGCTCAATGGTCGGTAGCTCGGGATGCGCAAGTGAGTGGAAGGAGTCAACATTCTGCGTCACAACGGAACTGACGAAGCCTTTGGCGCCAAGATCTCGGATGGCCCGGTGCGTCGAGTTGGGCTCAGCTTTCAACAACCCAGGCCACCCGACAAAGCTTCGAGCCCAGTACCTTTTGCGAGACTCATGTCGTGAAACAAATTCGTGAAAATATATAGGCCTGTAGGATTTATTCGTGACATAGGTGCCGTTCTCTCCTCGATAGTCGGATAGTCCAGACGCTACCGAAATACCAGCGCCAGTCAAGAGAACAGTCTGCGAATGTCGGCCAACATCCACGCCGCGAAGATACGGGGATGGAGGAGCTGTGAAAAATGATAAGACGGCATTTATTGCTCCTGAAAGTGTGCTTGCAGATGGCGGTACAATAATCGGTGGAGGCAGCGGACCGGTCAATGGTATACGGATCGAGGGTTTCGTCATTGAAGACGCATTGTTGGCTGAGGGAAGCTACGGAGATCGAAGCGATCGTAAGTTATCCAAATGGCTTAGTGAAGTATGCGGAGGTTTACTTTCACGGTACTGGATAAGTTAGCTTTATTATGGTAGACCGTGGATATGATGTAACATAAGTTGATTTAACTAGTTAACTTAGTTAAGTTAATCACTGCATAATGACTAATCTTGACGTCACATGATGAGATTTTGTCCAGTGTGCGAGCTGGTGTCGAACCTTTTGCTTGCGAATTTGACAGAAATCTAGAGAGCTTGACGTTCCTAGACGGAGGTGAAGATGAATTTATAAATATATTATTGGAAAGCAAGCCTTCTACAAGAGTGAAGTCCGACTTCTGATCTACATAACATACATAGTATGGGTCTGAATTTCCCCGGATATTGGCACGTGACTGATCCAGTGCAGAGTCTTCGAAACGTCACACCCTCATTTCCAGATAATATTCGAGTTCGGCGTGCTGATAACATTTCCTTGTCTTTTATAAGCAGTTCTTGAGTCGTCTGAGCGAATTGGATTTTGGTCCAATTCCTCGGCTTCGTCCTCCTTGGACATGTTTCCCTCCCAGGCTGGCAATCTAGATCTAGATGCTCTGAGCGGTATTTGCGGGTATGATCCTAAACTCTTCGCTTTCTATTTGTAACCAGAGGAGAGGATTGGGTGGGGAGGAACGACATCGAGAAGGAATTAGTGTCCTTACAGTGATTACTGACTGGCGCATATAGGTCAATTTCCATTGCCTGCTGGGTTGTTGTTTTCTCACCGCAGATCATTGAGAATTTCCGTCGTGGCTCTGCTGATGGACTCTCTTTACTCTTTCTCGTGGTCTGGCTAGCAGGGGATGTTTTTAACATCCTCGGTGCCGTCCTTCAGGGCGTGCTGCCTACAATGATCATCCTTGCCGTCTACTACACCCTCGCAGACATTGTTCTTTTGGGCCAATGCTTCTACTACCGGGGATTCACGCTGCGGGATGAACTGTCTAGTCCCACTTCTCCCGCGGAGATCAACACTGAAGATGAGCCTTCGCAGACTAGAAAGGCAACTGAGCGTACCTCTCTACTTCCTCCCAAGTCTAACGGCCACTCACATCACGTCCAAGCGCAAGAGCCTCACTATCAGTCGGGCCAGGCGGGCCAAGCAGCAACAACTACACAAGTGCGACCGTTACCATCGCATTCAGACCACCGGCGACACTCTGCAACATCCTTTCGGGAGATTATCCATCCGAACGTCGACGGCACACATCTGTCACCCGCAACACCCTTCATTGAACCGACTTCTAAGAAATCTTTGTCTGCTCGACGCATTTCCACTCTTCAGACTGTCCTTTTTAACTTGACTACCGTTGCACTTGTCTGCGCTGCAGGAGTCCTGGGCTGGTACGTCAGCCCTAGCTCTTCTAAGAACGAAGAATCAGACTTGCCTGGAGATGACCGCGATTCATCCTCTCTTACTTTCGACACCCCAGGCCAGGTGTTCGGCTATCTATGCGCCGCCCTGTACCTTGGCTCGCGCCTGCCTCAGATCCTTCTCAACTACCGGCGCAAATCTACGGAAGGGGTTTCACTGCTATTTTTCCTCTTCGCATGTATCGGCAACCTGACATACGTACTGTCTATCCTGGCTTATTCCCCAGTCTGCAAGCGACACTCTGGCCACTCTCGCGACTGTCGCCCCGGAGAAGCCGCTGCGCTCTATGGCCGATATGTGCTTGTAAATCTGTCGTGGTTGATAGGGAGCTTCGGAACTCTCTTGCTTGACATGTGTATTTTCATTCAATTTTTCTTGTACAAAGAAAACGGAGACGGGATAGATGAGATCAGTCCGCGTGACTGACTGGGTGACTGATAGCGATACAAGTCGGGAATGGATCGAAAAAGGGCGCTTAGTGTGGAGTTCTTCCTAGGGTTTCCGCTGCTTGTTTTACTCATTATGATACTCTGTCCGCAAAATGTATATATAGAGGTGAGAAAGAAGAGAAGGTTGTCATAAGATTCGTTAGAAAGGTATCTATCTCTTCGTCATATTATAGCCATGCGATGAATTTGGATAGAAAGGACGACACCCGAAGCAGAACAGAACACCCGCTAGATGCAATGCGTATCCAATCGTAATTCTGTCAACGCTTTTTCCTCCCAGACGGTCTACTGGAAACTAGATTAGGTGAATTAACCGCAAGCTGTGAGCATGATCGACTTAGTCACTGGGTGGCCGTGCTTCCACTTTGCCTTGGCTCACTTCCTTCCAGTTGGTGCTCAAAGACGTGCCCTGGCTCTCCACGTAACTCTTCACCATGGCCCGACGGGTGTCCGGGTCCGCGCTGGCATACAGTTTCTTAAAGAAAGCATCCACTGGATCGCCAGTGCCGTAGTCAGAGTCGATAGAATCCGCGCCGTCGGATTCATCGCCATTGTCCTCACCAGCTTTTGCATCTTTCTCCGCGTTCCCATTTTTATCCTTGCCTTTCGACTTCTTCGCTGTCAGGGTTGATGCGACTTTATCCCAATCCTTGGCACCGCGGCGAGATGAGGTCGGGTAGGAAGGTCCGCTTTCGGCTGCGGGGGCTGCTCCTACAATGGCCTGTCGATCAGCAAGTTTGGCGCTTGACGACGACGCTTCTAATGCGCCCCATTTCTGGCCTGCTGTCTTTTTTCGTAGGACAAGTTCGATCTTGGTTGACATCACGGAAACCTTTGATGCAGATGGATCAATCGGTGCGAACAGAGGATCCAGAGTAAAAGCGTAGTCCGCGCCGGACGGGAGCGGGAATTGAATGGCAGCCTGTAACGTTTAACAGTCAGCTCCGGATCAATAGCGTGAGATTTGGGTGATAAAAAAGGGTCACTTGAATTCCACATACCGATTCATCCTTAAGCTCGGTGTCAACACGGTCCTTGGGCACTCCCTTAACATAAAGGGTCACGACAACCGAGTCATGAGACTGATACCACTCATGCCGAACCTTTTCTGTTGAGGGACCAGTGGATGGTGATGTAGTGGACATCACGGCTGGAACCTTGCCTATTGTGGCCTGGCTCTCTGTTGTAGGAGTGCTTGTTTTTGCTGGATCTGTAGCCTTGTGACCCTTGTCGTCCGCCGAGGTGGTCTGTGCCTGAGTACTTCTCTCCTCGACTTTACCAGCCTTGAAAGCATCGAGTTGCTTCTTGAGGTCCTTTTCAGACGGAACCGACACCCCCTTGGGGAATTCTTCAATGGTGACCCTTGCTTTCTCGTCGCCCTCGGCGAGCTTGCTCAGCTTTCCCTTAACTTTCAATGTCCAAATCGGAAGTTCCTGCTCATAGCCTTTCTTGGCGGAGGAACGTGCAGCACCGCCACCAGCCATTGCATCCTTCACTCTCTCCGATCTATCTTGACCTTCTGTAGTTGTGCCAATCTTGTCCTGGATGGTGCTGAACACGAACGCTGCGTCGCCGTATCGCTCAAGCTGATACAGGACGATGCCGCGTCTCATTTGTGCCGACAATATAAGCTCGCGTTTCGCTCGTTCTCGAGCAAGCGTAAGCGCGATTTCAGCATCTTGAAGCGCGGCCTGGAAGTTGGGACCTCCGTCTGCGGGCTTGAGCCGTGAAAATGCAGTCGACCTCTTGATATAGTAGGCTGGGGCGCGGGGAAGCTCCGTCAGGGCTTGGGTAAAGTACCGGATGGCAGTGGGACAGTCAGAGTTGGCTAGGGCCTTGTCGCCCTCTGCCGCCGCGTTCATTCTGTTGTTCGTCTAAAGCTATTGCTATTATTCTCGCTTTGAAGATTCTCCCGTACTTAGCTTGATTGAGAAGACGGCTATGTTGCCGAAACGTTATTTTGAGTAGACACTAGAGGTCGCCTCAGCTGGTGACCGGAAATTGACTATATGGAAATATTCTCGTATAGGGAGCTCACTCTTAAAAAGTGAAAAGAGCATAGCTTATCTATAGCTCTTTCTCGGTAGCTTGTTGGTTCTATGACTTTCTCTGGAGACTGCGGGGAGCACACGTGATGGCGTTAGCCCGATCAGGCAACTCATCCATACAAATCCGCTCGGTATAAGGTAGGTATTATTATTATTAGGCTAAGCAATTCCACTTTAATACAGACAGCAATCATTGCTGATTCATCAGACAGTATGTCGCATATGGTACATATGGTACACCCTGGAGACAGCCAGGCGTATCGTATGAAGGATTCGTCCAGAAGGCATGGCTCAAATTCGCCTCACATCAGTTCTTCGTTGCCGAACTTGCGGCTGTAAAGACCCAGAGCTCGAATGGGCCAGTAGAACTTGTAGTTGGGATACGAAATCATGCTAGACCTGGGTCAGCTATTGACGGGAAAAATGAGTTTGCAAACAAAGATACTTACCAAGATTGGTTGAAAACGCCCTCAATGGATTCTTGCAACCACGCCCCGTTTGGTTGCTGCCGGGACATGAGCAGCTTCATGGCTTTCTGCAGTGGCTCCTTGTGTGGATATTCCGCCTCCATCAGTGCAAGACAAGCCCAAGCAGTTTGCGTTACTTGGGACTTTTCATGTTGAACGTACACATGTTTTTCACTGCTGAGATAAGATTCACCCCATCCTCCGTCCTCCTTTTGCTTGGAGAGGAGGAACTCGCAGCCACGGCGCGCATACTCGCTGGTCTCGTAGGTTTCTCCAATGCTGGCCAGGCTTTCCAGGGCAAACATGGCAGCGTAGGTGAAGCAGATTCCCCAAGATCCGTACCAGCTTCCATCAGGTCTCTGCACGCGTTTGATATATTTCACAGCCTTGTCTTTCGCGGCCTTGATCTCGTCGGCCCGGTAGTCAGGGTAAAATCTGCTGAAAAGCGAAAGCGCGGTGACAGAAGCGGTGGTACACTCGGGATAGTCATAACCGATCATGATTCCGCCAAACACTTCCGCAGCATTGAGCCACTCCAGCTTCTCGGAGCCACGGGTGGTTTCGTACTCAGTGAATCCACCAGAGGGATTTTGCATCAGAAGTAAGCAGTCGACACTGTCTTTTATTCGCTCAACGGAGATCAGCTTTGGATAGTTGTGCATCTCCTGTAGTTGGATTGTGGACCGCAAGCCCTCCGCTGTGCAATCACTAACTGTATAGCCTTGTGTTTTGTTACTGAACGGCCACGCGCCTTTTCGGTGTTGACGGTAACACTTTTCTTGATCTGGGACGTTCTCGCGAAGCTGATGATCTTCAAGGAACTCCAAGGCTTTGGTGAGCATTGGTCGCCACTTGGGGTCATCTGCGAAACCAGCAACGACAATTGCTTGCGTTATGAAAGCGGTATCCCAGACTTGGACTCCGTTGGTTCCATTCATCAACATGCCTTCATTCTTCATCCACATGTAATCATTCAGACGCTCACGATGGCGACGAACTGAATAGCTGTCTGGCCCATCATGGAGATAGCAAGCTACCATGTTCATCGGGTTGCTCACAGGGCCCAAGCCTGCATAGTCCGTATTCTCGTCTTCCATCCTAATCAACTCCCAGGTCCAGTCCTCTGCGCGTTTTACCAACGCAGAAATTCGGAGGTAGGGGTTCCAGACAGAGACGAGAAGTTGGTTGATCAGGTTTAAAAGCCAGGTCTTGGGATAGTAATTATCGGCTTCATGGATCGAGTTCCGGTGACTTGCAAAGTTGATAGAGTCGTAAGGCTGCGTGTACAGCTCCTGACGCAACTGTTTCGTGAGCGGGTCCAGAGGATGGGTGAATTTCTTGGACCATAGGTACGACATGGGCAAGAAGACTTGACGTATATGGATCCACCACCGCCAAGGTGCAAAGGGAACCCAATCCGGAAGAAGCCTATTCCATTGTTAGGCTCTTGTTGATATTTTACAAGAAAATGCGTAGATGTAATGGAACGTACCAAAGCTCAGGCGGGACAGGATTGACGCACTCCCATTCCATGACACCGAGAACACTGAGCCACGCTTTCGCCCAGTGAGGCCCATATACGGCACCACCAAACTTATGTAAGAGTCCACGGGCTTTGATCATACGAGGGTCGTCTTCGCTGACACCGATCAAGCGCAGCGCCACGTAGTTCATGCAAGTACCAAAGACAGAGCTATGTGCCTCAATGTGCAAGCCCCAGCCGCCGTCCTCCGGGTGCTGACGAGCAAAAAGATACCTTTTGATCTCAGTCGCATACTCTGGCGGGATCGGAGTGTTGGTCACGTAGTACGTGATTATGAGGCCAGGGAGCAAGAACATTGGGCCTCCGTACTCACAGGCCCAATTGCCTGGAGGGAGTTGCAATTTGGAGAAAAATTCCAAGCCATTCTCGGCACATTGCAGTGGAGTTTTTGCTTTCGGCAGCTCTGGAAGTCCCTGTGGCAGATAGTCAGTTATGTGTATGGCAAACATGCGGTTCGTGCCGGCAGGGGCGAGAGGTGTTACCGTAGGGAGTCCCAGAAAATGCTTGTCAGCGACAGATTGAGGCCATTTCTCATTTTCTTCATCGGATTCCAAATAATGCCAGGTCTGACGGCCCCGATCATCTAACAATCTCCATCTTGAATAGTCTGTTTTGAGGTCTCCGTTCTCGTCAGGACTCAAGTGACCCTGAGCTGCAGTTCTCCACGAGGCAATTGGGCCTCCCGTCATTATCTGGTTCGGAGAACTCCAAATTCCAAAATACGCCGTAAAAGCTGAGGTCTATTTTATTACTTGGTCAACTGATGAACGTGCGAACGATGAACAGGGGAAATAATGAAAAAAAAGAGCACCAATGATTAAGAGCAGATCACATGTAGATCCGGAATGTTGATATGCATGTGCTTAGTCATCAGGGGTACAACTTTACTATGCGCATCAGGCAACTCATTTACAGTAAATCATTGCTCCATATGTATATCAAGGATGAAAGCTACGGACGGAACAGAAATTAGGGCCTTGGTGGACAGACTAAAGTGTGTAGAAGTTGTTTTGTTGATAGCGTTGTTGAGTATATTTTTATTCTGGTCCACTGTATAGACTAGATGGTGGCTGGAGGCAAGAAATAGAGTTCTTCGACTCTGAAAGAATTGAATTTACGTTGGAGCAGCCTAGAGAGATTTGATAAATCGGGGATTATCATGGCATCAGAGAGACTTCCTGGACCTACTAGAGGATATGACCTCCCCGAGTCCGTTCACTGCTGCTTCGACTACATAGTCACTTGACTCTTGTCCATCGACTCTTCTCCTCAATCTATCGACAAACATAGTATACGACCATGAGCTAACCGCTAGCGATGGAGACTGCACCGGACAATGCTGAATCGAGCTCAGCTAGGCTATTCACGAGTCAGGAGCAGTCCCAGAAAGAGCGAGTTCAGAGGTATCTTGACAACGCACTCGTAGAGATCCTGGGTGAGCTACGAACGCCAGACGGTCGACCAACCCTGACATTGAAACGGAGATCCCGAGGAGTTCCCTTTTCCATAAATCCCGAAAACCTTGCTCTAGAGACCGAGGAGAAAGAAATACTATCATCCTACAGCTGGCCGGGTAGGAATGCTTATGAGGCTTGGAAGTTTAGTACGGAACTTCTTTTCCTTTGGAAATCTGGATCCAACTAAAGTTGTTAGCTGCCATCATCCGAGGAATAGCAGTTATCGCGGAGGCAATCCAAGCTGGTCTAGTAGTTTCCAAAAGGTTGCAATTATCTGAAAATAAGGCAAGCCTCGAGCGCTGGCTGATTGAGTAACAGAGACATCTATTACAGCGATCCAGCTTGTTTCGGTTCTCAGCAAATCGTTGACACGATAATCGATGACATTGCTCATACGATTGGGGTTGATAGAGCGGCGTTGAACGTGGTAATACATCCAGATCGACTCTTTGACTCGAATGTTCAGGTAACATCAGATGGCGCAGGAAGCGGTAGCCAAAGGGCTTGTTGCGGGATATTATCGGCTGATGACCAAAGCTGGCGAAGTGGTGGACGCTCGCTTATCGACCAAGGTAGTCCACACTATTCACACTTCTCCCGGGGATAACAATGATGATGAGATGAGCTAGGATGTCCTGATACCGAAACCGGAAGACATTCAAGCAATCGATGCCTCCGAGGTGAAATGGGTCTTGATCCTGGAAAAAGAAGTAAGAGAGAATATATCACCACGTATCTCCCGCTGCGCACAGTGTGGTAACATCTCATTCCCAGGCAGTCTATCGTCGACTCTCGAGAAGCAGCTACCACACTAGAGCAGCCGCAGGCAAAGGTGTATTGGTAACAGTAAGTTTTCGAATGCTGGAACCACGGTGTGGCAATTGACGGTGAAATACAGGGCAAAGGCTATCCGGACCTCAGCACGCGAGCCTTTGTTCGGAGATTGCTTGATGAAACTAGACATCTCCCCGCAGAGGAAGCCCCACGCTTTTATGCTCTCGTTGACAGTGATCCTGATGGCATGGCAATCATGTCGACATATAAATATGGGTCGATGGCACATGCGCGCGACAACGAGAGGCTCAATGTTTCCAAGCTTCGCTGGCTGGGACTCCGAACATCAGACGTCATTGGAGGTGCAGATTCATACGGGGACGAGGCTTTCATTCGCTTAAGCCCGAGGGACAGAAAGAAGGCTATTGCAATGCTGTCGAACAATCCCGTGTGGGCAGAAGATGGGCCAGAGCAGGAATGGCGCGCAGAACTGCAGCAGATGCTCATGTTGAACTTGAAGGCCGAGATTGAGATTCTCTACGATCGGCGGGAAGGACTTGAAGGGTGGATTGACAAGATGATCTCTACAAGCTGATACATCGGGACAACGGATTGTCGCTTCGAAGCCGAAAGTTAGAAAGTTTTCGATTGACAGCTGATGGAATGTAGAGGAAACAAGAGGTCTATTGCGCGTTAACCTGTCACACAATGAGTACAAAATTGAGCCGAAAGCGACACGCTGAGTGATATAAACGATTGAAAAGAAAATAAGACATCGGGAACAAACCAGAAACGCCATTTATCCGACCCGACGTCATAACCACCCAAGCTTCGATGCTAGGAGTGCCACATGTAGTGACAGACAAACTCGTAGCACGAGCATGGCTCACAGCTTATGTACAGCCCCAGGAATAAATACCTTATATATCCATCCAGCGTGTCCGCATGTTGTTCCCTACAGACCCAAGCCTTTCCTGACCTCATCACGAACCTTCCGTTCATACTCGCTTCTGCGTTCTCTCCACATTTTTGCCGCCTCAATGTTGGCAGGGCTTTCGTCATTGGGTTCTGCCAGCATGCTCATGACGGAGATTAGAATTTTCTCCACACTCTGAATGGGCGACCACCGCTCGGACGCATGCTCGTAATGGTTCGGATCATCGCCGGGAGGATGAAGAATGGATATGCAGACGGTTCCGTTGGGATAGACTGTTAGGAGGATATGTCAGTCACCGCATGAACTTGATGTTGAGTGAAGGGAGAAGAAACACGTTATCTCTCACCATTCGGGTGCCACACCCCACCACCGACAAATTTCATTGTTGGCGGACTCAGCGGATAATCTTTGGGAAACTTGAGCTCTGCTGCAAACACGCCTCCTTCGTACGGTGTACCCTCAGGACCTTGTATCAAGGCCTCCCAGTGGAACATATCATCCTCGCTGACTGGACCGGCAGTGATGCCCTCGGGTGGGTTCGTTGATAAGTTCTTATACTCGTGAAAGAGACGTTTCTGTGCGACGGACGACATTGTGTAACCGAAGATCCAAAATTGGAGGAAAGTGAGCGAGCAGACTTCGAGGCGTAGCGACAAAGAGAAACGAAAAGGGTAGAGTTTGTAGATAGCTGAAGCCGTGGAAAGTGGGCTGCGGAGAAGTGGTGATCGGTGTGGGGTTCAGGAATCCCGACTCCCCAAATGTGGACGCTATCTGAATGACTTGGAGGAAGCTAAGCCTGCAAAGACTAGAGGGACGCTCTAGGGGTGGAAGATCAGGGGACGTGATGGAATGCTGCCGGAGGATATTTGACCCAAGTACTTTATAGCTGACGACGGAAATGGAAACGGGGTTTTGCCACCCGGCAAGAATTCACTGTGGCTTTCCCCGAGGATCGGCCCGCAATGACTGAAGACCGATCATAAGTTCAATATGAAGTCGCTGATTGCTGCAAGTAATGAAAGGACAAGGTAAGAAGGGCTTGACCTTGACAGTCCCACAATGAAATTATATCTACTTATAATACATTATTAATGTATATGGGGCGGTCTATATAATCTATATAAAGAACGATCTCGAGAGTTCTCATTGTTTGAGAACCAACAGAAATACGCAGGTACAACATATGCCAGGGGTATAATCTTATCGCAATCATCAAAACCAGTCATTATCCCCTTCTTCACCCTCATCATCTGGCTCCTCGATGTTCCAGGGATCTTCAGGCGCGCGAGCAAAAGGATCCTCTTGCTCCTCGGCCCATACATCCCCGTAAGGACCTGCTTGACCGGGAACCGACGATTGCTGGTCTGCCGAGTATGGCTGCTGCTCGGGTGGGGGAGGATGCTGTGGATCGCGGTCTTCTACCATGCCTCTTGACAGCGCATCGTAACCAGCCATCGCACCCGCACCAGCAGCTCCTGCAGCAGCACCTTCAGCAATTTCTCCAGCGGCGCCAGCCCTGCCAATGGTGCCCGCGGCTGCCTCACCTACAGCTCCAGCTTCGCCAGCAGCGGTACCACCGGCAGCGGCCTCTCCGCCAATGCCGGGGAACCAGATGGGCATGAAGCCAAAACCGCCAGCACCACTATGACGACTAAAGTAATCGAAGTCAATGCTGACCGCAGTGGCCAGCATTACTGCCCGTTGATCCAGCGTCATCCCAGTTGGCGCGCTTGCTTGTGTGGTCAAACCCTCAGAACCAAGTGCCGCAGAATCCATGCGAAGAGCATAGACACCAGTGTCTGTGAACAGTTCCCGCGCGAAGCCAACGAAATTTCGATTGACTGAGCCAATGAGTCGGTTGTCTGCTGAGCGTAGAGAGAAGTCCCATGACAAGAAGGGCTCATCGACATAGGCGAACTGATGGTATTCCCCAACATCTTGACCGCTGTCACTAGTCTGCGTCAATTGCATCTGCTGCGAGTTTGATAACCCCGTTTGCGAAAGAGGTAAACTCTGAGTTCCCATCTCTGTGGCGTCAAGAGGGGAGTGATGATAGGTGAAAAGGTTGTATTTCCGCCGTAACGGCGCCCACTGCTGCTGTGCTTCTCCAATCACACGCATATCCTCTAATCCCAAATGCGAGACGCGTGCATTCGAGCCCCCCGTAGCTTGGACAAGTGACCCTGAAGATGCAGTCTGAACTGCGGTTGAAGACGAGAAGGCGCTTTTGGCAACATCAAGAGGGTCGTACACCCGAATGCGAGAGTTAATCCAAGAGAAGGGGCGGTGGAACTGAAAAGCTTTAGCATATCCATTCCTGGTCCAACTTCACAACGGATATAGACATACTCGAAGCACCTCATTTTCGTGCCGATCAAACACATGCGTCACAAAACTCCGATGTGTTCGAAACCACTGTCGCGCCATCATATTTGCCATGCCTTTCTCTTGTTCAGCCATGTAGCCGATATGGTTTCCATTTGCATCCATGATGACGTATTTGTTCGCCTGTTCGAATCCGCTGCGCATCGCTAGTTAGCTTTGACATGACCTTCGCTGCGATACATGGGCTGCATACATCATCACATTCATCAACTCAAGCTGCCTTTGTATAACCAAACCAGAATTTGCCAATATTCCCATGGCTGGATGTGTCTCTTTGAGGACGCCATTGGGATCTTCTGGTATATGAACGGGAGAAAGTAAGGTGTTCTGGGCGGGGTCGTAGTTTGGAGTTGGCCTGTTCGGTTCCGTACTTGTTGGTTCAAACTGTTGTGGAGAAAGTGCTCCTCTGTTATGTGCTACAGGCCTTAATCTCCGTGTCACATCTCGAGGAACTCGAGGGCTCCGACGTCCTCTAGTGAACGAGCTCGCGAAAGCACGGCCAGGCGCTGCCACCGACCCTATGAGAGATGTTCGTAGTCTTGAGTTCCACATAAAGGTGGTCACTCGAGGGGTGTGAATGAATAGACTTGACGTATGTTGGTTTCTTGAGGGTTAAGCAAATCCGTCTGTAACTTCCGCAAATAAAGACGAACACCGTCGGTAGCTCTTGAGGAGTAAGGTGGAAGAAATGTCGAGCTGTGGCGGAGCAAAGAGGAATGACGAAGTTCCATTGTACTCTTGTACCGCGCGGAATTAAGCGGAGATAAGAGGCAACGCAGAAGAAACCAGAAGAGGTGCAGAGTCAACAAGTGCCATGATTGTATATACCGTTGAACCCGCATAGATCCTACAACGGCTTGATGAGTCTGAGACCCGTTCCAATTCTGTAGAAACAGGACTTATTGTTCTCGCGAGACTGGAACGTGTCGCAGTAATGTATCTTACCGAGCTAATTACAGTTCTACATCAGGGTCGGTGAAATGAATGGCTGAGAACGCTTGAATAGAGATTGAATATACGTACAGCATAAGTCTCGCTCAAGAAACAACTTTTCGCCTGCTGTTGATGCCCTACTCAATTCGTATGATTACAATAGACCTTTCCGAGCCAACTCAATCTTCCGCGCCGCCTCCCCAGGCTTGTAGCCTCCTTTCGAGATGCAGACAGCACTTCCTTCGCCCAACTCAACCTTATCTTCGACACTTGGATGCGCACATGGGCAATGATGAGGAAAGTCAACGCATGCGAGCGTCCCCGGACAGAGGTATTTGTTGCAGTTGGCTGATAAGCGGCGCGTTAGCTATTTTGTCCACAGTTTTTTGATTGAGAGGCGAGATCCTGTGCGACAACTCACTTCCTTCCCATAGCTGTTGGTATCTTGCACTGTCGCTGGCAGAATTCTGTGTGTTTTGTTGATGTTGTTCTTGGTGACCACCTCCAAACATGTGCTCGAAGAACTGGAATTGCGCCTGCGCGACGGAGGCCAGAAGGAGTAGAGCCCCGAGGCATCTAACCCAGCTAGAAAGCATGGTGTTCGTTACTTTCTTATAAAGAGCCAGTTGACTTATATGGAGAAGAAATGAAACACAAAAGATTCAGTAATTGATAGCTGAATCGACAACAAACCATCGTCCCTTGAAGCCAGCTATCTCCACGGCACGTGACTCTCCGCCAAGATTGTAGGAAAAAGTCGCGGATTTCCAACTGTGATGAGCTTCCGCAGTCCTCGCCGGTTGGGCATTGGAGTGACACCACTTTCCGTGCAGACCACAATGTTACAACCCAGACTGTTAGCGCCCTTCCGGGCGCTCGAACGCACATTTGCTTCGTCCCTCCGCTCGTCGCAGGCGATACACCACCCGCCTCGATCTTCGCTACTCTTCCAACGCACACCCATCTCCGCACCGTCTCCGATCTCGAAATTCCTCCTCCCTCTTTCTCATGTCCGTCACGCCTCTCACGCCACTCAGGGTACTGCAAACCGACACTCGCGTGATCCTGCTGGGAAGCGACTCGGCGCGAAGAAAACCGGTGGTGAATATGTTGTCCCCGGTTGCATTATCTTCCGACAGCGCGGAACGAAGTGGTTCCCCGGCGAGAATTGTGCGATGGGCAGAGACCACACCATCTACGCCACAGAGGCTGGCTACGTGAGATATTACCTCGATCCCGAGCGGCATCCGGACCGGAAGTACATTGGTGTCTGCTTCGAGAAGGAAGGAAAGCTGCCCACACCGCGGAACGCCCCGACGAGACGGAAGTTGAACAGAATCGCTGTCCCTCGCATCCCTGATGGCCCCGAAGTCGTTGCTCAGTCAGATTTGGTTGCAACTGTTGAAGAGGGCACGATGGTCTCCAGCGTGGAGGCCGCCAATGCCGCCACAGGCCCCAGCTGCGTCCTGGATACATGTACCGTGAGGCGAACTGGCAGATTGGCCGCGCCGCTGAGAAGGCCGGCATCACCGCCAAGCCCTATAGGCGCAAGAATCGTTGGCTGGCCTGGAGAAAGAGGCAGGCTAGAGCCGAACGTGCTGCCCAGATGAAGAGCCTTAAGAGCAAGAAGAAGGCCGCGAAGAAGGGCAAGGGTGGCCGTTAGTTGATCGATAAGTTCTCTTATCTTCAGCAACATATTATCAGAGCTCTTTGTATGACACATTCGCAGGGTTTTAAGGTGTTTCTTGTATTATAGATCGTCACATGCTCCAAATTACAGATTGTATGATGTGTCCGAGTCTTCGAAGAAGCAGCAGACAGGGATCAGAATTGTAAACCTGAATTGTATTTATCTCTGTTTAGTTTGTTCCAAAGAGCGAGAAGTAGGTGCTCTGCCAAGAAACACGCGTTTGGATAAGTATAGCAGAAAAATGCAGGGGTATCTGTACAGGTCTAGAGCATTGGCGGCTCGCTCCAACTAGGGAATATCACATCCAATAACCAAACAAAGAGCTCCAGCTTCCGATGCAGATGATGCGCAAACCCATAGCGACATAACAAGATAGGAGGGCACGGAAAGGCCGTCAAGGAAGGAAAGAGGGAGACATCACTGCCCGAACAGTCTCCCAAGTATGAGACTCTGACAAACAAACTCATTGCCCACTATCCTGACACTGGTACTTAAGCCTATATCGCTGCCATCGATAGACTCAACCAGCTCGGTCCTCTTGCGCTTCTTCGTACCCTTAAATGACTGAGACTTGAGTGTGCCGGGCATTGAGGAACCAAGAATCGCGGCCTTTGCCGAGGCCATCTCATCGCCGTCGACGTAGATCCAATCCCAGGTGCATCCAGTGCCAGCAGCGGCCTGCTGGTCCAGGCTTGCTCTCGCCGACTTGAGATCAGGCACACGTTCAACTCTAGAAGCACCCAAGGCGTACGTGAGGAAAATGTACGCCTTTCTTCTTTCTTCATCTGAACGCCCCCGCGACCCATGACAAGCAACACCGACTGGTCCTTGAGTAAGTTGGGGCGAGCTGCAATGGTATCCGGTAGTCGCGCTGTTGTAGCCGGATACGGAGCCAAGAACCTTGATTTCGTTGCTCCATTGAGATATATAGATTCGCCCGAAGGGAGCAAATATATTTCCCAATCCAGGATTCGGTTTTGGGCAACGCAGTCCTCAATCCAGCGGTCTGATAGACAGGGTATATTCAAGGCCAGCGCCTGCATGTACTTCGGGCGGCGAGAATGCTTATCGGCGATGAGGCAAGCGAATCCCACTTCTTCAGCATTAGGTGCCAGACGGAACTGGCCATTGTCACAGTTCGCACCTGACGCTGGTGATTTTGTCGGAGTCGTAAGCGGTGCGTGCGAAGGCAACTCAAAGAGCTCACTGAAGCCGTCCTTCAAAATGCTCCCATCATTGTCCAGGATCATCTTTGTGATACGAGATTTGGCTTCGTCATTATCACCGTAGGAGACAGCGAACACCATGCCCGCGAAAATACCGTTCAACAAGCGAATGCTTCGCGGTAGCCGTGAACCCGGAGATGCTGGCGTGGAATACCTGTCAGAAGGCGTTTGGAGCCTGCTTTCGGAATGCGCAGCTCCCGAACTGTAGGTGAAAGCTCGACCTTTGAGCTGATTCCACAAGATCGTGTCCAAATAGATCCGCGATACGGGAACCTTGATGAGATTGTCAGGCCCCGTCAGCCCACCGGTCGGAAGGCTCTTGCGTTGTTTCGGTCCGAGTAACAAAGTAGTATACCCGTATACATCGGTGATTGGAAGGCCTCCGTCAGAGGCAGCCTTTGTGATGTCCTCAGCGCTAACCCTATCCTCAAAGCCGCGAATGATATGTGTCACCTTGGGGACATTGGGCATGTCAACCTTTACAGCATCCCCGATTTTCAATTCCAGTCGTTTGACAGCGCCCATCGGCACTTCAAGGGGAACGCTGTCTTCAAACTTGACCAAGACTCGGGACTGCGAGATGCCGGGTGGCTTGCCGAGACAAGTTGCAGGATAATATGCCCGTTTCTGGCCACTCCAGGGAGCAATGACTTGATTCAGCGCGATCGGAGAGGTATCTCCGTGAATCGAACTGGCTAGATCGCAGTCGTCATTGCGCATTGGCTCTGGGGACTTATCCTTCATTTTCTCTCCTTTGTCCTGTGGAACCTCAAGACTTCCCTGACAGAGATCCTCTTTTTCCCCGGCATGCACATTCATATCCTCTGCCGGTTCCGATGGGCGAGGCCCTGAGTCTGCCTCAGCATGAGGGCGAGCAAGGTTTTTCAACCTTTCTTTCCGGGAAACGTGATATTGAGGGGTATCCTCCACCTCCCATACTGTCCCCATTCGCCTGGAAGACCTCGATCTCTTTAGGAAGCTCGATTCAGACTTGTCCACGGACTCATCAGTTTGCAGACTCTGTACCGTGATCTTCTCGCCATTTTGAGATTGAGCATGCTGAGGAGTGATATGAGGCTTGAAAGGTAATATCGGATCAGATGCATATACGTTCTGCCCATTTCCACGTCGCTTTTTCCTCGGTGGGATCGGGGACGCAGAGACCACGGAACTAAATTCCTTATCATCGGCTGTGAGAATGCCAATATCAACATCGACGAGAGCAGTTCCAGCTTGAGGCGAAGCATCGGCAGCTATCTCTGTTAGCGCCCTGCGCTGTCTCCCGCTTGGGCTCGAGAGTATTTTGGCAGTGCGGAAAGGTCTAGCTGGGGTCGAACTCTCAGGGATAAGTGGTTGAGAGTGACTGATGCGCCCTTGCTCAGTAGGATAAGCAGGGGGCAGGTCATCATCCTCTTGATCCATAGGGTCATTATCCACATCGTCTGCCCAGCTCTGATTGTGTATTGTGTTAGGACTAGTCTCGGGAACGCTCGTCGTTGGGATTACATCACCGAAGCCCCTCGGACGTTGGGGCACAGGTGTTTCAGCCACGCGAGAGGGCATGGAGGAGGGTTTTTCACGAGGATCTACTGTTGCGCCCTTGGGTCCGGTCCCCTTGGTCTTTCGGCTAGATTGCGTTGTCGCAACTTCCTGGCCCGAGGATGCATCCCTTGGAAGCTGACTGGAGGAATCGTGACAGCTCGCTGAGCTTGACCGACTACGCGTCGTTGCGCGGTTAAGATGGGCCGGGTGTAGCACTTGGTCTTGTTCACACTCTGGGGGAGGCGGAGACGAGCGCAATGCTAAAGGCCTTGTGGGGGATGAAATAACCCTATCCCGGTCAGAGGGATCACCATGGTATCGCACCCGGGAACGAGGCCGTTCGCTGTGATGCCACGGACTATTCGTGACAACCTTATCGTGGTGCCCATGGTCTTCTTGCCGAGGAGATTGTTGAGAATCTTTCACAACCATGGTCTCCAATATTGCTTTAGGCTCGCTTGCGTTTCGGTCAGGACTGCGAGACAGTTGAATATCTTCCTGGGCCAATGAGTCGTCATGTAGAGAGAGTGCCTGAGAAAGTCGGTCATGCGCAGAAGCTGTAATAGGAAGACAATATTCCGAATCATTGTTCAAGTTCTCCTTGTCTTCATCGGTCGAGAGACTGGGAGCCTGCTGAGTAGGTTGAGATCGTGCCAAGTCACCACCATGTTCAGTTTCGGCTTCACTAATCGCACCCGATTGAAGCGCCGCATCAATTTTGTGAGTGTCAGCACAAGAGGTAGGGCATTTCAGCGCATCTTCCTGATCTCGTTGCTTCAACTTGCTGGATGGAGAAGTGGTTTCTTCGCCGGTTCTCCGTCGGCTTGACGCTCTTGCCGGGGCTGCAACTCCAGCAAACTGCGCCGAAGCTTCTTGATCGATCGTTCTCTGGCGGATGATACGCTCCACAAAACTAGGTTCCTTCTCAAACTCGCCGTCGCTCTGGTCCTCTGCATATATGTGCTCCGCGGAACGCGTCATCCTTTCTTGCAAATTCCTGTCACGTCTTGCCTGAGACTCTTTCATGCTGATGTAGGCCATTGGCGTCTCCGAGCGGTCTTGCGGAAAGGTTGCGGCGAGCGCGTTCAGAGGAGAAGATAGCACGGTGGCTAGCGGATGATTTTGAATGGGGAGATTTGGAGAAGGTCGGTCGGACATGAGGTCGGGCTGCTGACCATAAACCAATGGAGACGACGGAGCCTGTGTTGCCTTGAACACCTGGCTCAGTGCCATGATCCCACCGCTTGATTGAATGTCCGATGCAAGAGGATTCTTTGAAACGCATGGGGTCTCTGAGTTGGAACACTCGGGCTGGCCTAATTTGAAGGCTGTCGCTGGTGTGCTTGTCAAGAACCGCTGAGATTCAGGGAAGAGGTTCGGTTGGTAGTGCATGGGCGATGATTCTCCTAACTTGGAGCTGTTTTGGTCTTCATTGTCCTCGGCATCGATGATATCGGGACATGTGTTCTCGAACCCAGACAACAAATCTACATGGCCACTGTCACCCTCGTGCAAAGTCATCATTGTAGCCCGCTCCACAATATTGCTGTCGGACGCATTTCTAGCTGCATCCTTGTTTTGTCTGATCATATCGTCAAACACCGACTGCGAAATGACCTGAGTGTCTGACGGGACACCGTCTGCGGAACCCATCTTCGCGGTATGTCCAACGGGCAGAGGACTTTCGGGGACGTCTTTAGACCCGGACAACCGTTTCCGGTCATTCAAGGGTGCAGCAGCATGCTCTTCTCGAGAAATCGACCTGGCCGGCGATTGTCGAACGACTTCCGGGTTAGTGGACGACGCATTAAAGTCCGGGGGTTGGTTATTTTCGCGATTATTATCATCAAGGGCCCTAGGAGGAGGAGAATTGATCGTCTCCAACTCGTCCAGCAGGAGTTGGGATGGTGCAAGGTCCTATCGAATGATGATTGGTGTTAGTACGGACAAGCTCAGTAACGCCACTGAGTCGCTGTGTCAACTCACTAGCCCCAGCGCGACGCGTTGCAGCTGTGCAATGTCGATGCTGTCGTCTTGTGTCTCCATGATTTATCCCCTCCATAAGACCTTAAAATGCCAGAGGCGAAATATTATTGTCTCTATCGGGGTATAAAGACCTATATAAGCGTGCAATCAGCATTATCATCCTTACTTCATGGACCGAACCAGAGAAACGCGAAACGCGAAACCCACGTGACTGTCAAAGTAATATTACCAGTTTAGGAATAGAACGTATTTCCAACAAAATGTTCCACTGAAGAGTTATACTACATCCTGAATCCAGGCTACACAAGGATCTTGCGGTTCGCCAAAACCGAGTGCCTATGTAAAGATAGTTCTGATTGAAATCAGATTACCGGTCCAGTGTCGACAAGGCGCTTCCCATATCGTCTCACAATACTGTTACAGTAGGTCACTTCGCCAACCGAAGAGCAGCGCCCTTCGCCGGTTGAAAGCCTAACAGGCTATTTATGATGTAGTAAATGATATAGAGGCGATATCGGAGGCGAAGTTAGTCCCGCGTGCGATTAGGAACCCACCGCCTGATTAGCATTTCCCGCACCCTGTATCGAGAAAGGAGATCCCCGATGTCCGAGTGATTCTTCGAATCGTGAGATCGCGGCGGTGGAACTTCCACGTAGCATACCACCAAGCTCTTCTTAACTTGCGCCTGCACTCTATTCACGCAATGCAGCCACCACCAACTTCGTGCCTGTTTCGTGGCACAATAAGATCTCCTATCTGATGTTTCAGACCAGTAGGAGTGCTCGTAGGCAGGAATAACTACAACCGCAAACTCAGCGTGGGAGAATACGGGTCCGCGGTTGTACAGAAGATAATCCACTCCAAATTTAACCCCAGAACGCACAATCCAGCCCAGGGATCGAAAGTGATGGTAGACAATGTAAGATATCATAAAAGGATCGTCCGGTTTCAGATCGGTGGATGAATCACGTGGAGGGTAGTATGAGTTGTGACAGAATAAAGAGAGTAGAGACGTAGGAGGAATGATGGTCTTCTGCTGATGATCGTAGACATGAAGAATCCCAAGCCCATAAGCAAGGAAAAAAGCCTCTTCGTTCGATAACTGTAAGTGTTCCTCGTTTTTTAAAGGAAGCTCTTCCTGTGACGTCTCCTGAGCCTCTGTAGCTGGCTCGGGAAGGCGTACAATTGCCGAGTCTGACGCAAATTCTTTCTCTTGAACAACAGGTGAAAAGCGAACTGCCTTGCTGGGAGACTCTTGCCTGGGAGACTCTTGCCTGGGAGACGAGGAGGCAGGGCCGTTGTTTCCCTGCTCCTTGGAACGCTGTGATTCGAGCATTCTAGCTTCTCTTGCTTTCCGAAGAGAGAACTTTTCGAGTGTAACGGCTGTGCCACCAGGAGCACCGTCTGCGAGTAGGGTCGCCGTCGTCAGGTCGACGGTAGTAGCACCACTCTCACGTGCAGCAGCTTCGGCCTTCAGTCTCTGCTCAATTGCTACCTTCTCCATTCTCGCTCTCTCAAGTTTCAGTTCACGTCGTTCTGTTCTACGCTGCCGTGTGAGTTCCTCGTTGGTCTGGCCACCGAGTAATCCCCTCCGTTTCTTCTCGCGTTCCAGCCAACTAGGCTGACTTCGGCTTAAAGTGCCCTTTCCAAAGAACCCCATCTCCCACAAGGCTTGAATAGCCTTTTCGTCCGTGACATGGACGGAGGACGTCGCAGAATCGAAGTAGGCGGCATAGGTTTCTTGGTGAGGTCGAGAGATAAAATAAGTCAGGTAAGACAGCACCACACTAATGAGCGACAGAGGATTGTGAGGAATGAGAGGTGGTAGAGGATGAACATCGAGGGGAAGAGGAAACCGGTGGATGTGCTTGTAGTTAGGCTTCGGAGGCCTGGAGCGATGAGCTGGGCGAGCGTTATTGTGTGGCATGGATTTGGTGGGAGATCCAGCAAGCTCAGCAGGCGAACTAGGGATTGATGTGGATGAAGAGGCCATGATTAACGGAAATTTTGATTCAATTACACTATCCAATTAAGATTTCTATCTACAAAGCGAAGAGTCAGCTCGAAGCTTTCTATCGCACATTCTCTTCGCCAACACAAAGCAGGTGAAACAAGTTCTTCTCCTCAGATACCGTTGTAGTCAAAAACAAGCATTCACTGACAACAGCTAGAAATCAAAGTGCCATTGCCTAAGCTTGAAATGGTGTCATCACCGGAGAGAACAGATATATACCCTTCTAGTGTTGACCAGAGTAGTTATTGCTTACCAGAAAAGATGGTTTTCTGGACACCTAGTGTTGAGGGAGGGCAACGTAGATATCATGAGGCTTTCGCCGAAAGTCTTGCAGTTAACTCAAGGACTCCATCAACATCATGTTGGAATCCGAGTATGAGCAATGAACATCATCATTTTATCTTTGTCATTTGGATGTGTGTTGAGCTTGAAGTTGGAAAGAGGAAAAATAAAAAATTCGGTTCGGCGTCGACGCAATTAAAAGGGCGCCCGGAATGACTAAGCAAGCTCTCATTGGCCTGAGCTCTATACTCTCCGACAAAAAAAAATTCCTCCACTTTATCGATCCGAATTATCACGAGGGCAATACAGTCGAGCAGCTATCGATCATAATTTAATTATCCTTAGAACCGCTTCTTAGCTTTATTCAATAATCCGAATTCAAGTGAGTTTGACTCTTCTCGCCCCTGCCACAATTCTCTTTCCTATTGTCTTCAAGTGACTGACTGTGGAACAGGATGCATCTTATGGTACGTTACAACGGACATCAGTGTCTCGTCGCGCAGAGGATAAACTATTCTGACACGAATCGTTTGCTAGTACGTTCTCGACAAGGATGGCAAGAGGGTGTACACCCTCAAGAAGGTCCTGGTGAGTGCTTCTTTACCATTAGGCGTGTCCGACCGACGCTAACCACGAACTCGAATGACAGAACGGCGAAGTCACCAAGTCTGCCCATCCTGCCCGGTTTTCGCCAGATGACAAGTACTCCAGGTAAGTACTAGGAGTCGCAGATCGATACGCCCGGTGTGAAAGGGAAGGGATTGAGCTAATCTTATACCCCAATGAACAGACACCGTGTCACCCTCAAGCGGAGATATGGCCTCCTGCTGACCCAGCAGCCTGGTACGATACTTTCTTTAAATTGCCATCGTCTTCGAGAAACTAACAAATTCAATAGAGAAGACGAACGCGGCGCTGTGATAAGGAACGAATAGTAGCAATCTGAGCTGGTATACAAAGGGTGTTTTCGAGTCATTTATGGGCGAATGGTGTTATTGTGCGATCTTTGAGGACAGAAAATGTCGTTTACTTGTTGCTCTTTTGGATAGACACTGCTCATACGAAGAGATGTCACCATCGGACAATATGTGCCGCCAAAGAGTATGCACATTTTGCTTGATGAAACTAGTCTATATGTTCATTCCGTCGTAGATGTCCTAGAAGCTTTATAAACAGGTCCAGGTCAAAATGTTCAACCAAAATCGTAATCACTTTTTGCATGCCAACCAACGATACCGCCGATGACCAGCCAAAGGGGCAGAACACGCGTATTGACAGAAGAAATCCGTTAAATCTTGTCCAGATCCCAACCTCACCATAGACGCAAAGGTACTATATATGGGATGGCAAGGAAGCTGCGAAACAATTATCGCCGCCTTGCGTTGACATTCCTTCCAGCGCCGACTTTAGGTCTACCACCATGCTTGCTTCGTTCGCCAGTCAGAATTCCCGGTAAGTAATCCTCATCCATCAAGTCTCGCTCCTTGCGGAGTCTTCGACTCTCCTCCACCGATGCTCTGACATATTCCTTCTGGTCTTCAGCAAAAATGAGTTCTGTTCCCCATCCATCCTTTCCGCCGCCGCCTTTCCACTTTCCACTAGCGCTGCCGTGGGTGGGCTTGGGAATGCTGTATCGGTTGCCTCTGTTGTTCCATTGCATATTTTTCTTCAGATGCATCTTGAATTGTCCGTTTGCCCCTGTGGTGCAAGACACACGAGTGAGGGTATCTTTACCGCAGCGCGGGCAGAACTGCTTGGTCATGTCCTTTGTGGTGAAAAAACAACCGTGACAGCGTTTGATGAAGGACTTGAGATGTCGGATCCGCTGAAGGGTAGTTGTAGAGAGCAAGTTGAGGTTCATCTGAAGCAGAACATTTTGGCACTATATGATGACGATCAGTATTGATTTCAATGCAAGGTTTAAACCATCTTGGAACAACTTTCCGAACTTACCGCAAAATCAGTGGTCATGGTTGCGACCTGCATAACCTTTGGTTCCGGTGCTGCAGACGCAGAGATCGACTCATCAAGGGCTTGTCGCTTCTTCAGATTGGAAGGCGTGATCCAGCCACCATCAGAATCAGAGCCATCATCGTCCCCGCCTTCGGTTTCAGCGTCGGCACGTCCTTCACCGTCCTCATCGACCCGTGCGGTCTCTAGGGTCTCAGCGTCTTCCGTAGAATGGGTTGGTTCCTCAGTGTCACCGGCATCGGTTTCAAGTGTGGTCTTGCTCAAATCCTCCGCAACTTCGTCAACCTCTGGCACCTTCGTAGTCTCTGTAGTATCTGCCGCATCGGCAGTCTCTGTTGTCTCTGTTGTTTCTGCAGTGTTCGCCTGCTCGGGCTCTTCCACTTTCTTCTCCTCCTTCACCGGCGGCTTGCCGTTCACCTGTTTTTGGCCAGGGGTACTTCTCAGTCTCCAGTCACCGCCATTTCTCTCGCATTCGATTTCATATGCGAGCGCCAGAACCTCGATATCAGTTTTACTGAGCACGGCTCTATCACCAGTTTTTCTAGCGAATTCGCTGATCACGCTGACACTCTTCGGCGAGGGTGTTCGCTGCTTGAGAAAGGGCAAGTAAAGTGTCTCGACTCGCAAACGAGCGTCGGGGTCGCGGATTTCACGAACGACGGACGGAGTAATGAGGAGTTCCTCGCATTGTGTGAGCAGTGTGGAAAGCGGCGGGGTATTCTTCAAGATTGGACCGGCATCAAGGATGATCGTGTGGACCGGCTTAGTCGGGGTGGATGAGTCTGCCATAGTTCTTAAATATGGATGGCAGAATCAAAGCGAAATGAACTACTGGCAGGTGCACAGATAGGAGCGGATTGACGATTGGTGAAGGGTTGCGAATCTTTCTGCCGGTGTCGCTGGAATTTTTGGTTGGTCTGTGCGTTATACTTATCTTAGCGCGGTCTTATCAGTCCGTCAACTGGCAAAGTAGAGGCTCTCCGTTCAGAAACTCCCAGCAATGGATCAATATTGAACTGACTCTACAAGACTTTCGCATTGAAGGAAACTTGATATATTGCCACGCACTGAGGTGAGGTAATGAGGTTCACAGCGAGCGATAAGCGCGCATCGTCAGGCGCTAAAGTCTTACTATTGCTACTACAGCGAAACGACGGAATAAGCTGCAGACTGCAGTTAGATATGTGCCTTGGTCTGCGCCAAGTAAGCACATGGGCACATAAAGTCTAGCTTAGTAGCAACCAGGCAGGGCATGTGACGAAGACGTATAGAAGGTAAAAGATAACGGTCATGAGCATAGAGACAACAAGGAACCAGGCGATGGATATCGGGTTATTGGTCGACAAGCCCAAGCTGCCCAACACAGACCACAGAGAAAAAACATAGCCAAAAAAGCTACCTCTTAAAGGGAGGAAGGCGGTCTAGCATGAGACGATCTCAACCGAAACAGGCGTGTCTATATCCCAATGGAAAGCATCGCTGAAAAAACAAAATCTAAAAGTCGGCAAACTCCTTGTCGACTTCCTCAAAGTGGTCAAAGAAGCCCTTGAACAGTTTAACGCCCAGGCCAGGATCTAAGCTACCCGTAGTGGCGCGAATGCTGTGCATACTCAGTTGCGGGATTCCTACGTCAATAGCTCTCACGCCGATGCGAGCACTCGTCATGGGTCCGATGGTTCCTCCGCTGCGAGAATCATTGCGGATCTGGAACACCTGCAAAGTAGAGCCGCATCGGTCGGCAACCCGCTTGATGAAGCCGTAACTGACACTATCAGTCGTCATGTGGCCATTCGAATCGGCGGAGACGGCCACGCCGACATTGAGGCGCGGGGCATGGTTCTCCAAGTACACGTTCAGAAAGTTAGGGTTAACGGCGTGAATGACATCTGAGGAAACGAAGAAGCTGTTGGCCACTGTCTGAGAGAGAAGATTGGGTCCGTAGTTGGATGATGCAAAAGCTTCCGTGATGCGTTCAATGACGCTGCTCATAAAGTTGGATCTGGCACCCTGGCGCAACAAGCTGCCTATCTCCTCATCGTCAAACATGCCAACCATCTTGATTGACCCAGTCGATGCGTCATCTGAAGAAGCTAGCAGCGCCTGATGAGCGGCGTAGCAGCACAATTTGTCGTCGATGCGACCGGCGAAGATAAGGTCCTTCTCTAAGCCACCAAGGCGAGCTGGTTGACTGTCATAGAGCTCCAACTCCCAGCTCAGGATCGTATCATAATCTGTGATCCCCAGCTCCTTTGAAATGATCTTGACCAATCTCTCTGGTTGGGTTGCCGCAAACGACCCGGGCTGGATACCACTACTCGAGTGGGCCGTAGGTGACACTTGCTGCTGAAAGAGATCAGAGTTGTCGATACCAACTATAGGGACCATCTGTGTCTCCTTGTTGAAAGGCCCTTGCGAAGGAGCGCCAAAATGAGGAGCCAGAGTAGGAATCCGAGCAATTGGCCAGTCCAACTTGACCAATTTCGACTCTACCTTCCCGGAAGTGGGGTCCCGGACCAAGACACGACCGCCAATTGACAGATCGCGATCCCACCATGTCTCGTTGAGGCCGCCGGCATACGGCGCAACACCTAGCTGAACGAATCCAGCCTTGGTAGGAAGCTTAGAGATAGGCTTCAATCTGGCGGTCAAGGCATCGATGTGGCCTGCCACAATAGCCAAGCCATTCCCACTCTGGTAATCCTTTCCCACAGAGAATGCAATAAACGCACTACCATTCCGGGTGCAGTAGTACTTCCCACCACGTTGTAGCTTCGACGTCCAGGTCTCACGCTCAGGTAGGCGCTTGTAGCCTTTGCTTTCGAGCTCCTTTGTGAAACCGTCGACGGCGTGGAAGATGGTGGGATGCGCAGTCATAAAGTCACAGTAAGGCTCTGCATAATCTGCAGGAGAAAACGAGGTTGTGCTGGTGGTCGTCTGGGAAGGTGCTGTACTGGGAGCGTACACAGGCGTTGGGCCGGGGAGCTGGCCAGACAGGCGATAGGCCATGTTCGGATCACGAAGATCAAAGACGCTCTTCTTTGTCATTTTGACCTGCAACAACAGATAGCTAGAGCTTTAGTAGACCGCTAAACGATGGATAGTATTTGAAAGAATGCAATTGAGGGAAAGAACGGGCAGCGAGGAGTATGTTGACAGCCAGTTGGAGAAGGTCGGCGTGACTCCGCTTATCGGTGACGAGGCGGGTCAGCTGATAGCTGATAAGCCTGATAAGGAAAAGGTGCCTGAAGACTCGGGCTACCCCGTGCCCCGACATCACATCACTTCGCAAGTCAAGAGACACGTTCAATTCTAGATGGTATAGGCTTTTTCCAGGTGTCTTCTGCAAAGGAGATTGAATTACTTAGTGTTGGTAAACAGTATCTCTTGACCAGAACTATTGCTGGCATTGAAAATACATGTATCGCTTCGGAAGACGCCTTTGTTGGAGCACCAGGCAAGGGTTGTTTTAAAACTCAGGACTGTAGATTGCTTCCATACCACCCATCATGCCTGTATCGAACTCGTAAATCATATACAAGAAAGCTCAAGCCATGTCCACTAAATACCAACGCAAACATAGTAATTTGGCCAAAGACCAGCACAAGTGTTCCCCACGGCGGGATTCCAGGCGTAAAAGTCACTCAGCGCGATCCCGGCTGCCGCGGCAATATCATAACAGCCATCTCCACTAACAACAAGATAGAACTTCTTGCAGTTGCTTACCATGCCTGACTGAGTTGGTGTTGGAGTGGCAACCCCGTTGCCAGAGGTCGTTGTAGTAGTCTTAGTAGTAGTGGTACCTGAGCCGCCGATGATGCCCACACAGACGTAGTAATTAGGCCAAAGACCAGCACAAGTGTTCCCCACAGCGGGATTCCAGGCGTAGAAGTCATTCAGCGCGATCCCCGCTGCGGCGGCAATGTCATAACAGCCATCTCCACTAACAACCAGGTAGAACTTGTTGCAATTAGTCACCATGCCTGTCTGGATTGGTGTAGGGGTGGTAACCCCGTTTCCTGCAGTGGTTGTGGTGCTTGTAGTCGTAGTAAACGTAGTAGTTGTAGAAGTAGTAGTAGTGGTGGTGGTGGTCGTGCCACCTGATATCACACCAACGCAGACATAATAGTCGGGCCACAGGCCGCCGCAGGAGCTCCCAACTGCGGGATTCCAGGCGTAAAAGTTGTCGAGAGGTATTCCCTGAGCAGCTGCAATGTCGTAGCAGGAGTCACCACTGACAACCAGATAGAACTTGTTGCAGCTGCTCACCATGCCGGTCTGCGTGGGAGTCGGTGTGGTGACGCCGTTCCCGGCTGAACTGGTGGTGGAAGGTGTCGTAGTCGTGGGCGGCGTCCATGTTGGACTCTGGGTGATATAACTGACCTGCACGCAGTAGTAGAGGCCTGAGATCAGAGTGCAGCCGTCACCAAGCTGACTGACGCTAGGGTTCTACTCCGAGTCAGTACACATGTAGGTAAGAGGATACAGCTGGGCAGCTGGACACTTGCTCACCCATTCCTCGAATTCGGCCGCAGTCATGCCGTAAAAGCGGTGGATTATGTCGCATGTCAGGCCGTATGAGGCCTGCACCCATGCGCTGCAAGCCGACGCTGCCCCTGGCGCAGGTGTTCCTGGAGGAGTCACCAAATAGGCGTCGACCAGGCAAAGAGCCAGCGCGGAGGCAAGAAATCGGAAGGGTTTCATCATTCTGGTCAGAACTCAGGGGTATGTGCTCGCAGCGAGTATTGAAGCATGAAGAGAATGGGATGGGAAGCGAGGTAGTCCAGGAAATAGTAACAGCCGCTGCTTTCAAGTCTGCAACCTCCTCGCATTATTGGCATCAGCCCCGGCTTTCTCCGTAAGCACATCGCTAGATGTGATTCAGTTTAGTCCCTCAAATATAGGCTATAGCTAGGATAATTCTAAGCCGGACTTTGGCGGCTCTTGGAATGATTTCCAAGTCCCAACCTGTATAGTCCATAATACCATCACCTTTGCAGATCTTTTAAGCTGATTGGGTAGAGACCAAATTCCAATATATAAATGTGATCATATGAATAACATCAGCCCCATGCATCATGCCAGCAGCCTAACCAGGCCCTTTTCGGCTAATATACTAGGTTGGTTGACAAGATCCACTATCAGGCACTCCATGCATTAGCCGCACCGTGCAGTCCGCGCTCATCTCCACAAAGTACGCGATGTAACATTGCCAAAAATCTCACTCCTCCGCGGAGTACGTACTCCGTGCATCCTTCAGCGTCCGTAGATTTATCATTTGCCAAGCTGATTTGCCAAGTTGATTTGCCAAGCTGATTTGCCAAGCCAGGCTCAATTTACAAGAGTCTGGTCGTGAGCCTAAGCACTAGGGTGACTGAGCTTAGTCCAATGTGATCCTTGTCAATCAACGTCTGCTAATCATGCATGATGCCCCTTCGGCCCCTCTGCAACGTGCAGATACGGGTAGTCCCCGGCAGGGCTTCCCTAGCCGTACTGTACGTCCTGTATCTACTGTATGTATACCTTAGTATCGATTGTTTGTTTACAAGGATAGAGCAGGGAGTGGGACTGTTCTGGTTAAGGGGTTACATCCACTCATGGCTAGGAGAGTGAACTTCGGCAAAATGAACATTGACAGATGCTCTCCTCGTGAGATGATTCATGGTTAGACTTAGACACTTGGCTATGGAAAGGATCTCGGCTGCCAAACTGCTCACTGCTCACTGCTCACTGCCAGCCAAGTCTCTGCTTGTGGTCTGTGGTTTTGTTAAGACTCGCGGATTGACACTATCCGCGCTCCCAGGTTGATAATTATCCAAGGTCCTTCAACGCCCTCTCTGACTTTTTCCCTTCTATCTTGGTGATAACCTCCTGTATCTCGCAGTCCCTCAGCTCAACATGCGGTGGTCTCTTGCATGGCTGCTGCCGTCGCTCTGCCTTGTCGTCCTCACCAATGCCTCCCCACTGGGTCACGAGAGCGCCTACGATATTGAGGGAGTTGAGTCCCTCAACACTCTCGTTCGCAGAGTTCGAACCGGCCCAGGTGGTGGCATAGTCACCACCCCAAAGAAAACGACAGATCTCTTTCTGCTAGATAGCGGCCCGGGAGGTTGCACTAGCAAAGAGGCAACCCTCGATACCTGGTTGACAGAGGTCTTTCTCCTCCACGACGCGATGAAGACGGCGTACGCAAACATCCAAGGAGATAGGTCTTGGATGCTGATGTGGTACACCTGGTTCGGAGTCCAGCTTGATATGAAGACCGGAGGTGTGGACGTGAGTAACGCGGCCAACAAGCAGCTATGGGACACGATTGGAGGTACCTATTTTTTTCAGTCATTTTTCTCTTCTACACACTACGTACAGTGTGCTCTTGGATACGCAAAGTTAATTTTGATATAGACCACATCTCACGCGTTACCAAATTCCTTTCCGGAGCTGGCCTGCCCAACCCCCAGGTGGCAGGAGAAAAGCCTCGCCTGTTCTGTGGGCCCGAGGCAGCCGAACATCAACCCTGGGCTGAATCGGTCGTCAAGGATCATAAAGGCGAAGATGTAGTCACCGAGAGAGATCCCGAGACTCAGCTGCCGACCGAGTACTTGAAGCTTGGAACAGCGTTTCTGGAGGCAGCCCGGAACCCAAACGCCAATGCCTTCTGGTTCAGCGCGTTTAACGGCTACGACATTGACTACAAGGGCGAAACAAGCGCATGTGCTGAGAATCCTAAAGATGGGAAGCGCCGGCTCGCCAAAACTGCCCGACCAGCATCGTCGTGGCCAGTGATATTCTCGGACGGCGTAGACTTTACCTTTGGCAGAGCCAACAGACACATCTTGTTTTGCCCCCTGTCCTTTTCTCCTCCTACCGGATTCCATTCCTACCCGTCACTGACAAAGGCCGTTGAGGATTACCCCACAGCTGGATTGAAGGACCCGGACGAGTCTCTGGACAAAATGATGCCTGTTAGCTCTACGATGTACCACGAGCTCTATCATCTGACCGATGATGATAACACAAAGGATCAGGCTTGTACGTATTTGACCCTTCTCCGCGGTTTCTTTCTTTCTCCAATCCACTTTCGACTAACCGCTTGTTGGACTGTAGACAGCCTGGATAGGGTCATAGGCAACGCTAGGGATCCATCAACAAGAGAAGGCAACTCCCACAACCCAGAGACATACACCCTTTTCGCCACGGCGGCGTATCTGTACCTCAATGCACCCGCGGGCGATGAACCCTGCTTGTACATCGGTGGTTTCCCGAAAAAGGCTTCTGATCCTTTTGCCCAATAATAGCAGAAGGGAATCAAGGGCCCGGCGTGGGTGGTTGGGGGGGGGGGGATGGGTTCGAAGTGTTGGATAGGTCGGACGTATGACTTCAACAGATCGCTTGGGCAATGTAACCATGTCAGAAATTAGGAGCGTTATATTCTTTCAAGTCAGCTGGACATTCCCAGGAAATAAGAATTATAGTGCATGTCTGACTGGTTTGCAACGCACCGTAGTACAATGTCACCGATTTCTACTCTGTACTGGCCGCTAGTATACTTCTCACGGGTTTGTATGCACTTGCAAGTTGCAATCTCGCCAAAATGCTAGTCCTTGCTAGTGGCTTCGGGGGGCGGAATTGGCAATTACGCCCCGCCACACTCTTCTTACATCCGTGTTCAAAAGGGCCCATGTGTGGTTGGTGGGATATCACCAGGATTCAAGCCAGCCTTCATCGGGCCGTACTCTGGATAAAGGCAGTAGCCGCAGTATTGCGCCGGCTCATTTTCTAGTTTGAGGCTACTAGCATGCGTGATATAGTTAGAGGGACGCCTGTTAAGGGCCGGCTTCTTGGCAGCCATTCAGCACTCATGGTCTGAGGCTCTGAGCCTGTCGATCAGTTGAGTGCGTACTTGATTCATGCGGAAAGTAAATGCCGACTTGTATAGTGCAATGTAACCGAGGAAAAGGGTGTGGGGGGGTTGGTGCAAGCGAGCTGAAGGAGCCCAAATTAACCCATGACTCGAACCATGCAGCTAGGACTCTTAGCAGAGAGCTAAGGCAGGTCCAAAGGAAGTACTCCATAAGTGCGTATGCTGCGGATGCATGATGGCAGGCTGCTAGTGCTAGAATAAGCCGTAATCATCCCAACGTCCGAGATGATTATGCACCACTACCAGTCCAATCATGCAGTCCACTACTTAGTTGCTCACCTCGATACTACCCTGCTCACACAGGACAGCAAACGAGCATTCTTCCTGTGGCCCTGTGGGTGGCGTTGATGCACACATGTCAGAGATACAGGGATGTTTTTCATGCCTGGGCCCAACTGCGGCTCACGCTATCAAAACATACCGCTAGTTTACTGCAGTACAAGCGTCAAGCGAAGGTATCTACTATGTGCTCCTAAATACCTCTGAAGGAGCCGGGATTGCCAGCATCCGGATCGGTTAATAGGGGGTTCATAGGAGCATGTCCAAGAGGCGCAGCATTGTTCACGCTCCTTCATAAGCGATCAACTTCGAGACTGGTGCCAGAGGCCCTCCTTCTCTCTACCCCCTCAAACATTCTTTGCGGTCTGCTTTGTCTCTCGAAGCGGCCATTTCTTTGCTGCTATCAAGATGAGACTACCTTCGCTGGCGACTGCCATTCCTCTGGCAGTCGTCTGGGCTTCCTCAGCCGCTCTGGCATTAAGCAGCAATGCCAATGATGCGGCCAACGCTTTTCTGGCGTCCCTTTCTATCAGCACCGTCTCTAAGACGGTTGCCGGCAGTCCAACAGACCTGGCAAGTGCGCGAGAGGCCATCCTTGCCGGGAACTACACCTCGCGGCTGCATCACCAGGGCAGAGATAGCTGCCCGGGGGTTGCAGCAGTGCTGGTATCGATACCAGCGCCTGGTTCGTATACGGCAGCCTCGACCGTCTCGACAGGGCGTGCAAAAGGCCCATGCTCCTGGACTTTGCGCTGGTCAACCCCATTGACGACGAAAAGTCGCATGTCGCCATTTCTGCGTGTACCGCGGACTACGCAGGACTATCGGATAATAATGCGCCGACTTCTAATTCTAATTCTGCCTGCGCTTTGAAGGGCGTGGCGCAGACCCAGACGACATCGTCTTTGCAGTTGGCATCTTCGGGTGCTTCGTCTTCGAGCCGCGTGGCTGATGTCGCCGCTGCTCTGGAGCAACTGGGGGCATTTGCAACCCTGTCTGATGCCGGCTGCAACGAGACCATAAAGTACGCCTACTCCCGGGACGTGGCTGTGGGTGTGTATGCTGGTTCAGGCCTGGCTGGCCAGGGGGTGATCAGCGCGGTTCTCCAGAAGCTCAGCGCTCAAATCAAAGACGACGGCCGCGTTGCCGAGAGTCTGTCAGTCGAATTGTGCAGCAATCCCACGGCCCGGTACTCATTGAGTGTCCTGGTCAATACCAAGGGCGACCTGGGTGCTGTCCAGCGTGGACTGCAGGTATCCAAGAACGGCAGCTGTGTGTCTACGGAGACCAGGATGACTGCCTCTGACTGGCAGACAGTGACCTATCTCGTTCCTGCTGCGACCAACATCACCCGCTCCAGCAACTCGACCAAGCTTGCTTCAACTCGTGCCACCGAGTGCCGCACCATTCAGGTAGAGTCCGGAGACTCGTGTGCCTCACTGGCGGCCGAATGCGGCATCACGCCGGCACAGTTCACACAATACAATCCCTCCTCCAGTTTATGCTCGAGCTTGACCCCAGGCAAGCATGTCTGCTGTAGTGCCGGTACCCTTCCAGATTTCACGCCAAAGCCCGGCGCGGACGGGTACTGCTACTCGTATCTCGTGAAGACGGGCGACTCGTGCGCATCACTTGCGGCGGCCTACGACCTCACTAACGAGAAGATCGAGTCCTTCAATAAAGAGACCTGGGGCTGGAACGGCTGTGAGAAGCTGTTTGCTGACTACAACATCTGTCTCAGCACTGGCTACCCGCCCATGCCGGCCACCATTCCAAATGCTGTCTGTGGACCGCAGGTCAATGACACGGCAAAAGCACCCCGGGGACGGACCTGAACACCCTGAACCAGTGCCCGTTGAATGCGTGCTGCAATATCTGGGGTCAGTGCGGAACGACGGGAGACTTCTGCACGCCTTCCAACTCGTCCACGGGTGCTCCAGGAACGGCTGCCCCTGGCCAGAACGGCTGCATCTCCAACTGCGGCATGGATATCGTCACGTCCAGCGCACCCGCGGAAACGTACAGCATTGCTTATTTCGAAGCCTTCAACTGGAAACGCTCCTGCCTGCGCATGTCCGTCAATAGCATTGACACTTCAGCCTATACGCACATCCACTACTCCTTCATTACGCTAAACGAGGACTTTTCCATCAACATCGATGAAGTTGCGGACCAGCTACCCCTCTTCAAGGGTATGGCCGGCATCAAGAAGATCGTTTCTGTCGGCGGGTGGGCGTTCTCTACGGAGCTCGCCACATACCAGATCTTTCGCAATGCTGTGGCAACCCAGGCCAATCGCAAGACGCTGGTCACGAACATCATCAAGTTCCTAGACGATTACAACCTCGACGGCGTCGACTGGGACTGGGAATATCCTGCCGAGCCCGACATCCCTGGCATTCCCGCGGGCACCGAGGCTGACACCACCGGTTTCTTCCTGCTGCTGAACGAGCTCAAGCAGGAGATACCATCGGGCAAGACGGTCTCCGTCACCGCACCCGCCTCGTTCTGGTACCTCCAGTACTTCCCGATCGAAGCTCTGAGTCTCGTCGTCGACTACGTGGTGTACATGACCTACGATCTCCACGGGCAGTGGGACTACATCAACAAGTACGCAACTCCCGGGTGTCCGTCCTACGACCAGGGGTTGGGCAACTGTCTGCGGTCCCACGTCAACCTCACCGAGACTATCAATTCGCTCTCCATGATCACAAAGGCGGGTGTGCCGTCCAACATGATCGTCGTCGGTGTCAGCAGCTACGGCCGCTCATTCAAGATGAGCACCCCCGGCTGTTGGACCGAGCAATGCACCTACACGGGGCCCGACTCGGGGCGTACGCGGGCCGTTGCACCGACACCTCTGGCTACATCTCCGACTACGAGATCCGTGAGATTATCCGCCAGAATCCCACCGTCCAGGAGCTCTGGGATGCGAACTCGTACTCCAACATTGTCGTATTCAATGACACGGAGTGGGTCGCGTACATGGACGAGGACAACAAGGCAACGCGCAAAGCCCTCTACCCGGGGCTCGCTTTCCTGGGAACCGCAGACTGGGCAGTGGACTTGCAGTCCGAGAACGGCGGTGGAAGTGGCTCAAACGACAATTCATCATCCGGCGGGACCATCTATGTAAATCCGGATATCTGGAACTCCGCAGCGCCTGTGGTGACTGCTCCTCCCGGGGCGTCGCTCATTTGGCCCCCATGCCTCTATCAACTCCCACAACCATCACTTTCCCTCCGTGGACGACGACCATCTCGTACTCCAGTCTTACCACGCGCACAAGCACTCTTTCCGACGGCACAACCACGACCTATCCGGCATACGTCTATGAGTCGTGGCTGACGGTGATCACGATTCCTCCTTGTGAGTACTCTCTCTATACCTGACTCTTCTTCCTCTTCTTCTCTCCACCGGTAGGGGTACGCAGTTCACTAACGAACGCGCCCTTTTCCAGTGACGACTACGGCCATCAATGTCTGGGGCGTTTCCCTTCCTAGCAGCTCCAGCTCCAGCTCGACAGGTGGCCCCGTTCCTATCATCTTGACAAGCTCGGTGCAGCCACCTCCATTTACCATTATCGTTACCCCGTAAGTCGAAAGCCTTCCATACCTCTGGGAGAAGGCAAGTTCCCTATTAACCAACTCAACTCGTTTCCTCTTCAGCGTACTAAGCGGCACCACCTCTATCATCGGGGCCACCGAGACCACGACAATTTCCTTGGACCCCATCATCTGGGGCTCCTCAACCTACTCGCCTCCGGTTGAGACGAGGACTCTGGGTGGAAGCACCACCGTCATCGGCGGGACGACCTTGCCCCCGACACCCATCACTGTCACACCCAACCCGCACCCCACGACCACGCCGGAACCTGGGTCCACGGACCCTGGGCTCAATTCCAAGAAACCCTCCTGGACACCTGGCAAGCCACCGACCCCTACGGCCGAACCGGGCTGTCCTGGGTGCGGCACTAGTTGTGAGTCGCTGTGTTTCTCTTCTACATGTTGAAATGACCTTAGCAACTAACACGACTTTCACACCATCTAGGTCTTCTGTTCTGCAATCCCGACTGCCCCTTCTGTCCCCCGGGTGCATTTGGCCCTCCTGGCGGTGGCGGAGGGGACAACAATAACAACGATGACGACGACGACGATGATGACGAGGACCCTGATAACGAAGGCGCTCAATACACGATTGTGTATGACTCTATGGACGACGACCCCTTCCCGACAGCCTTTGTCGGCGCGGCGGACCTCTCGTCCCTCGATGCTGAGGTCATGTCTCGCGTCAGCTCCGCATGGGGCCTCAGCACCACCACGACAACAACAACGACTACGAAGTCGACGACAACAACGACGGAGGAGCCCACTCCCACGCCGACTGCAGACTGCATGTTCTGGGATAGCATCTTATACTGGACGTTCGAGATCTACAATATCGACGGCTGGGTCTCAGACGGCGGCGACTCACTGAACAACGAGGAGGGCGGGTGCGGCGCTATGACGGGCTGGGAGTTTCACGAGGAGACCTCGGAGCACTATGCGTATGTGTACTTCAACTTGCCTTTCTTCATGAAGGAAGGCTGCGTGGAGAGGGCGATCGTTTCGGCTGGAGGACCGAAGATTTCGTGCAAAGGTGGGGGGGTTGGCCCGACGAAGCGAGACGTCAACGTTGACGTTGACTTTGACATCGAGGCCGAGGAGGAGGAGGAGGATGATGATGACGAGGACGTTTGGACCATACTGGATGCGCGAGGCACCGGGAAGACGCTGGACACGCCGGCCTTCCCGTCCTGGACAGACGAGCAGCTGCAAGAGTTCCAGAGTTTCTATGAGGCTATCAACATGCAGTCTGGGACGGCGGAGAAGACCTATGTGCCGATGACCTGGGGGGCGACAAGTACAAGTCCGATGACAACTTCTGCTTAGTTAGTGATTAGGGGTCCTTGTTACTTGTAACTGGTTTTAGATATGTCCTAGTGTACCATGTCCATGTCCATAGCTTGTAGCCTTGTTCCCGATGAATAGTTGTATTCAATCCAGGCGCACTGATGAGGAGTACGCGGGTCCCTGCCCACCTATACAAATACCTGCGCGTAGTACCAGGTCCAAGTACCTATCACGGTAGAATTGTGTCTCTCGTTACTGCCCCTAAGGCGACCAAACCCCCTGGGAGGGGGGCACATCACGTGTCAGGCTCTACGGGGGCATATATATATATATATATATACACTAACCCCCACCAGGTTCTCGACATTTTTAGCCCTCTCTCTACAACTCCCCTCCAAAATAGAACAAATACAAAAATCAAATGCCTGAGGCCCTCCACAAAAGTGAAAGCAATGATGGTACGGGTGACCAGACCGGTCCTGGAATCCTGACTGTTAAGCTCGGCTGGGCTTATGGCCTGAGCCTCCCAATCCCAGTCCCAGTCCCAGACGACCCAGACCCGGATCCAGACCCGAAAATGTGCGAGCGATGGCGCCCGTACGCGATCGGAGAATATGAAGGGCTCCAGCTGTCCACAGAGGCGATGGCCGTCTACGCCGCCAAGGGAGCGGTTTCATGGGCAGCAGGGCACCGGCCATTCAAGTTTGAGGTCTCTGCGTCTCCGGCCTCCGAGTTGACGGTATCTCTATTCGTCAGGGACGGCAGCGACTCTGATGCGGCGTCGTCGTCGTCGTCGTCGTCGGGGGAATACGAAAACCAGTGCATCCCCCTTGGACTGATCAGATTGAACCCGTTCCTGATAAGTTCGGGTAAGCAAAGGGTGGACGTCCAGGATGGCACGGGGAGAGTGGAGGTCGAGGTCTCCTACACGCAGAAGGAGGTTTCACCCTTGGAGACGCAGGAAGTGTGGAGTGTCCGCGGGGAGAACAGTTCTGGTGATCTTGATCTCATCTATGTTGAAAAGAAAGACACCGGCCGAAGCTACGGCATGAAGGCTGTTGATATCCGCACCGTGCACGCTGGTGCTGCTCCTGAATCTGACGCAGATGCAGACGTTGTTAACATGGCACCCAGCCTTAGCCTCCGCTCTGCCATCCAACACCCTTTCATTGCACCGCTCAAATTCGCTTTCAGGTCGTCTGAAGGGGCGCTGGATCTACTTTCGCCACTGGCCAGCGGCGGATACCTTTTTGACCATTTGCAAAGAGAGCGGCAGTTTAGTGTCCACAAGGCGAGATTTTATGCGGCGGAGCTGGTCTGCATACTGGAATACCTGCATGAAGACAAGCATATCATTCTCAATTCTTTGGAGCCAGAGAATATTCTCCTGGATTCCTCTGGCCATGTCAGTCTATGCAAGCCTGGCCTTTTCGCATTGGAACTGGGGGATGGAGATCACATTTTGCCCGGCACACCCAAGTATCCAGCCCCTGAGGCTCTTCTTGACGACCGAGAGGCTTCCAGGGCAGTGGATTGGTGGGCTTTGGGGATTATTCTCTATGAAATGTTGACGGGCATACCCCCTTTTTACCACAAGGATGGCCGCGAGCGCCGGCGTAAGATCCTTGGCCAAGACCTACAGCTACCTGAGAGCCTGCCATCGACTGCGAAGGACATTTTAATAAAGCTCCTTGGTAAAGACCCTATAGAACGCTTAGGTGCAAACGGAGCCGCCGAAGTGAAAGCCCACCCATTCTTCCACGCTGTGAAGTGGCATGAATGCCTCCGGCGGAAATACACAACTCCCTTCAAACCCCACGACGCCGCAGTGATCTTCTGGCGGGAGCCTTGTACATACCAGCCCTTCAAACGCCCGGGACGAGAGCGACGAGAATTTGAAGGAGCGGTCTACGAGCAAATAGGCACCACCGAGTTTCCCTTGTGGATACCAATAGGTTCAGTCGATGACCAAAGTAAAAGCCACGCTGCAGACAAGAATGCTTCAGTCTCACAGAATCGCGGGGATGATGATGATGATGGATGGGAGTTTGCGTGGGAGCCGACAAAGCAAGAGTTTTACTTCAAGAACCGTTTCACAGACGAAAGGGTTACGGCCAAACCCAAAGCTGCAGTGCGGGACAAGATGTTGGCCCCAGCAGTTGAACATGAAGCACTCGCAGCTGCATTGGAAGCTGGATACAGCCAGCATGTGTTTTCTGAAATCCTCAGATACAGTCCAAACCTGAACGTGCGGATTCTCGACTATGACCAGACGCCCGACGGTATAGGGATAAGATCAGAGACTCGGGACATCATACCAGTTACACCACTAGAATGGGCCGTAGAGCACGAAAGGCTGGATCTCGCCAGTCTATTCCTGGAGAACGGCGCTGACGCGAACTTCACCGTCTCCCCACGAGACGGACCAGCGCTGCTCAAGGCAGTGAAAAGAAAGTCCCAGAGGCTGGTTGAGATTCTTGTGCAGAAAACCGACCGCGTCTCCTGCACCAGAGCCCTCGCTCTCGCAGTGGAGCAGCAGGACATCACGACCGCCAAGACCCTGCTTGCACATGGCGTGCGCTGTGACTTTGAAGAATCTGATCGGCCTCTTCCGCCCCATCCCTTCTTTGGGGACTACGACTCTAATCTTTCGCGAGGACTCGAAGCGGAGGACTTGACGCCTCCTCTCGTCCGGGCTGCTAGACTAGGCAACGTGGCTCTGGTAGCGTTGCTCCTTGAACACGGTGCTGATGCCAATACCGCGTACCACGATCTAGGCGGTCGTCGTGGAGATGGATATGAAACCAGAGATTCGACACTCCCGGCCAACTTCTCCTGCGGAAGGGTCGTACAGATAGCGATGGAGATGGGTCATTCTGGGATCGTCCATTTGCTCGTCGATGCCGGCGCAGATATCGCCCTTCCACACCCGGTCTGGCCTAAACCAGTCTGGCCTGTGCCGGGTCACATCTGTCGGCCCGTACCGAGGGCTGTGTACGTCGAGGTCACGGCTGGCCTGGAGGCAGCGGTAGCAGCAAGAAGAGGGAAGGCAAAAGATTGCACATCTGCCCAGAATTAGATGAGACAAGAGATTTGGTGTCAAAACCTATTGACATTTAAGACGCCCCACCAGGACGTGGATAACATAAACATGATAGTCCTGGAGTTACCTTCTATGAGGTCCGGAGTTAGGTCCTTTAGTGAGCTGACTCTATTGTATGAAGTATGAAGTAACTAGTAGAACAGACAATCAAAGAAGCTATAATAGTTTGGGCTCAACTAGCTGAAGTACCTTCCAGTACCAGGCTCGACTTAAATAACACCTTAAGGAGATGTTGAAGGTATGTTTCAGAGCTTACAGACGTTGAGCTTGCGGGTGTGACAGTGAGGTGCAACTAGTAATAAGGAGACGTGAACATGGGAGAGTATAACTGCTTTCAGATGCTGGCTTTATTCCGAGGGTTCTGATGTATTTCAGACTGTCGCTCGACACTTCACATCAATCGACTAACTCTTATTCATGATTAGCATATGTGTTTGATCTACTTTTATATTCAGCATAGTAGTCACTGCTTTTTTGGCAACTGATATTACCCTCAGATGAAGCTTGTAGGTAAGGCAGTTAGTCGCCATTCCGATATTGATTGTCAAGGAGTGACTACAACCAATGGGATAAAAAAAAATATCATTCATAATATCGACATGAAATATGCAAATCTGTCGCCGACAGCTTCGTCCCAGTCTCTAGTCACTCGACCCCACGTAGGCGTTCCAGTCCACCTTGTTATGTCTACACTGGTTCGTGATAGCTGGTCCCACGGCCCATGCCTTTTCCTCGTGGTCACGGACAATGGCAAATTTCACAGGACCCGTCTGTCCGTTAAAAGGCACTGAAAAGTGGTTGATAACTGACGCTTGTGCCCTAAGGACTGTCGGGCGATTCTCCCCAATTTGGACGTACAGATGGCTCGGCTCCGGAACAAAGGCACTGACAAAGACTCGATCCTGAGCAATTTCTTGGGGAGGCATTGCGGGCTGGCCCATGGCAGGATTGTTACCAGTGGTTCCATCGGCGCTACCCGAGCCACTGGGGTTCAAACGGTACCAGTACACGATTTTATCCGCAAACGAGATGGGGTACTGGGTTTTCGAAAGCGTGGAAAATCTGCATGAGCTTTGCTGGCATGTTGGACTGTTCCGTCTGTATGCATCGATGTAGTGAGGCAAGAAGGTGCGCCACGCGTCATGAGGATGCCCAGAGACATAAGGTAAAGCTCCCTCAGGCACGCCCTCTTCATAGATCGGTCCGATATAGTGTGCTTCTCCATAGTCGTTCCAACTGAGGATCTGAGCCAGCATATCGTTAGAGCAAGCGGTCGATGAACATATCCGACTAAAGGGGAATTTACCTGGACGATAGGCGGCTGTAAATCCATGATCTGGCGCCAGCGGTAATGCCACAGGTCATCACCGCGCCATAGCCAATTCTTATGCCACTGAGGGAGATTGGTGTAGAACCAAGGAGCCACCGGCAGCATATACGGCTTCCCCGCAAGCGCTTTCATCCATGTCTCATCACTGGCTGTGTCCTTGTCCTGGGCTCCGACGGGCCAGGCGTCCCAGCTGAAAGCACCGTCGATAATGTCTAAGACACCGACGATGCCCGTTGGGCCCAGGCTCGTCCAGCACGGAATGAACATACATCCAGTTGCTACCTTGATATTTGGCCAGTCACCTATGTTGCCTACGCCCTCGAAGGTTGACACCAAGGGCTTGTCCCTGAAGTAAAACTGTGCAGGTCGATCCTTGAATGCGTTGATAGTCTTTATCACTCGATCTGCGGGCCATGGTCCACCAGACAAGTAGTCGAAGGAGAGGAACAGAGAAAAGTTGCCCACGCTCTCCGCGGCATCATATGCGACTTGGAGCACTCTATCAGTGTAGTCGTCCTGGGGTGCAATGTTCAATGCAAAGCCATCAATATGAGCCTTCTGAGCTTCTACGATGTCCGCCTCCCATTGGGCGGGTGTCATGGCCGCCGCATTTCCAACCTAGAAGCGTCAGTACTCAATGCCAGGTTATGATTGAATCTCCTGGGGGAGTAGTCTCACAATAAAATGGGCGAAGACGCTCTGCTCTTCGACGGGATACTGAGACACGACTGAGGAAACTGCAAGCAGCGTAAGAACCAAGTACGTGAGAATCATCTTGGTGATGGAAACGGGGCTATGAGGTTCAAGAAACGTAGAAGGCGAAACTCGGATAGGGAAAGAAAGAGAAAGGGAAGATAGAAGGAAAGACGAGAAGAAATTAGGTGAGTACGACCGAATGAAGAAGGCAACGGTGAATTGACCAAGAAGAGCCTGAAGTATTCACTTCGTCCAACTGCCTCAACCTACTCCAGGCATCGACGAGCGTGAAGCAGAAAACAGACTCGAGAAGATTGTCCCCGCAGTCAGCTCATACAGTGAATGAATTCGGCCAATTTTGGTACAATCCTGGAAGATGCCTATCCTCTACTGATCATATCGTAATCGACTTGCTTGTGCAGTCCGCCGCAATCACTCGGGGATTTTGAACGAGACATACGCGACCACATCTTGCTCAAGACGCAATCAAAAACAAAACATTGTGAGTCGTATCAGGCATGGCAAGGAGAGGAAGAATGTATGAAAGTCATGCCTACCTTGGACGGGAAGAGGATCGGATTGTGGATGTCTCTCTTTGGTATGGACATGACGCAGAAGACGATCAAGGTGCCTCTTCATGGCAATTGCGCAAGGAGAACCACGCGATTATGAAGAAGCTGGGGATAAAGGATGAGCAAACTATCAGAGAAAACTTCGACTAGTCCCATTCCACCTTGCGGAAGAATGCACAAGATAAGAAGCGTCTTCGAGAATGAGTCTTGAGTGGATCGGTCTCGAGAGGTATTTGGTATTTATTCGAGCAAACCGCAATGGCATAGACGACAACGCATCACCATCGTACGGGATCTTTGATATCGTTAAGCAGAGCGTGGCTTTGTTTTGCCGGAGATTGTGAGATCTCAGATCTTGTATATTCTCTGGTGCGAATGCGGTGGACGAGGCCAAGACAAAAGGCCAAGTCGCTGGATACGGTCGCCATCATATCCGTCGCGCGACTTTCATCAGTTATTTATTGAACGAGCTAATCGCACATGGACTAGTTACATTGATCAGGTCGACATGCGAAAATGTTCTCTAATTTCCAACACTTATCTTGAAGTCTGTTCGTGGCAACATCGCGAAGAATGATGATTTCCTGGTGACGCAGATGTCTTATCCGTACCTTAGTTATGATCGACATCGCTTACCGTTGGAAGTCTTGCACGGTCATGGTACTTCGTACGAATAACATTATTATCGTCGCTCAACCAGAACTAATCACGAGCCATGCAGACATGCCAATTGAATGGCGCTCGAGACTCGATCGATCACTTTTAAGACAACGGTCCTTCTTTTCAGGAAATCCAGGTTGACCCCGGCTGTGACGAAGGGGTGATGTCAGTGCCACGATCAACTCATATAAGAAGACTGCAATGCAACCGACTCTATCATGGCGGAAAGGAATCGATTGTTTCACCTACAGTATATATCTGACTACGCATCGAAGCTAGAGAATCCATCTTGGACAACTTCACGTGATAGGAACTCGACATGGCCGCCTCTCAAGCTGCAGGGCTCGTGGAGAAGGTCATTGGACATGGAGACAATGCAGCTGTCACGACTGATGTGAGCAATTATGCCAAGAATGAATATGGACAGGGGACGGGTGCCAGAATCCAGGCGACAACCTGGCAAGGAAAAAACAACATCAAAGTTGGTGGGTTCTCAGGGATCCTGCGCAGTGTATTACTTCTCTCTGACATCGATGGCCTTACCAACAGTCGAAATGCCTAAACCTAGAGTGATTGATGAAGCTGATGTCATCGTCAAGGTGACGGGAAGCACAATTTGTGGAAGCGACCTCCATTTATATCACGGTATGATTTGTGGTTACCATAGCCGCAACACACTCTGGAAAAGACGCGCATTACTAACCCCCGTGTCATAGGCGTCGTTCCCGAACTTGAAAAGGGCGATGTTCTCGGACATGAGTTCTGTGGTGTGGTTGAAAGCGTGGGACCTGGCGTCAAGGATATCAAAACCGGCGATCGTGTGGTGGCCGCGTTCCCAATCGCCTGTGGGAACTGCATGAACTGCAAGAAACAGCTGACTTCGGCGTGCGAACGGACAAACTCCAATAGCATTGCAAACGCATTGTATGGCAAACGGACAGCCGGTCAGTGACACCTGCGGAGCGATCCGACTCCCAAAGAAGTATTACTCACTGATTCTGCTTGCGGTAGGCATATTTGGATACAGCCATTTCACTGCTGGTTTTGCGGGAGGGCAGGCGGAGTATGTTCGTGTGCCAGAAGGAGACGTCAACTTGCTGCAGCTTCCGGATGATGTTCCATTTGAGAAGGGACTTTATCTATCTGATGTTTTGGCCACCTCGTATCACTGCGTCACTGATACAGGAGTGGACAAAGGCGACGTTGTTGCGATCTGGGGCGCAGGCCCCATTGGACAGATGTGTGCCAAATTCAGTTTCGATCAAGGTGCCAGCAGAGTTATCCTCATCGACGGTGGAGAAGGTGCTTGGAGACTTGACTTTGTCAAGTCCAAGATCCCGAAGGTCGAGACTCTGGACTTTACCAAATTGCCAAGGGGAGAGTCGGTGACTTCGGAATTGAAGAAGAGGGTCCACGGCGGCCCGGATGTGGCTCTTGAGTGTGCCGCCGGCGAATATGCCAAGGGATGGCTGCACTACTTTGAGACTCTCCTGGGAATGGAGACGGACACATCAGAGATCTTGAACGAGATGATCACATCCGTTCGGCCTTTTGGGCGAGTGGGCGTCACCGGCGTCTATGCTGGCTACGTAAGTCAATTGTTCTCCACGATATTGGGAACGCCCCAGATTAACGACTTATCGCAGACGAATCACTTCAACGTGGGTGCTATGATGCAGACGGGTGTTCGCTTGATTGGTAACGGCCAGGCACCAGTGCAAAAGTACTGGAAGCATCTGTTGGAGCTCATCCAGAAAGGTGAAATCAACCCCCTGGACATGGTCACGCACCGCATGCGCCTGGAAGACATGGAGAAAGTCTACACGCTATTTGACAAGCGAGAGGAGGGCATGCAAAAGATTTTTGTGCAAACCAGATTCTCCGCGCCTCCAGCTGCGGGATCTCCGAGTCTGACAGTATTGTAAAAGGGCACGTCCTATCTTGTATTGCTGGGGACCGTTTGAGCCGCTTAAGGAAGGTGCAGATAAATTGTATTCTGGATGGAGAACTGAGAGGTTGTAACTGTTCTTGGGGTTGATTGTTCGATGCTATGGGATGGGCCGTTGTGTCAGTTATGAAGTGACTATTACTGTCCTACCTATTTGGAAGTCAAATTTCCGTCGGATTATCTAGACGGGTAATTCTGGATAATGTAATGTCTATGAACCGATCATACTACTGATTGTAACTACAGACAATGCACCAAATGATTGACAATAGCAGCAACAGTAATCCGGCCCGGGTTTCGCCATTTTGTTTCCGCTGATCGGCATTCCAGGGCTGATAACCACGGAATGAAAACCACAGCGAGGAAATGATTAGGAGACCGACCGAAAACTCTCTCCTTCATACTAGATTTGGAAACGGTCACGAATTCACTCAACCAAATGGTCAGCAATATGTTGGGCAAATAAGCGAATGGAATATAGCCGAAGGAACCAAAACAAGTAAGGCGGGATCAGATAAGATCAGATGATGAAGGGATCATCAGTAGCCGGGTCAAATCATATGTCATTGACCGCTGGAGTTTGCTCATTATTCGCTCACCCAGCAGAGGTCATTGTGGATGCTGTTGCAAAGTTCCTATCAGAGGGAGTTGTGATTGGTGGTTCTAAATTTCCATTTCTACGGTAGTTGCTGTGCGCGTCTGAAGCCTTAATGATTGCTACTTTTCAGCATACTGGTATTCCGGTGTCGAGTAAGTTGAAGCGAGAGAAGGATTGTGTTGCCGCAGAGTATAGCAGTCAACTTGGTTTGATTCAGCGAAATGAGCTCGTTACTGCCTCTTCTAGAGTGGTACTGGATGCAGACAGCAGACAATTGACAAATCATTCAGCACTGGGAGGGGTATCACCACCCACCAAACGGCCGAAAGTTCTGCCTGGACGTGGTTAGTTAGTCCCAGAATGGAATACCGTTCCATAAGAAGGAACACGGCTCCCAACTGTGGGGAATCTGATAAAAGTTTGTCGTGGACTCGAAGAAAGTGAGGATGAAGCGGTTTTTGAATGAGAGGATTCTATAATATTGCTTCGAGGTAAGGCAGCCCGTGAGCTATTGATATCTATATGTATACGCTGTCTAATGCCACATCGTAGTTCAATCTCAACGAACAACATCAACGCAATGAGTATTTACTGAGTACAAGGCCATTCTAACCCCGCTGCAGTAGAAAGATATTCGTAAATGCAGCGCACACCTCCATGGACCAAGTGGACTCGGGGTGGATCGTCACATACCCTAAAGTAACCTATCTACGGAGTACTTACCGTGGAAATAATGCACCGCCGAAATCGGGAAGACGCGCACGATAATCTAATCTGATCCGAATTCTCTTTTCCTCTTTTAATAAGTTCTCCCTTACTCTTCTGACTCTTCTCTCCTCGGCTTTTGCTCGCTCTCTTCCATTCCCCCAGTGTCTCGATTGGTTTCTTTTATTTGTTTTATTTTTTCATCAGTTAACTGAAACTACTCATATATATTCTGTCTACTGAGAAGAAACAAAATCCAGCGGAGTCTCTTGACTTTCATTGAGCTCATTGACTCCCTCCCCTCTCTAACTCTGATGCGCGCACTTCCGCTCTCCCGCCCGAACCTCCCCAAGTGACACCACCAAAAGTTAGTCTCTTCCTTTCCCTGCTCCCGTCCACCTTCCTTCCCGATGCCACCCACCGTTCTCTTCCACCTTGTTCATTTTCCATCAATATCCCACTAATGTCCATCCAGATCACTTTCCTGAGATATAGGGAGTCTCATCATCCGTAATAATGTCTACACCCTCAATAGCTCCCACACCTGCTCCACTGGTGCCCGCATTGGCTGCCAAGCCAGCCATCTCACCTTCGCCTGGTCCGGGCACACCTGGGTCGATCACGTCCAAGGAATGGGTAATCCCACCCCGACCAAAACCAGGCAGGAAGCCGGCCACAGATACGCCTCCTACAAAGCGCAAGGCCCAGAATAGAGCCGCCCAGCGTGCCTTCAGAGAACGGCGAGCTGCTCGCGTTAATGAGCTCGAGGAGCAAATCAAGAAAATCGAAGATGAGCACGAAATCCACATTGCGGCATTCAAGGAGCAGATCACCAATCTCTCTCGCGAGGTGGAGCAGTGTCGTTCCGAGATGACCTGGTGGCGCGATCGATGCCATGCGTTAGAGAAGGAGGTATCGGTGGAAAGAAGCGCCAAGGAAGCTATTGTGAAGGAGTTCCGATCGTCTCTTTCGGACAGGAATGCTGCAAGTTCCGACAAAGGACATCTTCCTCTTGCCACATCCACTCAAAACCCTTCCTCCGACCGTCCAAAGAGTGGTGATGCGTCCAACAATGACAGCGGGGAGGGTCGAGAGGAGGTACCGTTAGGCTGCAATGATTGCTCCACATCGCACTGCCAGTGCATTGAGGATGCTTTCACTATGCCGGGAGTTGTGGCTCAGGAACAGTCCAGACGTCTTGGTACTACCAAGCCTGGTCGTTCTGAGCCTGAGATCAAGCCGGACCCGGAAGAGATGGAAATTGATTTCACGTCCCGGTTCGCCGCCATTCAACAACAGGATCATTCGCCGGCATCCGTTTCGTCCCCTGCTGTTGATCCCTGTGGGTTCTGTTCAGATGGCACGCCGTGCATTTGCGCGGAGATGGCCGCTCAGGAGGAACAGCGTCTGCGAAGGAACTCGTTTGAGAATAACCGACTTGCCCCTATCCAAAATCTGTCGCAGTTCACACCACCCCCTTCCGACGGCGACGTCCGCTCGGAAGTTACGCTGCCGCCCATCAGCCAGGCTACAAATCCCTGCGCAAACGGGCCTGGCACATGCGCTCAGTGTCTCGCCGATCCCCGGAGGACCCTTTTTTGCAAGACTCTGGCCGCCTCCCGGTCCCGAGTGCTGCCCCGTCCGGATGCTGCGGAGGCAAAGGCGCTGATGGCGGGTGCTGCCAGTCGCGTAACACCAATGTCTCGCGAGGCGGGTCTGGTTCCAATAACAATTCGACATCGGGATCGTCGGCCGCACCATCCTTGACTTTATCTTGTGCCGACGCCTACACGACCCTCTCACGACATCCTAATTTCTCCCGGGCCACCGACGAGCTATCATCATGGCTGCCCAAGCTTCATACCTTGCCTAAACCTCGAGACTTTCCCTTAAATGATCGTGGGGTACCAAGGGCCGCTATGGAAGTTGAGGCTGCGAGTGTGATGGGCGTGTTGCGATACTTTGACCGACGGTTTGCCGACAAATAATTTATCCGCTTCTCTGGCTTGCAGAACTACTCTCGTTCTTTACTTTCTCTTCACTTTTTGATGATACCCAAACCGACTCGTGACATGTCCGAGTTTGTATTATACACCTTTCCCCGCAACCCCCCGTTTTACTTTCTTACCTCCTTGAACTGGCGTCCGTTATCTTACAAGAGCTTTTCTTATGTTCTTTATACTCCCTTATCCTACTGGAAGAGGGCCAGCGACCAATGACACTTGAGCCGCATGGCTGCAGCCCCTGCCTTCATTGATGTTGGATGCGACAGGTCGGGGGTTTACCAAAAAAAAGAGGCAACCAGAAAGAACGCGGTCTAGTCGAAGTATCGCGATGGGGATATCAAAAACCAATTGGGTGGACATGTATGTGACTGATGATTTAGACGGCGAAACGAATGGCGTTCTGGGCTGCTTTACTATTGAAGTTACAATATTTGGAATATCTTTGACTACAAACTCAATCTATAAAACAATGATTAGACAGACAGGATTGTATATATCTTGACCGAAATGAACAGAAGAATGAGTGATTCCATTTCTGCTGAATGTTCTGTCTTGGCCTGTTGTCCATATGAACGAGTCAACTCTCAACGAGTGCTGGGACCATTTATGTAGCTTCACATGATAACATCCATCGAATGATGTATCGGTACGGATATGGATATGAGAGCACGGAGATGGAGCTTCCAGACTTCGCCTCCTTGGAAAATGGGTATTATCTACATACAACATACATACGTACATGAATCAACCGGAATCGCTAACGGGCGCAACGCCATCCACTCCTGCCCTGGCTCCGAACGCAGAATAACTAGTACATGGCGAGAAAAGATCGCAAAAGAGAGGAGTGAGTGTAGAGGAAGCCCTCCAAATGTGGAGTAGAGAACGGTTTCGATAAGTAGGGTAAAGGGTAAAGGGTAAAGGAGCGGGAGTTAGTGAAGGAATTGAACAGGGTGCATATTTTCTCAAGCTTCAAGACCCAAGGGTGATCAGAAGCGGCCACCACTAACTATCACTTCCTCATCCCCTCCGCCTCCGATGGAGCCTAACAGGCCGGCGCCCCAAATACCGGCGATACCCCACATACCGATTCTCCAGCCCCGATAGAGGCCGCCGATGCCCTGTCCCTGGCGTTTCCTGGAAGAGATGGGCTTCCCGAGAACCCGCTCAGCATCGGAAGAGGGCGCGCTGACACCCTCTTCATAGACTATGCCCCACATCGTTCCTACAATGCCACGGTAGGTCTGAGGAACGGGGACGATGGTCTCGACCGTAGATGCCTCCTCAGTGGCAGCGGACGTGTTCGAACGAGAGGTGGCGGCATACTTCTGCCGGATACTGGACGATGTGTACGTGGCAATCTGTGCACGACGCAGGACAGTCTCCAATGGAAATCGGACAGCAAGCTCTAGGCCGGATCCCAGGAAAGCAAGAAGGTTCCACATGGAGGGATTCAGAACTGGGTCGATCGATAGGTAGGTCTTGAAAAACAGCGGCGTAGTAGTTGTGATAAAATTGGGTAGACTCGAGTGCAGGATGGTGATAGGGATCAGGTGGGAAGGGATCATGCAGTTGGAGGTGGGGAGCTGTCGAATCGCTCGGAGGAGCGAACGCGGCCCATGAGTCGCTGGGGTGAGGATGAGGAAGGTGCGAGCGGTGTCAATGGGGGACAACAGCATGGCGGACAGCGACGAAGAAATAAAGGAGAGCACCAATGTTGCAAAAGGTGATGTCGACGTCAGAATATCGGCTGTCATGGATGACGCAATATCCTCTTCTGGTAATCCCACAATGGCAGACAAGAGACTGCGTATAAAGGTGTTCAACGTCGGAAGGAGTAGAGAGTAGATAAAGGTCGCGTTGGTCGCCTTCCATGGCGAGGTTGGGCCACTGGTGGTCCACAGTTGTGAGAGGACCTCCATCAACGACGAGGGGTTCTTGATTGTAAGGCTATACTTGGTCGAGGACGGCGGAGCTGGTATATAGCCGCTGCGGTCTGTGATATGGCGTCGAGACTTTCGGCTCCGTGCGGCTGTTGGCGATGTGGCCATGGGAGCTGCAGAGGTAAAGTAACTGCTCTCGTCATCTGAAGTTTGGGAGCCCTGTCGCCATTAAAGATGCTTGTTAGCAACCATTTTCCAGACGCGCTTGAGAATATTCCAGATACTGGCAGCCCATACTTCATCACTCTCATCGAAGGAGTCCATCCGACCTGACCTCCTGCGTTCATCCGCAGGCCGTTGTCCACCTTGCGAGTCGGGCACCACATACGCCTGTAGGATGGTTTTGGCAACGTCAAATGGCTGGGCAGTCAGCACGCTGGTGTAGCGCCAAATCGCCGCATCCATTGCTTCTCGAATCCATTCTGATAGTGAGGGAGAGCTCTCCAGGTACTCTGAATAGTCCAGATCCGGTAGCAGGTCGCGAGCGGAGCTTCCGAAGACCTGTGCGGAAGACGGAGCCGCGGTATGTGAAGACGATGAGGCGTTGGAAGCTTCAAGGCCAAACGACGGAGGGACATAGTACGGGCGTAGAGGATTGGGCCCTTCACGGGAGGAGTTCATTATGGCGGATTTATATCAATCAGTGGATATAGCTCGGAATATTAGCTATGTAAGATAAGTGGTGGGTAAATCCTTTTGCCCAGAGCCGGGGAGATGATTTTAGATGGAGCTACGAAAAGTGACGCCGATGGATTTCTCAAGCTGCGCTTTATGTCCGAATTTCCCGCCTTTCGGGATTTTTTCTTACATCCATCGACCGTATAGATATCTTCGTCATTCCTGGTCAGATCCAGAGCTGTCTTACTCACTGTGAAGGGGATATATTTCTTTGATCATTTAGTAGCTTGTATATTGTTTTTTTTTCCCCCCTGCCTGCGTTTATCTGTCCTCATGTCGTTCTGGAGGGAGGCTTGTCAGCAACTGCGTCATGCAGTACCAAAAACTGCGAAAGGCGATCGCATGTGGCTGCCATATTCCAGGAGATTCATCAGCAGTTCTACACCAACGATGCGAGTTCAGTCGTATGGCAGGAGAATTGCGCAGGGGGGTGGTCAGAGGACATTCAACTCCCCGCGGCGAAGCTTCTCGGTAACTGCGGGAGTGCAGCACGGCCATATTACACCCCCCAAGCCTGGTGAAGAGTGAGTCAATTTCAGGGGGCAGAGGGTGGCCATTCGATGTCTCGTTCGTCGCTGATTTATGTCGTCTAGGCTTCATGTGTCATTCATCGATAAGGACGGACAGAAGCACGACTTCGAGGTAGCTGAGGGAGACAACCTGCTGGATATTGCGCAGGCCAACGATCTGGAAATGGAAGGTTCGTATTTACTCCTGGGCTGTGTACGCGACTGTCCGTCTGATTTTGCTCATCTTATTTCTTCCTTGCAGGTGCATGCGGAGGGTCTTGCGCTTGCTCGACCTGCCATGTCATTGTTGAGGACCCGGAGGTGTTCGACAAGATGGAGGAGCCGTCCGATGATGAAAACGATATGCTGGACTTGGCGTTTGGATTGACGGAGACATCCCGTCTGGGATGTCAGGTGGTGATGAACAAGGATCTCGACGGACTTGTTGTCCGACTACCTTCGATGACACGGAATCTGCAGGCCAGCGACTTTGCGCAGAAGAAATAACTTGGTGGAGAGGACCGGAACAAAGGCGATCTGTATATTATCAGGAATTTTCCCCTTTCATGAATGAGGTTACATGAGCAGATTACTGGATGCATTTGGACGACAATGATCATATCACTGGGTATCTACAAGGACTGTCCGGCTTATTGACTCGTGCGAAAGCCAAATAAATGTATAACAGGTGTATAACTTTTATTCGCATGCAAAGAAACATCATCCAAACCCCTAACGCCTTGTAAATGCCTTGTCGCCCTGTTCATACAGAAACCGGTTCATCCTGAATAAGAGCGCCTCCTTTAAGCCTCCTCGATGTTCAGCGGTTTCCCCTTCTTTCCGCTGATCAACTCAAGGAAGCCCTGTTTGCTGACTTCGTTGACGGTCTTCTCTCGTTCACCCATGCCGATGGTGCCCTTCTTCCGCTCTTCTCTGGCAGCCTCTTCTCCACGGACCTGGGCTGCGCGAACAGCATTGAACAATTTCACCACACCACGCTGCGCAATCTTCCGAAGACGCTTTTCCTCCTCTGCAACAACACCAGTAAGACCGCGCTCAACGCCCAAGACATCGCGGACGCGGCCACGGTCTAGCTCCTCCTTCTTTTCTGCGCGGAGCTTCGCCCGCGCCTGCTTGTCCAGTTTCTCGTCCGCAAGTTCGCTAGTAGTTTGCGCTGCTGATTTACTGCGTGACAGGACCGGGTCCGCCCGAGCTGACGTAGGCAGTTTGGTCGAAAGAATCTTGGAAATAGATGTTGAGAATGCGGTAGGGTCATTTCGTTTAGCGACGGGCCTGCTGCGTCCGTTTGTCGATGTGGGCAATGAGGTGTCCGAGTCTCCAAACTCGTCATCCTCCATATCAGAGGAACCTGGCGAGTCCGATGCATCGTTGTCGTCCGCGTCGCTCTCATTATCGCTAGCCGCAGAGCTGTCGTCGCTGTCTTCTGCTTTCCTCTTCTTTTGAGCGCCTAGCGACCTTGTTTCGCTCGATGCTGGCTTCTGTGGCTTCTGCTCTACCGGCTTCTCTTCTTCCTCCGCATCGGAATCAGCCAGATTAACTGCTTGGAAATCGGTGGGCTGTTCTTCTTCCGCTTCGTCGGAACTGCTGTGGTATTCGAGCTGCTTTCTGAACTTCTTCTTGGGCCGACCGGCCTTATTCTTCAGACTGTCTAAGACCTTGCGCTTCTTCGCCATTGGAGGAGCCATCGTATCTGTTTTTCAAATGCGTTGGTGAATCAATCTGACGTTGGCTGTAGCTTGTCTCTGCAGTGGCATTAGACAGTAACTTTTTTTCGCCTTTTCTCTTTTGGGGCGGGAGAGGAAAACCCGAGCTCCGATTGGCTAGCGGGGCACTCCAGACTCTCCGCATCGCTTCTGCTGTCCTTTTGCTTGTGCATCTCGTCGACTGCAGAGCAATACCCTCCTCTCGCACTGACACTCCGTTTCTCTACGGATTTTTGTGGATTCAATTTGGGACAATTGTTTTCTTCTATCAGCCCCTCCAACATAGTCAATATCCGCCATGGTCCTTCAGGATCTCGGGCGGCGAATCAACGCCGCCGTCAATGATTTGACACGCTCTAGCAATCTGGATGAGAAAGTGAGTAGCTCCATCTTCCCTTTTGTCTTGGGAAGTCGTCTTTTGAGAGGATACTGACAGTTGCTAGGCCTTTGATGACATGTTAAAAGAGATCTGTGCCGCATTGCTATCTGCTGATGTCAACGTTCGCCTCGTCCAGACCCTCCGGAAATCCATCAAATCCAGCGTGAACTTCTCCTCGTTGCCACCTGCCGTCAACAAGAAGCGCTTGATTCAAAAGGCCGTTTTCGATGAATTGGTAGCGCTGGTCGATCCGCATGCAGAGCCATTCCGCCCGAAGAAAGGACGATCCAATGTGATCATGTTTGTGGGGTTGCAGGGTGCGGGAAAGACGACAACGTGTACTAAGCTGGCGCGACATTATCAGATGCGCGGATTCAAAACAGCACTTGTCTGTGCGGATACTTTCCGTGCGGGTGCCTTTGACCAGTTGAAGCAGAATGCCACCAAGGCCAAGATCCCGTATTATGGTAGTTTGATACAGACGGACCCCGCTGTGGTGGCAGCCGAGGGTGTCGCCAAGTTCAAGAAGGAACGCTTCGAGGTTATCATCGTGGATACCAGTGGTCGACACAAGCAGGAAGAGGAGCTTTTCACTGAAATGACACAGATCCAGAACGCCGTTACTCCGGACCAGACGATCCTTGTCCTCGATAGTACCATCGGTCAGGCGGCCGAGACTCAGTCAGCAGCCTTTAAGGCTACTGCTGACTTTGGTGCCATTATTATCACGAAGACAGACGGCCATGCCGCCGGTGGTGGTGCCATTTCCGCTGTTGCAGCGACGCACACGCCGATCATCTTCCTGGGTACGGGAGAGCACTTGATGGACCTGGAACGCTTCGAGCCCAAGGCTTTCGTTCAGAAGCTGCTTGGGATGGGCGATATGGCCGGTCTCGTGGAGCATGTGCAGGCGGTGACCAAGGACTCGGCTGCCGCTAAGGAAACATACAAGCATATCGCGGAGGGTATCTACACGCTGCGAGATTTTCGTGAGAATATCACCTCGATCATGAAGATGGGTCCCCTTTCAAAACTCTCCGGCATGATTCCCGGACTGTCCAACCTGACTGCTGGCTTGGACGACGAAGATGGGTCGCTCAAGCTTCGCCGTATGGTGTATATCTTCGACAGCATGACCGCCGCCGAGCTGGACAGCGATGGCAAGATATTCGTAGAACAACCGAGCCGTATGGTCCGCATCGCTTGCGGCAGTGGCACGACCGTCCGCGAAGTTGAGGATCTCCTCTCTCAGCACCGCATGATGGCCGGCATGGCCAAGAGAGTCGGCGGGCAGAAGAAACAAATGCAGCGCGCGCAAAATATGCTCAAGGGCGGTAACAAGGAGCAGCAGCTGGCGGCCATGCAGAAGCGGATGGCGGCCATGGGTGGTGCTGGTGCGGGCGGTCTTCCCGGAATGGGCGACATGGCAAAGATGATGCAGATGCTGCAGGGTCAAGGCGGCGGTGGTATGCCTGGGCTCGGGGAATGGACTTGCAGAGCATGATGAGCCAAATGAGTGGTTTGATGGGTGGAGGACGAGGACGAGGACGGTGATGTTTTGCCATTTTTTTTCTTCTTCGTTCCGAGAGTTACGGCTGTCTACGTTTATGCATTCTTCTTTCTATGTTCCCTGGATGGTTACTTTCACGCTTATGCGGTGCCTTGGGTGGTTGATCTGTAGCTCGGATCAGTCGAGCATTTGTACGGCGTTGGGCGTGCCTTTCTATTTCGATCATTCGGGGATGACCTTAACATATGACAGTACTTTTTTGACATTTGACACTGTATAGCTCAGAGGAAGACGTGAATGCGAGTGAGATGAGATAATTAAAATTTTCAAACTCCAGTACAAAGCAACCATTACCGTCCCCAATATTCAGAAGTAAATAAGTCCTATAGCAAGCCCACTTGTCCACACGCGGAAACGGATATCAGTCCAATCTCTCCGCCCTCTCAGTCTTATCCAGCAACTCATAGAATTCGTCCAAGGCCCGGTGTGCAAACTGGCGGGCTGCCTCCTCAAATCGACCCACCGCGGTCTGGATTGCAGCGTGCCACCCTTCCGCTTTCCGATTGTCCACCAGGACCTTGCCAGGCGGCAGTCGTGGATGCTTCGCAGACGACGCCGCCATGAGGGAATCGTACTCGGGCAAGGGGACGCTGAGTTTGTATTTCCACACAACCTGGTCCTCCACGTAGAGGGTATACGTCAGGACAGAGCTCGGGACCGTCACCGGCGTACCGGACTCTGTGTCGATCTGCTCGTCTTGGATGCTGATGTCAATGTGGCCGTACTTGACGTTGCCGTCGGGGACGTACTTGACCGCCACATCCTCGGTGTCGGTCTGCCGGTATGAGCGGATGGGGAAATAGAACATGTTGAGCGGGCCAACGCTGAACTCGTGGACGCCTTCTCCGGCCGTGTGTGCCAGGAGATCCTCGCCGGTGTAATCCAGCATCGGGTCAGGGAAGCGGGTGGCGCCGAACTCGTGGCGGTCGCCGCTGAGAAGGACGACGCGGACGCCGAGCTCGCGCTCGGCGCGCCACATGGCTTCGAAGACGGTGCGGCGCTCGTGCAGGAACCCGCCCCAGGTGTCGGTGGTGCCGACGTGCCAGTTCTTGGTGAAGGGGACGCTGGAGGCGATGATCTTCCAGCGGACTTCGGCTGGTTCGGGGCGGGCGAGGTACGCGAGGAGGGATTGGAGTTGAGCGGATCCCAGGATGGTAGAGTTGACTTGCGTCGGCTCGGAGCGATAGGTGCGCGTGTCGAGCATGAAGAAGGAGGCCGGGCCGTGGATAAACGAAAAGTACGTCGTGTTCTCAGGTTTGGCGAATGCCAGCGGTGGGATGGGAGGATTCACGCTGACATGGTAGTGGATATACGGGTCCGCGGCGGCGGGATAGGGCGCAGTGGTGTTTCCTTTGGACCAGTCATTGGCAATCTCGTGGTCATCGAGCGTATGAATCCAGGGGAGGCCAATGGCGTCGTTTTTGGACCATGATGGCGACGAATAGACCCTGCGATACTCGCTACGGTAATGAGACACGGACGACCCAAACCGCTGTGGCACATCGACGTAGATGAAGTCGCCGAGGAACATCATGAACGCGGGACGGAGCAGGTCAGGCAGTTTGCCCAGCGTTTCGGTCATCGTCTCGATGCCGGGAATACGGAGCGAGTGCGACAGCGGATTGTACGGGAAGTTCTGTTTGATACAGCTCGATGTCACGAATGCCAGTCTGTTTGCCGATTCCGTGCCTGGCAGAGGAGCTGTTACGAAGGTGCCTGTTTGCTTGTTGGACAGAGAGTAGCGGTAGCTGGAGGCCGGCTTCAGGCCCTGGATGGTCACGGACGTCGTGTAATCAGTCGAGTCATCCAGCGAATAGATAACGCCCTCTTCGACCCATTTCGACGGGTCATCTTCCAAGATCTCTTGATAGTAGACTACCAGGGGGAGTTGCGCGGAATCAGGCTCTCGTACCAGCAGATTGGCCGTGGTGGGGGAGACATAACCAATGCGTGAAAAGGTGAGACTCTTGCCCGAGTGGAAGACCACACCTCGTAGCATGAAGTCCAGAGTCAAAAGCGTAAGCACAATGTTCAACAAGGCTGTCAGGCGCGTCGCTAGGGGCGATCGACGACAGGGCAAACCAGTCAACAGCGTCTTGAGCGGCTGAGCTTTAGATGAGCGCTCCATCCTTCCTGGAGACCAATATCAGCATCATGGACGAAAATACGAAAAAGAGGGCCATCAATTACTGGACTCTCCGGCATTTTTTCCATTATTGCGCGGAGCAGCACTCTCGCTGTCCTGATAGATTAAGGACCGCAGTGACGCGAGGTACACCGCCAATGATGTGAAGATAATGGGCGGGAAACGATGACCGGGGACCTAGTAACAACTTAGTGGACTATCTCGAAAAATCCACGCACAAAAGGAGACCTACCCATCGTAGAAATACAAAGGTCACCAACCTGAGGATCGCGGAACTCGTTGCGGCGGCAATCTGCGGGAAAGACACCATGTCTGCAAGTCAAGTCGTGATGAGCTACCGAGAGGGAAGAATCATCTCAAGTCAGGCCAGGTAGCCTGTTAGAAATGGGATAACGGTGTAAAACCGGGGTGAAACGGTTACGAAGGAGCGTGTGCATCGGACATTGAACGACAGCGGCGAATGGGTTGTTGGCGGTATGACGACATCCGCTGCAATTGACTGTATATGCCACTCTTTATCGCCATCCCCAAGTCAACCTCCCCCCCGGATGAGTCTGTGGGTGCTATAGATTGACTAATGATTTTTACACATATCCAATGATCTATGTTTCAATATTATTCTATTGTTGATGCATCATATCTCCAAGCACATTCATCAAACTGTTGGCCATAGGTCCCGCAGTAAGCATCTGCCGAGCAGCAGCTAGCACATCTTTCATGTGCATACTAAGCGACATCTCTGCTGCCCATTGCCATGGGTTCTGTTGCTCTCCAGGCATGGAATTGAAGTATTCCCAGCCCATGACACCGCCAAAGTTCGGAAATTGCTCAACCAACACTGCGAGAATGGGCCCGATCTTCTCTCGCGGGACGTAGCCTTGCGACCCGTTTCCTGGGTTCGTCAGCAGCCCGTAGACAACGCGTTGTGGTGACCATCCTTGCGCAACAATGGCCGCATACATCCGAGGGTCCTCGGCCAGGCCCCAGCCATTGTAGAACTGCGCATTGTACCAACTGATCTTGGACCCTCGTTGCTGCTCGAGCTGCCGATAATCGAACCCAGAAAGGTTACCAATTCCCAAGAGAGCCGCCGCGACAGGCGCTAGGGTGATGATAAAGTCATCGCCCAAGTCCAGCTTCAATCGGTCGATCAGCCGCATGATGCCGGACAGAGACATTTCCTCTTCTACATCCAGATCCAGCCCGTCTAGCTGATGCCGCCGAACCATCGCTAGAAGAGGTTGGTAGTACCGCTCGAACTTCTCCTGGTCGCCATCCAGACACGTATAGGACCCCTGCGCTGCCCCGCCGAGCATTCCCATCACCTTGACACCGCTGCGTTTCAGCATGGGCACCTCCGCCCACAGCGGGTTATACATCTCATGGTCAGGTGGATCATCGTTGAGCGTGATATGGCCCGGGTCCTCGTTCAGATGAAAAGCTGCGATGATGACGTGGGTAATGCCGGTGTTGTTCTCCACTAGAGGCAGCACAGAGACATAGTCGCCTCGGTTCGGACACAGGGTCTGATGGTAACAAATGACGCGATGGCGCTCGAGTTGTCCGGGCACTGGAGGCATGATTTATATTGATTTAGATGTCGCATAGAGAGATACGTCGATGCGAGCAGTCCTGACTTATATCGTGTAAGGGTTGCTGCGGGGATGCGAGATTAGGAAATGGAACGGATCGTCTGTTGCCCCGCTGACAATATCGACTGCGGTATCCGTCCAAATGTAAACACCATCACTGGTGATAATGTGCTAATGAAACATGTATGGATCACATCGAAATTGGCGGCCTCTGCAGCGGGAAGATCGCCGGAAAAAGATAGATCGAATGAAAGATGGCCAGTCTGTTGATATAGGATAGACTCCAACTTTCGGCTCCAAAACGCAAAGTCGGAGATGCTGCTGACTCAGCTGTCCCTTTTTAACTATGAGTAACTATATAACAGACAAGATGCTATATTATTGCTCGCAGGATATCATATCATACAGTATCTAACTCATCAAATATAATTACACGGTCCTTTACCAAGCTGTATGTCCACCGTCAACGACAAGACAGCTTCCCGTCATGAAACTGCTTGCGGGTGAGAGCATGAAGATAGTGGCGCCTGTGAACTCTTCAGGAACCGCCAGTCGGCCTAGCATATTCTCCTTCTCCCATGTTTCTTTCAAGCCGGGAACCTCCTCGAAGTTCTTTCGAACCATGGGGTGATGATATGTCCGGGACACAGCGCATTCACTCGGATTCCATGCTTTCCCCATTCCATCGCCAGATTCCGCGTGAGCTGAATGACTGCTGCCTTGGAGGCGTTGTATGCAGGACAGGTCAGACCCTTGTTAGCAATCATTCCTGACATACTGGCCACGAGCACAATGGATCCCGGCCGCTCGGTCTGCATCATCTGCTGCGCGACGGCGTTGGCAGACATGAAGACGCCCGTGAAGTTGACGTCCATCAAGTCCGCGACATCTTGGGGAGTGTGGTCTACCGCGTCTTTGACACGCTGAATGCCCGCGGCTGCTACCAGTCCATCGATCTGCCCGTGTTCTCTGGTGATCTTACTGATCGTCTTGTTCAGGTGTTCTCTGTCTCGCACGTCGACGTGGTGGTAATGTATTGACCCCTCCAGGTTGTTGGACGCTTCTTGCGATAATGCGAAATCGGGGTGAGGAGTGTCTAATCGATCGAAGCAGTGCACTGTATGATCAATTGGGGTTAGCTTTGAGGAATCATCAGCATGTGCAGCCAGAGGAGAGTCACCTTGTGCGCCCGCTTGTACCATGGCTTCCGCTATGGTAAGCCCCAGTCCTCGTCCGCCCCCGTGACAACATAGGCCTTGTCGCGTAGACTGAAATTGGGATAGGCCTTTTCTGTCGAAGCCGCAGCAGGGTTGTCATTCTTGAAAGCTTCCGGATCTAAGCGCAGCGTGGACGAGGAGAACGTTCGATATGCCGTAATTGGAGCGGCGACTTTGGAAAGTCGTCCAGATCGGGTGATGGACGCTGGTAGCGAATTGAGTAAGCGTATTGAAGCCATTCTGTGCGTGTCTATCGTTAAGAGTATGAAGTTTCTGGAGTCACCGGTCGCTCGAAGCTTCTGAATAAGCTTCTGAATGAATGCCAGCTAGTCCTTTATATCTAGCACTACCCATCTTGAGATTATGCAATAGATAAGATCAAGATCCTGTGGACCACGGGTGAAAATCAGGGCACGTTTCCATCGACCAAGGCTGAGGCTTGACTGTTGGATAGTATGACGTTTGCATAAGGTCAGATGCGCCTATCTGGGCCAAATCTCTATCTTGGAAGTTGATGCACGACCAGTCCATGACTTATTTCATGTAAACTGTGAGATCATTACCTTAGTGCTTCAGCAAGCAGATTAATTAATATTAAGTGCATTCATTTTACCTGTAGTGGCCTGCTGACTCATCGTTGGTAGATCCTGATAGTTAACTACTTGACTCTGTTTCGACGATCACACAGCTACTACTAAGTCTGCGACCAGCATCATCTCGCCTCCCCTGCATACATAAGAGAGAACTCTATTTGTATGCGGTCACTGCTACCTCTCTCGATTTCTTATTACTAGCCAATTTGCTGGTAAACTGACTCGGTCATCTGTATCTACGGTTTGCCTGTCCATCCCCCACATGGGCCATGACGATGTTTTCACGATGACATATATGGCTGTCAGACGGGTTTCGCCTTCCGACCAATCAATGAATATTTGAATGAGCAAATCATGATTGTCGATAGTTTACTTTGCCATGCGCAGGCTCTCGACATTCCAATAAACAGGGAGGTGATTTGTTGATCGCCTCCTGACCTAGTATATCGAGAGTTCTTGCCATGGAGGAGGCGAGTGCAAGCATACTGGCAGGGCTACATAAACATCTGCCTTGCAAGATAGACTACAGTGCCCACTCTACTGGTGTCAGCTTTTTGATTCCTTCCGCCAATCGAATCTTTACGATCTACATATCTTGCGAAATTAGGGAATTCTCTAATATTCTAACCGAAAATAATGCAACGCTCCCTGTTTCGTCCACATCTCCTCTCGAACCATCTCGGTCGATCTACATCTCTCTGGCGGCCTACAGCTGCAACGGTCGCAACTAGAGCAGACCATCACCCAAACCCAGGCAATTTTGCCAACCGTCCAAAGGAAGAGGTCTCCGAGATTGGTCGCAAAGGTGGTCGCAAGGGAGGTAGAGCTAGGGGTGTTGGAGGCTTCCATAATATGGACCCTGAGAAACAGGTGAGACCAGGAAGGCGGCCATGCATCCCGTTATGCATATAGTGACTTATCCATCGGCAGCACGAAATCGCTTCTCGAGGAGGTCGTGCGACCAGGAAAGCAGCTGAACAGGCGGAGAAACATCAGGGCGTTGCTGGAGAGAGACGTCGCACTCATGAGCCTTCAACAGCAAGTCCGGGGTTTGAGGAGTCATGGACGGCATAAATGTCCCAAAGTTTATGATGTAGATTATAGATAGATGCGATGTATATCTAGATGTAGACAGAATCAATTTCCTAGATACTAGATATCTCTCTAGGTACTGAATATGAAGCCCCCTACTGAGGATGTTACGTCACGGTCATTTTTCCGCCAGTCCCAATCAGGCATTCTATAAACAATCTACCGTTATTGCCCGAGAACTCAGGCATACACAAAGTGCGCGTTTCTCACATCGAAGATCATCCACTCATCTATCAATCTGGCGATAATACTCAATCCATCTCAATTAGGTTCCTTCGGCCATCTTCGTGTATCGCATCGAGATTCTTATCGCATTATCAATATAATATATCTATACAACCACGCAACTGAACGATGCTGTTCGCCTGAGCGCACCCTCGACTAGATCTCACCATGGCCGACACCCGCTACACTTCGCCAGACCCGACAACCCACGACACGGTCGGCGCGTCCACAATCGCTACACCTTTGTTTATGCCATCGTCCCCTCCTCCTGCTGAGGAGAGAATGGTCGATTCTCTCCCACGTGCCGATAGTCCTGTTTCCGACTGTGTCGCTGCCGAGAGTGACGGAGCGCGTTCGCCAGCGCTCTCTAGAGCTTCGTCTCCCGATCATCAAGCGAACGAACTCGATGCGCGACTAGCGGAATATACTGTCGATTTTCGCGCTTTATCCGGCACACAGTTAGCTCGCGATGATGATACCCTACCTGATCTGAAATTTCCGCATGAGGAGGATAAGCTTTCTGAGGTCGGTGGGCCGGAGGACTTTACTGCCAACATGGAGAGGTACCTGATGGGCATGGATGATGACTTGGAGGACAAGGATTGGGAGGAGGGTCAATCAGCGCACTTGAAGGACAATCCGCAGCCATCGATTACTCAGGTCGATGAGCAAGAGGGGCAAGGAGAAGACAAGGAGGCGGACCACCAGCCACAGCAACAGGGGCATGGCTTACAGCAGCCTGGCCCAGATGACGAAGCGGAAGTTGGCGAGTACAGTGAGTTCGGACCTCCGGTTGACATGTCCACTCCATCCCATTTCCTGCGTAGGACAGGCGCTTTCGCCAAGGAAATGACCCAGCTGGAAGATATTGAGGAGGATCCCGATGATGAAGCCCAACCTGTTTCCACACCATCTGTCCAAAGACAGACGGCTACATTACAGAAGGATACGACGGATTCGAACGAGGATTTGCGGCGTCAAATCGCCGAACTCAAAGCGACAATTCGAGAGCGCGATCAGCAGCTGGAGAGAAACCATAGACGGGTACTGGAAGCCGCTTCTGCGGGGAGCAGATCAAACATTTGCAGGCTGAACTCCAGAAGAAGTCAAGCCAGTTGGACGATCTTCAAGCGAAAATCGACGACGAGGCAAATTTGCGACAGCAGATACAGATGCTCCAAAACGAAAACGACGAAAAAGAGTCGTACATGAGGAGATCTTCATTCAGCCAGTCCGGACTCAGTGCGCTTCAGAAACAGCTCGGCGATATGCAAAAGGAGCTGCAGAGCAGGGATACGCGCCCGGCCCTGGACACAGAGCGCCTGGAGACGATTGCATACCTACGTCAGCAACTGGATCTGGCGCAAGAACAGTTGAAGAAACGCGATGCTACGCTCGAGGACACCCTAGCCAAGCTGAGAGATGTCACCGCAGCGAAAGAGCTACAACTGCGAGAGAAGAACACTGAGATCGATGGCCTCAAGGCTCAAATTGATGATAATCTCATGGAGATTGACAGGCTGGAGATGGAACTAGAGCAGGCGAACCAAGAATGCCGAATTCTTGAAGAGAAGGTTGAATCACTGGAGACCAAGAATCGCCCGCTAGAAGAGAAGAATAGCACTCTTGAAGCCGACCTTAACCGCGCGCAGTCGCAGGTTACGGCTCAAGGAAACGCGCTCAAGGCCATGGCGGCAGAGATGCCACTCGAAGCAGGAGGAAGGAATACGTACACCGAGATTCTCGAACTTATTAAAGATCTTGACCCGCATAGCACGACACGTTCGTCCGGCAAGCCTTCCTTGTCAAGGGAGGCTGAGTCAAAAGACGATGAAATGGAAGAATATCGTCAGGATTTGGCCAAGGCCCGGGCCGAACTGGAGGAGGCATCTTCGGTTCGGAAGGCCCTTGAGCTCGATTTAAAGCGGTCCCAAGAACAAGCCGCTGAGGCGCAGACCCTGTTCAAGTCGGTCGAAGACGAGAATACCCGCCTCACTAAACAAATAGACGACCTGCGGACCAGCCTGGATAAAGTCCAGGGAGAACTCAGCCAGATGAAGACGGAGCATTCAGAAGCCCTCGAAACCATCGGCCGTCTTCAGACAAGGAAGAATACGCAGCAACCCAGTCCTCCCCCTTCCCCTCCCACACCACGCAACACCGGCCAGGCAGAGAAGCTCGAAGAATCGTACCGCGCCCAACTCAAGAGCCTCCAAAACGCACACGCCACCGCCATCTCCGCTCTACGTTCGTCCCACGCCGACTCAACCCGCAAACTACGTGATCTCCTTGCCGCTGCCGAGAAGCGAGAATCCAAACTCAAAGCCGAAGTGCAGTCCCTGCTCGCCGCGCGCGCGACGCAAGACGCTCAAATACAGTCTCTTGACACCGAGGTCAGAAGACTACAATCTGCGATTGCCGTGAAGGAAGAGGCGGCTGCTGCGCTGGACGAGCGTATCGCCCGGTCCGTCGAGAAGCGCGAGAAAGAGTGGGAGGGCCGCGTGGACCTGCTCCTAAAGGAGCGACAGCGGATGGCCAAAGCCCTCATGTGGGCCTGGGGGGAGAAGGAAGTCGGCGACGTCAAGGAGAACCTCGGCGAGGATGGGCGACGCGTCAGGCAGGCCTATCGATATAAGTATGCTCAGCGGAAGGGAACGGAGGGATAGGAAGTATGAATGCCCTCCCCATACACTCTTTCTCTGCTTTATGGAGTCATTGGCGTTTATTGAGGGTCTGCGTGGAGTTTGTTTCTATGTGTAAGATGATAACGTTCCTAGCTGGTTGACACTGAGCTCTGGGCATAATTTAGGCGCAATTTGCTTCTCTAGGACGTTTCACTGCCGAGCATTAGGATTGGAATAGCGCTCAATTCAAGTCCACAGAACGATTTTGCATAATTCCCATCGCCTAATATGACCCCTTACATGGGTCATCTCTTCAAGAACAAGTTACAAATCTCCAGCATGAAATGAGAATCTATAACGTTTTCAAACATATGACAAAGAAGGAGTTCAGTATAAATACTTCAAAGAAATAAAGAAGACTCATCTACATGTAGATGAGTATGGAAGAAAAGAAAGCGAGGGCGTTCCAAAGCCAATAACAACCCATGTCTGAAGCCACTTGACAATATCGAATGCGCTCTCGGTGATTGGGCTCATGTCTGACCGGCAGACTAGAAAACAATCCTAGCTAAATCTATGCATACTGGTGCGATTGGCCCCACGGTACGTATTCCCGTCGAGGATGGTGCGCCTCCCTTGATCATCAAGCGTCGCAGTCGCTCGAGCCTCGTCCACGGACGAACCTGTCTCCCTGATACTATCCAGGGGTCCGTGGCCCAGCGAAGCGATCCCGCCGCAAGTCGAGCTGCGCGGTCTACGTGTGCTGGGATAGATGATTTCCACGTCGTTTCGGCGCCAGGCCGGGCCCATAGTACGGTATTGCTCGAACTGCTGGTGAGGGGGTGATGGTGGCTCTGCGTGTGGCGGGGGATCTGGTTTGGATCGAACTGGTAGCTTGGTCTTTGTCTTTGGCTGTAGCGGTGCGTGTGACGACGGGCGACCGTGTTAGGCTCGATGAGGGAAACCCGGCGATTGGGAGGTCGGTCCATCGGCCGTCGGGCGATTTGATTTGGTGGGATGAGCATGTAAGCAGGGTGTTGGGGCTGATAGGCAGGAAGTGTATTTGAAGTATTGGATCTGTGAACTGTGGCTGGCGGTGCCACGACTTCGGGAGCATCGGCGGAGTTTGCTGTCATTGATCGTGGGCGAGAAGGTCCTTTCAACTGAGCTACTGCGACAGAGCTTTCCATCTCAGAACCCCGATTTGGTGTAGAGGGGGAGGGGTTCTGGCTGGGCGAGGAGTTTGGTGACTGCCCAGTCTGCTCCTGCTTCACAGTAACATCGTCGCCTCGTGCTTGCTGTTCGATATCCCGACGGGGATCAGCTTCAGCTAGGGCACGGATCTGAGGATCCGCCGACAGAGGAATCGATATGGGCAGGACTTTGAGAAGGGACCTGCAAAGGGATGATATGGACGACTTTTGTCTCAAGTGTCGCAGTGAAGAAGGGATCGTAGGGACGTCGGGAGTGCCAGACAGCTCCGCACAGGGAGGATTCTGGAACGAAGCCTCGCTTGCTGTTTTCAGGGTTGCGACAGTGGGGGTGCGAGATACTGGGGCCACGTTAGTTAACCTGACAGCCTCTTTACGTAGCATGAGTCTTACCTGTGGAAGCAAGAGTTGTCCCTGATAGGATCTCCGCTGCTTCGCATGCTTGGTCTGTATCAAGCCGAAGTTGAGACTTTGGGCGTATCGGTCGAGGATGTTGAATAGTCGGCGAAACGGACTTTTCCATAAGGTCGTCGTTGCCGGACGGTATATATACCCCCTGGGTGCCGAACGTGACATCAGGCCCACGACAAAGATAGTAAATGTCATTTGTCAGGCAGCTTTCTCTGTCGAAGCTTGTTTGGGAACAGACACTGTCGCCGCGGATTGGCTGCCGCTGCGAGTATACGCCCAACAGAGACACGTCGTAAGGTCGGCGGCAAAGCTCGCGTGAGCAGAAATAGAGACAGACGGTGACACTGAATATTCTCATCAACACTTTTCCCATAACAACTCGGGACTTGCCATCACTCACAAGGATAGAACTGAAATGATAACGGCAGCTCTGTGAAGCGCACAGCTGACACCGGTTTTCCAGAAACCACCGTTCATACTGTCCGGAAGACATGAGATCTGTTGCGAAATGACCACCAAGCCTGCTACACTCGCTGCTACCCAGACGATTATTGTCAGCCGCAGAAGATATGTGCACACGCCGTGCAAGAACTTCTTTTGCCGCCGGAATCCTTGGACTCTGTTGTATTGCCACGCGAGTAGGCTATGCAAAACCACAAGTGGAACAGTGAAGAGAGACTGCGCACTCCGCAATCAGAATCGGTTCATAGTTATGACAGGCACTGGGAGAGATCTTACCGCGATGAGAATCAGAACCAAGCTCGGCAGCATCTTGGAATCGACTTGTCGATTGACGAAAAGATATATCACAAGTACCCATTCGATGAGGGATTCGAGCAACAAGACATATAGGGAAACAAATATGACGACCTTGGTCCATGACCCTCGCCTTTGAGGCGTTGTAGGCCGATCAGCCATGATGAATGTGGGGACAGCAGCTCGAGATGCTGTATCACAAGCTAGCATAAAAGAGCATCCACACAGTGGAACAGACTGTTAATCTGTTATCTACACGCGCAATAAGTGGACGGAAGAGAGGCCACAGCGGCAGTCGAAGCCGTTGATTGCAGAAGTCTTATTGTCGGGTGATCAGGATAGCTTATAGACATATTGTATAGAGAAGTGCCAAATAGCAAGGTAAAAGGACGCACTGAAGAGTAATAAAAGAAGAGGTGTAAATTGATCTCTTGCAGGCGCGTCAACGCGGAGACAAAAAGGATCGGAATGTAGAGGGGCAAGACATAGAGTGCAAACTGCAGACAGCGTCGGCCGCGTGTCCCCAAGATCCTGAATAACACCCAAGCTTGAAGGAATTAAAGGAATTAAGGGCTCCAGAATGGAAGATCATACTTCTGGAATGTTAGCCTGAAGGACAGTTGACAGCTCACCAAAAGTGATTGGTGGTGTTAGGGGTGGGTTGAGGAGTCGAAGATCATTTCAATTGATAGGCCATCGCTATTCAATCACTTGAAGGAGTTGACCCTTTCAATAGAATTCTGATGAACCTGTGTATGTGCATTAGTATGCAGGAGTTTCAAGAGCCTGGACTCGTGCTTTGAGCCACTGTCGAGGGCAAGTCCTCGATTCTCATCCACTGAGACACAATCATTTTCGAGGTCACGGAGTACAAAGCACAAGAACAGCGAGACAGTAAATTGATGAATGAGACAAAGCGATCTTTGAATGCAGGAGTGACCACAGGGGTACAGGACAGGATAGTTGAGAGGAAAACGGGGAGGTCCAGTTGGTGCATGGAGGTCAACGAAGGGATGCACGTGACCGTGGTGAAGAGGACATTTTAACACTCAGTTCGAAAGGATTGAAGGGCGTCTATCCCCTGTAAGAATCAAATTGTCTTGTTTTTGCCTGTGTCAAGGGTTAAAGCTATAACGCTATGATGCAACAATGCACGGCTCAGCTCTGCTGCCAGCTTATGCTCTCACACCAGAACGGAAGATGACCAAATGACTCTGCTCATAGATTGATCTAGTCTATCGGTATGTTTATCGGATTATATTGCTAAATACATAGCCGTTCAGTCCTCTTCGAGAGTCACTCGTTCATATAAGGGATGCTCCGCTTTTCGGTACTTTTGACTCTGTCTCCAAATCAGATGGTACCGCGCTGACCTCGACGTCTTGCCGTCCGTTTCGAGGTTCGGCAGACTTTCGGCCTCGCAGCCGGTTCAGCAGAGGGTCGACCACAGGCAAATGTCCGTGGCGTTCCTTGTGACGCATAGCCACGAACCAGACGATCACAGTAATCCAGTAGAGGTTATATGAAAGGACGGAGCCATAGGTTGCCGAGTTCGTCCAGCCAAGGATGGCGTTGAAGATACCCCATCCTCCGCCACCATTAACGAGCGGGCTACAGCAGTTTACATGCCAGACGCTTTGTCGGATGTCATACGATCCCGGGCCGGCACCTGTCTCTGCAGCATCACCACCAATTACGTGGTTCCAAGTATTATTCTCCAAATACCAGACGCCTCGGGAGAAGAGGCCGGCAGCAACCAGGTAGAGGAAGCAAGTCGAGATGATCAGGAAGATCTGGAGGGAGGCTTGGTTTCCTCCTCTGCAGACCATCAGTATTTGAAAAGACAGCTGATTCAGGGGGTCCAACATACCGATAAAGTAGGTATCCAATGGCCACTCCCGCGAGAATACCGGTAAAAACAGGTAGAGGGAAGGCGGTTGCAGGAAAACTGAGACTGACGCCTCCAATGAACACCACCGCTTCGAGACCTTCACGGAGAACGGTGATGAAGGGGAGGAGAAACATGGCGTATTTCTCCGCCCATAGTTTGAGGTTGCTTTTGAATGTGCCGCGAGTCAACGGCTTTGCTTCCAGGGCCTGAGCTAGCTTGACGCGCCACTTCTCCTGCAACTTGGTGACACGAAGCAGTGCAGCACCCATGATGGTGATGATGACACTGGCTATCAGGGAGAAGATGCCCTCCCACAGGTCCTCCGTACCAGCGAAGTGATCCTTGCCATACCCGTAGAAAGCTCCAATCATGCCAGCACCGATGCAAATACTGATGAACAACCCAATGGCAACTCCCCACCACACCTAGAAGAACGGAAACCCACCCGATCAGCCTGAAGTTCGGAGAAGAAAGGCGAATATGAATATATGGGCCTACCTGTCTGATCAGCCTCTTACGTGCGGTAGCATCTTGCTCTCGTCCCAAGGTCTGATTGATGAATGAGAGCAACACAGAGACAATGATGCTGGTCTCGACGCATTCTCGGAAACAGATGAAAAAGACTGAGGGCAGGCGAAGAAACGTTAGTCAACTCTTCTAAAAGGTAATTCGAGTCTAGTCAAGAAACCCATACTTGGAACAGCAAACACGTCTTTCGTCATCTTGTGAGCTGAGAGGGAGACGACAAAGGATTCGAAAACCGAGACTTGACCATGAGAAGGGGGTTGGGGATGGGAGTCGGGGGAGTTGTGGATAATATCACAATCTAGTGACTGATCGATAAAGATTGAAAGATTGATTGATATGATAAATATTATCTAAGCAGTACGCCGGAAGACTTAACTAATTGCCTGATTGATTGATAAAATAAAAACGCACACAGTCACGAGGGAAAAAACCTCTCGATTATCTGATTGATAAAATGGCGCAAGAACGGGAACCGCGGCAGCAGACAGGAACAGAAGGTTTCGACGCGAGAAGAGAGAAAGTCAAAATAACGAAGATTTCTTCTGGTTGGATCGGTTTTCCTTGCAGCGAGAACTGGCCTGGGTGGTGGCGCTCAACAGGCTGAACTTTACGGGCGAATTCGTGGACCTGAAACCCGTGAACAGACGGATCATCGGCCCATCACACACAATTGGGATCGTACGGTCCAATTTTGGCTTTCTCTACAGAGTACTTCGTAGTCTTTTTCTCTCTCCATAATCTAATCTCAGTACAGCAGGTTTTCTGGCTGATTCTGATACAGAAGAGAAAATATTTCACTGCCCACACACAGAAGAAGCAATAAGGAATCACCAAGCACTGAAGACAAGAAAGATACGGCATGATAAGCTCACACTAGAGAGGGTGGATCTTGTGGGCACTGGGCAGCAGCAAATGGACAAATTAGCAGTCGATCCATCATTGGACCCTTAGGGGAAATGCCAAGTACCAAGAGTGAAGCGACAGGCTGGACTTGGAGGATGATGAACCCTGGCATGGGGATGGTTGACTACGACCACGAAAAGAATTCAGGCCAAGCAGAGAAACGAAGGTTGATTGTAGTCAGGGAGTATCATTATCATTGTCGTCGTCGCAACCCTAATCAATGTTGATCAATCTCATCGTTATGAAATTTAATGCCTCATGTGTAGCACTGATACAGTAAGGTACCTCGTACTCCCCCCACATTAGCGAACCATGCGTCGGACCACAGGAACAATTATCAAACGGCAGAAGCGGTTTGGAATGGCATGAGACCAAAGCAAATAGATTAGATAGACATCATTATTATTGTTATTATTATTATTATGGTTTATGATGAATACCTTACTGTTAGCGACTCGGTGATAATAAAATTGACTTTTGGCACGATCCCACGGGAGAACTAAAAAAAAGTAAAAAGCTCTTATCAATCAGTTGCCATTCTGGCTGTCCCCCATTATTTCTTTCTATTGGAAGTTGAGATTCCCTTCCACCTCGGCCCAGTTCTCGACATCCTCGCAATTCCTCCATCATCTTTAGAGGTGCCATGGCAGTTGGCTTCCTTTTGTTGACGACGTTTGTCGTTAACATCCTGACAACCTCTGCTGCTACCCTCAACTACGACTGGAATATCACATGGGTTACCGCTAATCCCGATGGTCAATTCGAGCGTCCTGTGATTGGGATCAACGGTCAATGGCCTCCTCCAGTACTCAATTTTACCAGGGGCGACCGTATCATTGCAAAAGTGCACAATGCGCTGGGAAATGAGACCACCAGTGTCCACTGGCATGGATTCTTTCAGAATGGGACCAACCATATGGATGGTCCTCCGTCGGTCACTCAGTGCGCCATCGCCCCAGGTTCTACCTTTGTCTACAATTTCACCGTCAGTAAACTATGTGGTAGAAGCGTACTGAGTTCATGTCAGTCTAACGATCTGCACAGGTTGAGCAACCTGGCACTTATTGGTACCATTCACACACCAAAGGCCAATACCCTGATGGGCTCCGACAAGCCTTGGTGGTGACCGACCCTAAGAATCCGTATATCGGGCAGTATGATGAGGAGCGAGTCATTAGCTTGTCCGACTGGTACCACGACCAAATGCCAACGCTCTTGAAGTCATTCATTAGCGTCACCAATCCCACCGGCGCGGAGCCTGTGCCCAAAGCGGCTCTGATGAACGACACTCAGAACCTCACTGTGGCAGTCGAGCCAGGCAAGACATACCTCTTTCACTTGGTCAATGTGGGTGCGTTTGCCAGTCAGTATTTTTGGATTGAAGACCACACGATGAAGATTGTTGAGGTGGATGGTGTCTGGACCAATGCGTCGGAGACCAATATGATCTACATCGCCAGCGCACAGCGCTACAGTGTGTTGGTAACCATGAAGAACGAGACCAGCCAGAATTACGCCATGGTGGGCAGTATGGATACGGTATTTGCTTCAATTCTCGAAGATGATGCGATGCCCACAGCTGACGAAACCTACAGGATCTCTTCGATACACTTCCCGAGTCATTGAATTATAACGTGACGGGATGGCTGATGTATAATGACAAGGCTGACAAGCCAACTCCAGCTCTAATCTCCGCATTTGAGCCTTATGATGACTTCAACCTGGTGCCAGTGGATGGCATGGCGCTGCACAAGGAAGCAGATTACACCGTCACTCTGGACGTGACGATGGATAATCTGGGAGACGGGGCCAATTAGTAAGAGCAACAACCAAGCGGTCAGATAGTCAGGATTCAAGGAACTAGGGCTGACTTTTGGAACAAGTGCTTTTTTCAACGGAATCACCTATGTCATGCCCAAAGTTCCGACTCTTTATTCGGCACTGACCACCGGCTCAGCGGCAACAGACCCTGCTGTCTACGGGTACAACACACACCCGATTGTCCTAAAAAAGGGAGATATCGTGGACATTATCCTCAACAACGACGATGCCGGAAAGCATCCTTTCCACTTGCACGGACACACTTTCCAAGTGATTGCGCGCAGCGAAGACAACGCGGGACACTATGATCCCAGCAACCATACGGCATTCCCATCCGTCCCAATGAGGAGAGATACTGTTATAGTCCGCCCGCAGGGCAATTTTGTCCTCCGTTTCCAGGCCGACAATCCGGGTATGTTATTCAAACAGCCTCTTCATTGCAGTGAAGCTAATCAGTTACCACACCAGGCGTATGGCTCTTTCACTGCCACATTGAATGGCACATGGATTCAGGGCTAGCGGCGACCTTTATCGAAGCGCCTCTGGACCTGCAGAAGACGCTCAAGATCCCCGAAGATCACTACAAGGTCTGCGAGGCTAGCGCTACCCTCACCGCGGGAAATGCGGCCGGAAACACCAAGGATTTGTTCGATCTGACCGGGCAGAATGTATCTCCTGCACCGCTCCCCGCGGGCTTCACGACCAAGGGCATCGTTGCCCTGGTGTTCAGCTGCATTGCGGCTATCCTGGGATTATTGTCGATAGCTTGGTATGACCATTTCCCCGAATTTAGGCCTAATGCACTTGTTGACTGACCGGAAACAGGTACGGCATGGCGCCGATTACTGCGCCTCAGACTTGCGCGACGCCGAGTAATGGTTCGGACGAGAATTGAGAGCCATTTCTACATTGAAGGAATTTCCATTGATCCGGCAGGTTTAATGCCCTCTACATCTAGTCCGACGTGAGGTACAGAGACATATTAGACCCCGCATACAGTTGTGGCAGATCTTTAGTGCTCCTGACACTGTGCGATATGGTAGATTGCTACTGGACCTGCACATGCTTTCTTGAATACCACTATGTATAGATTCATAATGATACCTTGGAAATTTAAAAAGAATCCGACACGCCGGTTCAATGCCGCAGCGCAGCTCATCACAGCACAGCAATACACTCAATCTCTACATCCGTATTCAGCGGCAACGTTTTGACAGCCACACAACTAAGGTACAACGCATCAGTTTAGATTCCCAGAGCACATTAACCCATATGACGGGGATATAACATACGTCCGACAGGGCTTCACATCCCCCCAGTACTGCATATACACCGAATTCATATCGGCAAAGTTATCCATATCCGACAGAAAGACATTAACCTTGACCACCTTGTCGATAGTGGTGCCGGCCGCCTCGAGGACATGCGTGAGGTTCTTGATGCATTGATGCTGTAAGCCTGCTGTCAGTCATGCTTTTTCTTCTCTTCTTCTTCATTCGTCACCCAGCGAGAGAACAACGATATATAAAGTACCGTATGAGCCTTGACATCCCCATCGATCAATTTCCCTGTTTCGGGATCCATCGCGACCGCCCCGGAGCAGTAGGCGACTCCATTAGCGATGATGGCTTGCGAGTAGATGCCTGGGAGAGGCTTCGGGGCTTTGTCGGTGAGGACGGGGGTTTTGGTTGCCATATTGATGTTGACTGGTTTTCTCTTCTAAGGATATGAGAATTTGCTGTGCGGGGTACCATCCCCCTCATATATATATATATATATCTACATATAAGGTACATGAGAGTATCACTTCGTACGGTAATCGGGCATACATGCGCATCTACAATGCGTGGATGCATGGATGCATCGTATCCATTATCGATCTACTTCCCCCCCCCTCTCCCCTTCACCCCCACGCGCGGAAACAAGGCCGTGTGCCAATCGCAGGCGGGAAAGTTGCATTGAACCCCTCACGACACGACAGCTCATTGTAACTTGACCTTGGATTTGACTCGGTTGACTTGCTCGTACTGCTACCTTGCATTGTCAAGCAAGGAGGTTGTCCTTCGATTATCATACCGTGTGTCATACAGTGGATATCTCACGGGCTTACGGCGTACGTGGTGATCTCCACGGTCGACTATTTCCCTGATATCAACCGCAGAGGATCAGATCGTCCTGCACAGTACATACTTTGTATACAGTTGCAACCCCCACGGCCCTTGATTCAAGACAAGATCTTACTTCGCAGGGACGGAATGTAACCGGCCTGAGGGGAAGCTTCCAAATACCAAACAGTAAATGAACCCTCTGGTCTAATGACTCACTATTCAATTCCTCACCTGCTCAAATTCATATAACCCATAAGCTGCTCTATATTGTTCCTGTGAGTGCCAGATCAAAATGTCCGTCTCGGCCGACACCTCGCAACCGCCATATCCCTTGCATGACTCCGTCAAGGACAAGCTCGACCCAGAATATGTCGACTTCTACAACAAATATGTGATCAACCTTCAACAAGTCCATCTTCAACCGGTGGCTGCCTCGAGAACAAGCGGTGTTCTGATCCCCGGCGGTGGCCCTCTGCTCGAAGTTGGAAAGACAGAGGATATCACCATCAAACGGAGGGCGACCGACGGGCCCGGTATTCTGCTCCGCAGCTTCATCCCGCCAGGAGAAAAGCCTGCAGATGGCTGGCCGGTGATGCTATACTTTCACGGCGGGGGATGGGTGCTAGGAAATATCGACACCGAGAATCCGGTATGTACGAACGTCTGTGTCCGGGGGAACTGCGTGGTGGTTACAGTGGATTATAGGTTAGTCTTCGCCGTCAAACACCCTGTCGACATTCAGTCGCTGACGTTATAGATTGGCTCCTGAAAACCCGTGGCCGGCTGCTGTCCACGATTGCTGGGAGGCCTTGCTCTGGCTCATCTCCGACGGCGCCTGGGTGCTTCCCATCGACACATCCAAGGTGGCGACAGGAGGTTCGTCAGCTGGTGGAAATCTGGCTTCCATCATGACGCATAAAGCACTCACCCTCTCGCCGCCGGTACGCTTCTGCGCTCAGCTGCTCTCCGTCCCCGTCATGGACAACACAGCGACCGTAGCCAACAACGAGTCCTATCGCCTGTATGAACACGCACCCGCTCTTCCCGCGGCCAAGATGATCTGGTATCGCAACCATTACCTCCCCAACATAGCAGATCGCGCCAAGCCCGAAGCCAGCCCTCTCTTTTATGATGATGACTGGTCGCAACTGCCACCGGCCTTGATTATGGTGGGGGAACTGGACGTCTTGCGCACAGAGGGAGAGCAGTATGCGGCGAAGCTGAGGGAGGCAGGGGTAGAGGTGGATTTGCAGGTGATGAAGGGGATGCCGCATCCGTTTCTCGCCATGGATGCGGTTCTCAAGGAGGGAAGGCGATCTATCACCTTGATGTGCGATATGTTAAAGAGGGTTTTTTGGGAGTCATGAACCTCTGTCAATCTCGACTATGATATCATATTCATGAGCAGAATGCTAGAAACCAGTGCCCCAATTGGCCAGATAATGCGTTACTTGCTCTCACTAGGGGAGAAAAGATCAGTAGACGAGCTTCATGCTACCTAGATGACATTGTCAAGAGGCTGCTGGTTAGACATAAAGATCGAACAAGTCATGTTTCGCAAGACTTAATGCGGTCATCATTCAAGACATGTGAGTGATATAACTGGGAGTACGGGTAAATCGGTGTCATGCCACAGAGGCAATGCAACGCTCTGCGCGATGACGAGATCAGGACAGACGCTGGACCATCCAGGATAGTCGTTAAGGAGACATGCTCTCCCCATACCGGGGGCCTGTATGGTAAGTTGCTCATGAGCGAGATGATTCTTAACTCATATATTGGACTCGGTATCAGCCAGTCACTGGCTCCATGAGTACCATGACGGCTAAGCGAGCTCTGGTGTTGACCCCTAAATTAACAAACCCTGCAACGATCATGGATGCATCCTCGGCCTTGTTCCGTGGCTTGTTTGTCTCGTGCAATCGAGCGTCAGTCATACCCCAACTCTGCGCTCTGTCTGAGAAGGGAAATGATCAGAGCAGAGGCCAGCAAGACACCGAAATCGACGATGTCAGAGAGATGCCTCAAGTCGCCTCCAGAAAAAAGATCTATGGAAGAACCATTCTGGAAGTAGAATAGCTTCATGATCGAATGGGACCACGAGCACCCTTTGGCCCCTGTACGAGAAAAAGACAGGTCCTGCTGAGAGAGCAAAATCCATGACCATTAGTGTCGATGAATATCAAATATGAACGTGACATAAAATGTCCTCCTGGTCCAGATATCTCGCCAGAGACTCTCGAGCTGTCTCTTCACTGTACGATTTCTTCTGACAAGCACTTCTGGGACTTGGTTGCTGCACTCATGCCCAGTTCCTGATTGTACTTTGTACCTGCGGCGTAATCCGTTGAGTACCTGAGCTAGATCGTTAGCGCGAGCCTTAGCATGAATGGTTGATAAATAACTCGTTAAGCACAGAGAACATTGTGATTCGATGCGATCTATCCACTAAAAATACCTGAGCCCCGAACCGGTTCAGGTTGGTGGAGTTTTCTCATCTTACTCTGGTCTGGGTCAGTGGCGAGAGACTAAGAGCAGTCTTGGTGTGGATGTAACTCTGCGAATTAGCCTAAGAAGCAGCCTCGTAAAAATTCTATTAGTTAATGACTTCCGCTGGCTTGTGCTTGTAAAGTTAGTGCCTTGAATTTCCTCGAAAGTCCGGACAATAATAGGGAAGCTGAAGAAATGACTGAAGCCTTTGTATGGATTGAAATGATCTCTAGTCCCTACTGTACCTCCTTGTAGTGATGATATGATCAACACGAACAACAAATCCCTCGGATGATCCGGCACGTTCTCCGGCGCTAGGTAGTTAGGTATTTGTGTCTCATTCGCACTAAGCACAAGTCCTGATCGAAAATCTCGGATATTGACGTTTTAATTTTTTCGGCCATAAAAGTTGTTGTGACTTTGCCCGAAACAGGAAAGTCCTGTCCAGCGTGGTCCTGGAGGAAAAAACAATGCCAAGACCTGAATCAGGCCAGCGCTATATCCTCGCAATATGATTGGTGTTCCTGAAGGTCTGGAGCCTGCCCAGCAAGGCAACAACCCCTCGCTAGGCTGGATAAGGAAGGCACGACCATGCGACTCGACTCGACTTTGAGGCTATCGGACCTGGGGCTAGACGAGGCTAGTTCGAGCAACACCCATGGAACCAAGCAACACAAGGCCCCAAGTCTCCGAGGCATCTCGGACCCTTTCATTCGCTCCTCTTCTTCGTCGCTTACGGAGAGATACAGACTAGTTAGCAGCCACCTGGCTGTCAGCAATTTGAGGTAACTAACTACCACAGCATTGCTTACTCCCCTTTTTACGCCCCTCGCCATGTGGTGTGTAAAAGAAAAGAAAGGGTAAGAAAAAGAAACAGGTCTTATTCGACTGATTCATGATCGAAGACCCATCCTTTGTGACGATGGATGGCTCTCCACATGTATCGCTTGGATTGGATTCATCATGGCTGGATTCTCCGGCCACATCAAGGACTCTCCAGACACTAAGGGGCCCTTTCTTGATTGATCCTGGTGGTAAAATTCATTTCATCCCAAGGTCCCAGCTTCAAACTAATGCATGTCCCGTCACTAATGCGGAACTAGGGACTATACCATTGATCACTCATGAGTCGTGATAGTGGAGGAATAATGGACATTGCTCCATGCGGCTCTTTTGTCGACTGTTTCCACTTTCCACGTCGAATCAGCACTCTCGTCGCTGCCACTGACTCAACAGCAATATCGGCCGGGTCTATCTCGCAATTTCCGTTGCCACTCGGCTGTCCAATCTGGTGATGCTTTCGAGTCCGTAGCGCCCTTAGACCCTGGCAGATTGCCTGTTACTAGTCGACTTCGACCTCCACCTGAGAGAAACGAGTTCGTTTGTCCGGTAGGCTGTGCCTGTTGGAACTCAATCTGGCAAGGTGTTGAATAGAGTTCATATTCTCACTGCGACCTTCTTGCTATCATCCCTGCAATTCCACATTCGAGACCGCAACGGTGCCTGGGGGGAGTCTGCGTACTATTTTAGGCCAACAATAATGGGATATGGCTGCGAAGACGGCATCTGTAATCTCCGAGCTAGCAAGATGGTTGGTCGTCGACTTCTCCGTACGTAGTCATATATAGGTCTCCGTCATGTCCACCCCTCTCATTGAAGATATCTCTCCTTCTCTTTGGTCTGGCCTTCCCACTTCCCAAGTCTTCGTCCGTTGAGAGACCGTTCGACTTGCCAGCAGACATTTGTCTGCGTCCTTTCTTTGACCCTCACCGTCTACACTCCTTTCTTGTGCGGTAGTTCGCTGGGATTTTAATCCCGCTGTCATTCTTTTTTTTTTGCCAACATGGTGTCCAGCAAGTTTTCTCTCGTCGCCACGGCTGTTGCAGCCCTGGCTCCCCTGGCATCTGCTTTCGATGCCTCCTCAAGATCCAACCTTGCCATCTACTGGGTACGTTTCGACCGTAGCATTCGCCTTGGCTTCCAAATTCTGCATGCTGATCATTGTCTTGTAGGGTCAAGGTCCTGACCAGCTCCGTCTGAGCCACTTCTGTAAAGAGACCTCCTTGGACATCATCAATATTGGATTCATCAACTATTTCCCCGATATGAGCCCGGGACACTGGCCGGGCTCCAATTTCGGCAACCAGTGCGACGGTTCCTACTACGTTACTAAGGATGGCGTTGTAACCAAGTTGCTGTCCGGCTGCCATCAAATCATGGAGGATATTCCCATCTGCCAGGCGGCTGGTAAGAAGGTCCTGCTGTCCATCGGTGGTGCCTATCCCCCAGACCAGAGCATCCTCTCCAAGGACAGTGCCGTCGCGTTCGCCACTTTCCTGTGGGGAGCTTTTGGTCCAGTCGCTGAGGGCTGGGAGGGTCCTCGTCCCTTTGGGAATGTCGTTGTTGATGGTTTTGACTTTGACATTGAGCACAACGGCGGTTTTGGTATGTTTTCTGGACTCTTTGAAGGCTGCATGAATCTCTTTCAGTTGTGACCGTGTCGCTGACGGAATATTCACCCAGGCTATGCTACCATGGTCAACACCTTCCGTCAGTACTTCAACCAAGTGCCGGAGCGCAAATTCTATCTCTCGGCTGCTCCTCAGTGTATCATCCCCGATGCCCAGCTCAGTGATGCAATCTTGAACGCCGCCTTCGACTTCATCTGGATTCAATACTACAACACCGCTGCATGCTCGGCTAAGAGCTTCATCGACAGCACTCTCGGAAAGTTCAACTTCGACGCCTGGGTCACCACCCTCAAGGCGTCTGCCAGCAAGGACGCCAAGCTTTATGTTGGTCTGCCGGCCAGTGAGACTGCAGCCAACTCGGGTTACTACCTTACGCCCGATGAGGTGGAGTCCCTGGTTTCCACCTACATGGACCGATACCCCGACACCTTTGGAGGTATCATGCTTTGGGAGGCTACCGCATCCGAGAACAACAAGATCGATGGCGCCCCCTATGCCGATCACATGAAGGATATCCTTTTGGACTGTGACCCGAGCCCTCCCGTAACCTCCTCCAGCGCTATCCCATCAAGCACTCCGGTGACCTCGGCCACACCTTCGCCATCAAGCAGTGCCGTTTCTTCCAGCACCCCTGTCGTCTCCGAGACCCCATCGCCGTCTAGCAGTGCTGTTCCTTCCAGCACCCCGACTCCTTCTACGAGCCCTTCCCCCTCCAGTTCCGTTGCACCTTCGAGCAGCCCCGTCTCCTCAAGCAGCGCAGTTGCCTCGAGCACTCCCGTTTCGTCCAGCACCCCGGTCATTCCTGGAACCTCTGCTTCGAGCAGCCCTGTCTCCTCAAGCAGCGCAGTTGCCTCGAGCACTCCTGTTTCGTCCAGCACCCCGGTCATTCCCGGTACTTCAGACTCTAGCAGCGCCGTCTCCTCAAGCACCGCGGTTGGTTCCAGCAGCCCTGTGTCTTCGAGCACTCCTGTCATTCCTGGAACATCTGCTTCGGGCAGCCCTGTGTCAAGCAGCGCAGTTGCCTCAGGTACTCCTGCTTCGTCCAGTACCCGGTCATTCCCGGCGGCTCGTCCTCTTCTAGCGAGGCAGTCGCATCATCGACTCCTCTGATTACCCTGACACTGACAGTTTCGCCTACGCCCGCGCCCAGCTCATCCGGCACCAGTTCGGGTGCTGTCGGCCAGTCAGGCTCCAGCTCTACCGATTTGTCCAGCTCTACCCAGACTGACGTCGGCACTTCCCCATCGCAAACCGCCGGTCCATCGACAACCGCCACTGCCACCACGTCCTCGTCTTCCTCTTCCACCGACAAGAGCTCTACTACTGTCGGTAGTGGCAACGGCAACGGCAGCGGCAATGGCAGCGGGTCGACAACCACTACCGCAGCGACCGACTCCATCACGGCTGCGCCTATCGCCACCTCTTCAGCCGCCGCTACCGGCGCCAGCTCGGAGCCTGTGACCATTACCACTGTTATTGTGACTTCCTACATCGATATCTGCCCTACTGGCTTCACCACTGTGACCACTACGTACACAACCACATACTGCCCGGGTACTAACACTGCGACTGCCACGGCCACCGTTACAAACCCTCCGTCTGGACCTGGTGGAGCCGGATCGCAAACCACAGCGCCCGCCGTTCCCGAAGGCTGGACCACTACTGTGACCGTCTGCACTCAGTGCGCTGCCAAGCCAACCACCGTGACGTTGACACTGCCTGTGACTGAAACTGGGTCGAAGTCGACCGGCGTTGTGCCCGCACCCCCTGCCGCTGTTAGCGAGGGATCGAACCCTACCCAGCCATCGGGTGCTTCCCCCACCGGTGGTGCCGGCGGCTCTTCTGAAGGAGAGGTTCCTCTCCCAGCAGTGACTCCGGTCAGCACGAGCACCAATACTGTGACTGTGGTTCGTCCCACTTCCAGCCGCCCCGTGATCCTCGGCACTGGCACTGTCCGCCCTTCGTCGACGCTGGCCGTGAAGCCATCGGCCAAGCCTTCGGGTCAAAGCTCCGGCAGTGGCTCTCACGTGCCCATTCCTCCCAGCTACACTCAAGAAGTTGTGTCCCCCTTGTCCACTGGTGCAGCCTCGCGCATGACTGGACTGGGCCACGGCCTGGTCCTCGCGGTTCTCGCACTGTCGGCGTTCTTCGTGTTGTAGAGCGTCAAACCTTGTGAGCTGTCATGTGGGCAGATAATGTATAATGAAGGACTGCTATTCTAGCTGACATTGTTTTTAATTTTTTTATTTTATTTCGATGTGTTTACATTACAATTCGACCCCGGTCCAGTCTGCACTGGACCTTAATTAAGCAGTCCTATACCACTTTCACCCTCGACGCATCGCGTTCAATTTCTTTGTCACTCTCGATCGATGCATGAAGCGTTGGCATATTGTATAGAGCATGAGACTTGCATTTTGACGTCACAACAAACTTCTCCAATAGCATAAGACATCCTCTAGCTTTCCAATATTTGCACAATCGTAACGGATCAACCATCCATAGACCTAATTGAGCTACTAGGGCGCTAACTAGCAGCACCGTGAAATGATGATGCCTAAACTTAGTGGTATTGAGCCGAGCGGGGGATAAATTACCAGTTACGTAGAGAACAAGCTTTCAGGGCCAAGACGGGTCGATCCGACCGACCCAACCGTCATCCGCGTATTGATGCAATCAGTCTAACCCCGTCTTAGGATTAATGGTGTTTGTTTTCTACTGGACTTAGATGATTGATTGATTGATTTATTCTACTAAGGAATAAGAGCGTCATGACCAAGCTCTCGTCGCAAGATACTGTCGATAATCCGTAGGGTACGAAGAGGAAGAAACACCGTTGTTGTGTTGCGCCACAATTACGCATACGCTAAAACATGCTCAGGGGCTGATGTGGCTGAACGCTAAAGTGGACCTATCACAGCCTGCACAGGATGACTGAGGAGGGGCATGTCGTGGCTGTTTGGCTGATAGCGCAGATTGCGAGCGCGATTTATGTACCTCTCTGGATATCACTCACTTCCCTATGGATCCGCATCCTGGAGGAAACTAAGATAGATAGTCCCTTATTTTGTAACTTCCCCCCCATGGCGATCGGAGTAAACAAATGTAAGGTATAAATATCGAGGACGGACCCTCCTTAGCTGGCGTGATGGAGTTCAGTCTTCTTTTCCCCTCTCTCAGGTCCCATCCCTTTAAAAGTATCACTTTACGTATTTCATACCTGTTTTCTTTTAATAGTCCAAGTCAATATGGACGGCTTCCTCGGTAAAATCATCGAAAAAGTCGCTGGTGGTGGCAGCAGCAGCAACAGCGGCGGCGGCGACGGCTACTCCTCCTACAATCAGCAGCCCAGCTACGGTGGACAAGGGCAAGGTTACAATTCAGGTCCTGCCCCTCCCCAGGACCTCCCTTACCCGTGGGTCGCCCGCTGGGATGATCGCGACCAGCGCTGGTTTTACGTGAACGAGCAGACCGGCGAGAGGTCCTGGGATCGGCCGTACGGCGGCAGTGGCGGTCAGTCTTACGGAGAGCGATCGTACGGCCAGCCTCAGCCTTCGTATGGGTATGAAGGCGGCTATGGGCAGCCACAGGAACAGCGACCGGAACACAAGGATCATAGTATGATGTATGGTGCGGCGGCGGGCGCGGCCGGTTTAGTGGGTGGTGCGATACTGATGCATGAGGGGGAGAAAATCCGTGAGTTGTCCTTGACTTAGCCGAAAATAGACGGCGTTGGTTTGACTCTGTACAGATGAGGACTGGGATGAGGATAAGGAGAGAATCGAGCAGAATGTTGAGGATTTCCCTGAGGATGCGGCACGGTGGACCGGCGAAAAGGTTTGCACAAGCTCTTCTGCCGTGCTTGCGTATGACCTGCTGTACAGATGCTGACAAAAAATGGTATTAGGTTGGTGAAGTGGAGGCGATTCCAGAGAATATCGAACAGGGCTGGGATCGCACCGAAGACCGCATCGAGAATAAGTGGAACAATGCGGTCGACGACGTCGAGGACTTTCCGGAGAATGCGGCAGAATGGACTGGACGAAAAGTCGGCGAGGTGGAACAATTTGGCGACAATATAGACAATGCCTATGATGAGGGAAGGGCTGAAGGTCGGGATGATTGGTAGACGCCTTCATAAGGGGTCATACCGCATTTCGATAAGGTCATTTATGCATCATTCGCATAGCAGTATTGCAGTCATGATGTACTCGTCGATAAATGACAATGTTTGAATAGCGCTCATTGTGTATTCACACTGCATATCCGTATAAGGTATGCTCTAAGCTTCATTTGCGGCACTGTTTGGTTTCCCCGCACGTGGACCCCCGGGCCTCGGCTGCGGAGAAACGGTTGTTCATTCATCAGCCTTGGCTATTAAACCATCATGCACATCGCGCTGCGGGCCAGCGGTGTGGCCTCGACTGTTATTAAATATCGAGGTTTGTTAGAATTGGAACGTCTAGTGACAGATCACCCACAGCCAGAGATTGACCGGACCCATGTCCAAGTCACCCCTTCCACTCGCAGGAGTTCGAGTCGTCGAGCTCGCAGGCCTGGCTCCAGGTTCGTACCATACCTGCGTTCGAACAATTTGTCTCTGTCTAACCATTATAGGCCCGTTCGCGGGACTTCTACTCGCAGACTATGGCGCGTCACTGCTGCGCGTTGATCGGCCGAATTCCATCTCCACAGACCAGTTGACTCGCCGGAAAACGTCCATCACATTGGACCTGCGGGACAAAGCTTCGCACCGCCTCCTTCTCTCTATCCTGTCAAAGGCCGATGTCCTGATTGATCCCTACCGTCCGGGCGTGCTGGAACGTCTGGGCCTCTCTCCGTCTGACGTACTCCTGAAACACAACCCGCGCCTGATTGTGGCTCGCATGACGGGCTTCCGTCGGGACGGCAAATACAAAGACATGGCGGGCCATGACATCAATTACATCGCGGTGTCTGGGGTACTGTCCATGCTTGGCCGGAAGGGAGAGCCCCCCTATGCACCGGGCAACATCCTGGGTGATTTCGCCGGCGGAGGCGCCATGTGCTTCCTCGGGATCCTGCTGGCACTATTGGCGCGCGCGCACACAGGACGAGGCCAGGTGGTCGAAGCCAACATGGTAGACGGGTCCGCATATTTGGCGACGATGCCGCGGCTGAATCGGCAGACGCCGCTGTGGAACCTACCTCGCGGCGAGAATATGCTGGACGGCGGCAGTCCCTTCTACGGCACCTACGAGTGCAAAGACCGGGGCAAATATTTCGCGGTCGGAGCGTTGGAGCCGCAGTTCTACGCGGCGCTGATCAAGGGGCTGGGATTTGAAACAGGGGAGCTCCCCGCACGGGAGGACAGGGCGAATTGGCCCGCCCTGCGAGCCGCGTTTGAGCAGCGATTCAAGGAGAAGACGCGGGCTGAGTGGGAGGCCATCTTTGACGGCACCGATGCTTGCGCGACGCCCGTGCTGGAGCAGGCGGAATTGGAACAGAGTGGCTACGAGCAGAGACCTGCGGTGCACCTGGTTGACACGCCCGGTCTTCCGATCCCAGCTGACGACGGCGGATGGACAGGAGGCGGGCTGTTACCCGGTACCGGCGGGCAGGAGACGCTCAAGGCATGGATGGGATGGGAGAAGGGACGGGACTTTGAGATCCGAGGAGATGGCGCATTGGTGTGGATCGAGGGAGGCAAGCCCAAACTGTAGGTAGCGTAGCTGGTGTCTCAGAATGGCCTTCTAGAGCGACGAGATTAATTGGTGGACGCGATCACGATGATACCCATGACCCTCAAGGGAGAGAAGCTTTGGCCATTCAGCATGTGCGGGAGTCGCAAGATGTGAGACAAGTTTAGGGCTGAGAAACGAGATCTGGAGATTCAATTGGGTTTCCCTTGTTTGATTTGGTGGGATGAGGGGGATCCCCAGCCACAGCCACAGCCAGCAACCGACAGTCGGTCGGTCAATCGGTCCGTCGGTCAGCATCAGCAGGGTAGCAGTGGTCCATTTCAATTCTTACAATTATCTTGCTTTCTCCTAACAGATGGACGATGGAGATTCAAAATATTGATACTGCTGCGAAGGTGTCTGATTCAGGCATGCGTGCACAAGTTGATTATGCAGACTGCAGCGCGTATCTCCGGTACCTTACGTACCTTAGATACACTGGTTACGGTATGAAATACGTACCTCGTACCTTACCAGGCTTACCAGCATCGGAATCCATGGCGAGCTGAAAGGATCGAAACCGGCGGAGATTGCCCCATTCAAGCAGCTCTGGAAATGTCCACTGTTACAACGGCTGAATGTAACCTGCAGGGGTTCCGGTGGGATGATTCGATGGACTTAGCGTTATCAATGTAGACTACCTAATCATCGCGTCATTTGATACTTTCACCACTCTTGGGTTGATGGTGACATTGCAGCGGAGAAACTCTATACAAAATGCTTGATGATTTGTTGCCATTACTGTAATTGATAGTCAGGGCAAAGTAAGCTAGGTATATGTACCTCCCTTCCTGTGCCTGACTGAAGACATAAGATACTCTCTCACTTGTTCCAGTAGCATTATTGGACCTCAGGATCCCGGTATACACCAAGGATCTTTCTTCCGTGCTTCCGGTCATATCTCCAGAGGGTGGAGTATTCTACGTCATGATGCCCTTTAGTCCAGACTAAATTGACGGACCTTCGATGATGAAATTGATCCGAGTTGTTACTCAGGTACCACAGAGGGTAAAACTGACAAGGCATTTGTACCTTTCGAACCTTGGGGACTTAAATCTGTGGTACGACTCGAAGTGGGTATGGTATTTACCAGAATTGTACGTACCATATCAGGACCCCACGTGCCTGAAACTGTGGCGCAGCACCGCTATACTGGTAGACACAAACCCACAAAAGCCTAAAGCAGATAACGATACCTTAGTATGTTCAGCTGGTAAAACCACAAGCCCCAAATACTTCGTCTCCGTATTGATTCATGGAAGGGAAGTTAGTGAACTAACTAGTTATTATGTAACCGCTGACAAAGGTTGACTAGACTGACTATTCGCGGTGCGTGCCCTATCCATGCATCATGACTGGACAAGAAGTAACCCCACGAGGATGACTGCATCTTGACTTTTGAGACTTGAGACTTGATGCTTCAGTACTAACTTAGCTGCTCAACAGAAAACAGCTACAAACACATTGATAAGAGGCACGGACCTTTGTTTGTTTATTGTTTGTGGAGTGCTACCTTGTCATTATTACCCTAACATCGACCTCGTTGGTTGTGTGGTTCCAGTGGTGGAAGACAAAGGGAATGTCCTCAAGTCATGACTTCATGGTGATGTCTCTTACTTGTTCTTTTAGTAACCAGGCCAAATTTCAATGCTTTCATTTATTGGTATTGTTATTAGGCTTTATTATCTAAGTGGTCATGGAGGTATGTACCTACGTAATAACTAACAGTTATTCTGTGGATGAAACATGTGGCTGTGTGATGTTTACGATTACCATAATCTTCCCTCCCTTGAACCTGTACTTGGTAACAGTACCAGTAAGGTACCGGTCCGTACTAACCAAACTGGGTCTTGAAAAGCGAAAACTACTTTTTTTCTGTGTTCCGTTCGCCTTCTTTCGCTCATCTCATGGGGCCGACCGATTAATACTCCATACGAAGGTATGTTTAAACAGCCATAGCTCTCCTCTTGTCTCGTCGAGGTTGGCTGATTTCTATTACTCCTTCTTTCTCTCTACTTTTCAGCTGTCATCTATTGCCAGCGTGTCTGTCCAAAGTGGCTTGCTGAATCTGCAGTCAGATAACCGCCCAAGACCGCCAAGGCCTCCCCTCGTGCCTGTTCCCAAAGCGGCCTGATCGATCATTCTCCTGTCGCTGCTCCTCACGGCATCAAGTGCTGCTCCCTGTAACCTCGACTGAGAACAGAAAGTTGGCCGCTTCGAGCATTGGAATCTTTGCGTTTGGTTTCTTTCTTTGAAACTCATGAATCCGCACGATTCCTTTGTTGAAGCAATTCTTTCCCTTTCCTTCTATCTTGCCCTCGCTGCAGCCGCCGGATACCGCTGCATGTACCACACAACGGAATCGCCGGCCAATTCGCTGATCCATCCATCATCGCGCGACAAGACAAACTCGGGTTCCCTTACTTCCAACACGCCTCTTCCTTCCATTCTCAATCAAGGCGACTTTTTGCAGTCGTTTTCTACTCGCCAAGGTCGCCAAGGCAGCTATTGCCTGCACTCGACTCTTGTCGCTTCTACTTAACAAGTAACCTTTGGAAACTTCGTTTCTCCCGCAAACTCTCAACTGATTTCGGTCCTGCATGGCTGGCGTGCAAGCTCCACCCGCCATGACCGACTATCGACTCCCGATTCACCAGGCACCTTCTCGGAAGCCCGTCCCTGGCATGCATCGTGGATACCCTTTCCAATCCTACGAGCCTCACCAGCAACAGCCGCCGCACCATTATCGTTCGCAGCAACAGCAACAGCACCACCACCCACAACAAGAAGTTTCTCCCCATCCCTCAGTATCCTCGGCCAGCCGCAATCGAACTTCTTCGTCCCATGTCTCGCCGTACGGGGCGCATCAGCAACAATATGCCGGTGCCCCTTCGCCGCATTACACAATGACCAGCCACGTTAGTCACCCGTCGAGGCGCCTGTCTAGTGCCACCACCTCCACCAGCTCGACCGGAAACAACTTTAGCTCTGATATCCGCCGCAGTACATCATCCCGTTCGACCAGCGCTCAAGTCGGCTACGTGGCTCTCATGCGCAGGCAGAAGGCAACTGTCTGGTGTGATCGAGCTCAGCCTGAAGATCCCCGACTTCGGGCCCAAAAGCTGGCGGATAAGAAGAGAGCCTACCTGGAAGTCCACGGCGCCGGACGCACCGGTACCCTGGGAAGCGGCAAGAACAAGCTTGGAAACAAGGGAGTGACGGAATTTTCGGCGTCAACTCTCGTTGGAGCGACCGTTCCGGTCCGTCTCAGTGCAAACGAGGTGGGCGACGGAGACGAGGATGGACACAGTGACAATGGATTTCCTCATCGCCGCACGGGCAGCGGCCGCAGTTCTCTCGGGAGCAATTACCGCTACCCTAGTGGCTACCAGCGGCCTTCCCAGGGCACTCCTGGGAGTAATAATACTCCTCCCAACGAAAAGGCTGATTTTCCGGAGGTTACAGAAAATCCTCCGGCGGAGCGCCACGAGGAGGAAAAAGCCTCATCTGCCAAGGACGATTCTGCCACTAGTCATAGCAAGACTAGTGAGCAAGAGGATAGCTTCGGATCAGTAGGTGACATGACTGCGCCCAGTGCCGCCACCACCGCTGCTGAGAAGGCCCGGAAGGCGGACGAGTTGCGGCGCAGAGGCAGTGTGGACGAACGGACGACCACGATGACGAACGTGCGACTCTTCGTCGCAAATCCCGATCTCAGTGACTGAGTGATTTGCACTGCGGACATCCCGCCAGGACTTTTTCGCTTGAGCAGCAGTCAGAGACAGCCGGGCTCGGGTTCTGGTAGCAGGATTCATTACCCAATTTTATGCTGGGCATAAAAGATAGGGTCCCGCGTCGCTGATTTCTATCGCTCTCAACATCACTTACTATCCATTTTCCTTACCTTTCTCTTTCTTTCTGCGGCCGGCTTCCATCTTTACTGCTGCATACTGTTCATGATGGGTTGCTTGAAGGCTCAAGCTGACCCTTTCTCATTTTACGTGGGGTTATTCTACCTTCACTACATTGCTCGACATCTCTGCCTACGACGCATGCGTTTTCATCTGCTCACTGTCTGTATTTGCATCTTTTGCACCTTTGCGGCGCTCTTATACCAATCTCTTGCGCCGTATCGCTAATTCTAATAATATGACTTGTACATACCCAGCATTGACTTTTAATTGACGTAGACACACAGCCGCTGACCGTCGTGTTTGTCACTCGTGTACGCAGTACGGGAACAGGGCCATTTATTTTTTTTGTTGAGACGTTATGAGCCCGGTCCCGAGCGTATTGCCTTGATTCGAATGAACTCGTTAATAGAAATACTCGTTCCACGTTGAACAGACGTGTCTTTCCATTATTTGATACAACGATCAGAAAACTGATCCCTGTCCACGACTCCGTATGAGATCTATCCCCAAGTACATCCCTGCCTCAGGCAACCCAGAGATCACGCTTCCCTGGTCCGACACAAGAAGGAAAAAGAAGTGCCGCCTGACTCCATCCGACCTCCGATTCCGTCCACACACTGGCCGGTATCTCAAAGCCTCAATTCTCGACCCCTTGCGTCCGCGTCAGAGCTCAGATCCGGGAGAGAGCACGTTTGAAACACTTGAAGAGCTTAAAATGCCTCCCTTGCACTCGGCAGTACATCGGATGCGATAGTGAGATACCGCCGGGACCCAGACGCAATGCAGGCTGCCCGGGACACTGCAGAAGAAAATGAGCGCTTAAGTAGAATAAGTAGGATTTGGCGGCACAGGTACTCTTACTGGAGGAGTAGGTGAGCAGTCCAAATTCCTGGGGTGCTCTGTTTATGGCTCTGTTTCCATCTGTGAGTGGTAAAAGTTGGAGCAGGTGTTGCAGATGAACTTCTTGGGTTTTATTGATTCACTTCTTGCTGAGAGTGCTGGCGCTGCTGAGGAGGATGCCGTTCTGTGTTGTTCTGCGTCTCAACTGACAGATACGAGGACTGCTGTGCCAGGGGAGGGGCTACCGAGCCTACCGGCGCATAAGAAAGCCTCTCTTCCCCTTCCAGGCCTATCATGCGAGTTCCAGTTCCAGTGAATTGATGCGAAGGTGATGTAAGGAGGATGTGGTGCCGTCAGCAATCTTCGTGTGCAGGTCGCTATAGCCTCACAGAGACAACTGGGGTTGTTGGAGCTTGGAGGCACACTGAACACATCACAGGGGAAGGCTTATCTAGGCTGGACAGGTGTAGACTAAGATAATGATGACGATATTACACGAGGAACTGTCCACATAAAACTGCATATGGCAAACTTCCAGGATGCTCTATACGATATTCAGTGGTGCTCAATATGGTGAAGCCCATGGTGATGGGATATCCAGTAAATCGCAGATGTTTCATGTTGGTAAAGGGCCCTCAACTGAGTAGATCCTTGCCATTACTGCAATGAATAAGCCGAGAAGGGTTTCGCTTCAAGTCAATCAAGGACCCTTTGGTCAACTGTCAGAGTAAGCTACAATCTCATCTCCTGCACCGCAAGCGTTCAAGCAGATCAACCATGGACATTCAGCTTAATGTCTCCTGATTCGATCCCTGAAATCCATTCAAGGATGGTAAAGCTGGAATTGGAGTCGCCGCGCAGCCGAGCTGTGTGTCCTCAGCTCCATCCCTAAAGCTGTTAGAGGTAGACTTTCAGGTCAATTCATATTCACCAGCTAATGCCTGGAGGGCAGAAGAAATCACTTTAAACCAGCAAGAAAAAGGAACTGAAATGGAAAGGGTGTTAAAACAGCGGGAAAGCACGTGCTTTTTCCCTCCGCAGACGCGAAGAAGGCGCGAACTTCAATTAACGCGTGTCTCACAACACGGCTATGGAAGGGTACCGACCTGACCTCTCATGGCTTGACCTTCCCTGAGCAGTCTCTGGGCAAAGAAATTGACATCTGGATTTAGCTGTTTTAACTAGATAGCCTCGAGACCTGCACAGAATGGAAGTATCCGTTGAGAGCTCGTCGGGTCTCTCTCCCCTTCCACCTCAGTCATATCCCACTTCGCCGTCAGCGTCGAGAAAGCGCTCAGTCCAGGAGATTGACGCATCACCACATTCGCCAGAGAGCAGGAAGACATCAAAAATATGTGATCAAGAAAATCAAGACCCATCATTATCTCACGTTGCAGCGTCCTGCACCTCGACCGAGCAACATCTCAAATCACCATCAGCTCCCCCAGCCAGCATTGAAATTTCAAGCCAACAGAATGGTGCGAATACAACAACGCCTGGCGGATCGGTGTTTGTAGCAGTTCCTCAGCCAAGCTCTACGGCGGAAACCACACCAAGGAATACAGAACCATCGACCCCTCCGAAGAACGCCAACGCCGCTACGCCGAGTGCCAAAAAGCGAAAGTTGTCCCCTGCAAGCAAAGAAGCTAAACAACAAGAGAAGGAAGCAAAAGAACGGCAGAAGTTAGAGGAGAAAGCCAAGAAAGAAGAGGAGAAGCGCATAAAGGAAGAAGAGAGGAAAAAGCGCGAAGCCGAACGGGAGGAGGAACGTAAGCGGAAAGAAGAGAAGAAGAGACTGAAGGAAGAGGAGAAGGCCGCTAAAGAAGAAGAGAAACGCAAGAAAGAAGAGGAGAAGTTGAAGAAGGAAAGGGTAAGCATCTTGCCATCCAAAGATGGCACTTTTTAATCCAATGGTCTCTTCTGCTTGCTAACCTCGGATTAGGCGCAAACCAAACTGAATGCATTTTTCGCCAAACCCAAGCCTCCAGCACAGCCAGCTGACGATACTGCTTCCGACTCACTCAAGATACCGATCGCCGATGGTGCCTCAAACTCGACGTCCCAGAACCCCACTCTGCCTCTTTCTGACTATCAACGAGAATTTCCCGACTTCTTTTTACAGTCTCACACAAGGATCGCCCCGCCGCACCGGTTCGAACGCGACCCAGAGGCTCTTTCTCACATGCAAGAAAGGGTCGACTCTTGCCTACAATCCTATCGGAATGGGTCCGCAGAGCCTTTGTCATTCCGCCCATCTGAACTATTCCGAATCATGCCGTATAACCGGCGGCGTGGAAGACAGGCTGCCTCCGTCAAAGAGATTCTGCTTAAAATGCAGAGTCTCAACGAGCAGTCCGACCCTGATTCTGCACGGCGGGCGCAAGATTTGCTCAGACGCATCAAAATGAAATCTCTGAAGTTTGGTGAAGATGTTCGACCTCCTTACCAGGGCACTTTTACCAAGACGCTTCCGGAATCTGCTGCTTCTAAACTCATGCGCAACCCCTTCCACCGTGGTCTACCCGATATCAACTACGACTATGATTCCGAGGCCGAGTGGGAGGAGCCGGAAGAGGGCGAAGATCTTGATTCCGAGGAGGAGGAGGAAGGAAGTGAGGAAGGGGATGATGACATGGATGGGTTCTTGGACGACGATGAGGATAACCTGGAGGGCAAAAGACGATTGATAGTGGGAGATTTGGAGCCTCTGAGTACCGGGCTACGTTGGCAAGGCGAAGGCGGAGACCACGAGCTGGAAATGTACAGGATCCAGACGATCACGGACTCGGTTACCTTCCCTATTGACCCATTCTCCACGGCATATTGGCAGAAACCAAAGCCAGCAGAGCAACTCCCAGCCGGTGGCGTGGGCCGTTCCACTCTCCATTCATTCATGGTCGTTCCTCCAAGCACTCAATCCCAAACCGCTGCGCCTACTACCGAAGGAGTAACCCCGACCCTCGTGACCGCAAGTGGCAAGGCAAAGCGTACATTGACACCAGAGCAGCTGGCCGAATTTAAAGAGGTGGTGAATGGGAGCGACCTGACGAAAACAGGCCTGATCGAGGTTCTGAAGAAAAGGTATAAGTTCTTCTGTTAGCCCCCCCGGACGAGTTTCAGTTCAGCTTCGTGCTAATGACGCTTCACTAGATTTCCCAAGGTATCGAAAGACGTACTTAAGGAGACCCTTACTCACATGGCGACGCGTGTTGGACAGCGGGAGATTGACAAAAAGTGGGTGTGCAATTAGAGGGATGAAGGGGAGGACAATATCCGTATCAGCGTGGATCCGCAAGATATACACTGCCTCGGTTTGCAAAGATGGGAGTTATGGCGTACGTCGTTATTCTAGAATCACTGTGGGGCAATTCCCAAGACGTCTACGGGTTGAGCGTCTGTGATTTCATGGACATTTGTGGGACAACAGCATGAATCGAGTCAACTGATTGCATTTACGATACCTGTGCTGGCTGTGGCACTTGAACTTGGTCGCGTCTCATCTTTAGGTCGCAGAAGCGAAAAACGATAGCAGAGATTTGATTGAACTATATTATCCTCCATTATGACATTTATTTCAATGTAAGAATAGCATATGTGCAGACTTCGATTCTGTTCTTCAGCTCACCTTGAACAAGTGCCAGGACAGCTGAACGGCTATTAGGGATCCTGCTCTTCTCTTTCATGGGCTGGACATAAGATCACGGTAACCTAGAGAGGTTTAGACTGATCTCTGGGGTTGTCCGATTGGGACACGTGCCATGTGGGGAATAACAGCCTGTCTTTCTTGTTGGTAATAATAATATTATTGATTCAGGTCCAAGTGTCATCCCAGTGTATCCGTATGTAGCCAAGGAAGCATCCATCTACTGATTGCCGTCCACCCGGAAAATAATATTTCGAACCTCGGAATCCATGGAGTTTCTATGGTCTACTATCTATATGCACCTGCAAGAGAGTACCTTACCGTATGC